TAGACATAGACATAGACCGGGCAGCTAAGATGCACTCGATACTTATGTGTCTTCTTGCAGCCATGATTTCACTCAAGACGTCCGAAAAATATGGATCTGCGCTCCAACAAGAGGGAGCAAAGGAACGGGCGACACCTAAATTTTCTTGTCCCTACTTGGGAATGGAGATGCAAACGATGAATAGTATTTGACCACGGATACGCAACTCTGAATTACTGGCTCTAGGCAAGAGCTAGATGCTCCATAATTCATTAACTTTATAAAGAGAGGACTGGCAATCGGCTGCAGATGAGAGACTACAAGTGGGAGATTCATGCATCTACTGCCTAAAATATCTCCAATTTTCATGGTGAAAGAGTAAAAACTAGCATGTTATCCATTGCCTATCGTAGCGAGTTTTGGGATAACCCTAAATGTGAACAATAGGCGTAGCTCTGTACTAAACCCTAATCCTAGGGTATTGGCTAGGAGACTAGCAGAAGAAGTGAGGAAGATAATGGTGGTGACCCAAGATTTCTGTTTTGCAGATTTTTTCCACAAATAAAAAATCCAAAATTGAGAGCCTAGGGATGAACATTTAGACAGCCACGTTGGCAACTCTCCGTAGAAATCTTTCTCTCATGATCTAGTTGTGCAATAAAGAAAATTCAAGGTCCATTAAAACATACCCTCTTGGAGAAGTTCTCAATATCACCTGGATTAATGGGTTAATTAAAGATAAATGAATTAATTTAGCAAATTGGCATGTCTTCTTGCAGCTAACACTATCATTAATCACTTGATGAGGGTCTTCCCATTAAATTCATCATGAAGCCAATGCCATAAAATGATTAGACGTTGTAAAACATTATTTTCCGTGAAAGATTTGTACCATAAAGTAGAGGAAACATGATTGGGAGGCAGTGACTAAATTCTAATGCCATGTAATTGCCATATTATTGAAACACCTTGTTCATTTATAATTTTTCTCTATTTTTTATATTTTCGATTAGTATCATCACCAACTTCCAGTAAAATAACATGAATTTATAATATTTATTCTGTATAGTTTTATGATTATTTACTCATAAAATTTGACCTCCCCGTTTGATATAATTCATCCCTCTAAAGACAAATATGAATAAAAAAAACTTCCTCAGCCAAACAATGCACCACCTTCTACAGCTGTTGCTTTGGAAGCCCTGTTCACATATGACCAAGAATCTGTTGTTTTCAATAAAGGCTTCACAAAAGAGTACAAGGAATGCAAGGTTGTGCCATGTTACTACTACTTACGTTTCTCTCTCTCTCTTTCTCTCTCTCTCTCTCTTCACTCCACACAATCTCACAATCTACCTATCACGTTAAGCGGGTGCCGTTAATGAGTGGCCGGGATCCAATGGGGGAGGGCCACCCGGCGTTGTGTTAGGAATTGTGCGGATGAAATGAAACCATCACTGACACTTTACGGCCGCCGAATAAAAAATAGTTGCGCCCCGCAGTGAACAGCCTGTGCACCGGACACATGACTCACATCCCCAATGCCCACCACCCTCAACCGACCATCACCTCTCTCTCTCTGTCTCTCTCTCTCTCTCTGGCCATCCTTTCGATCTTCCTCACGTTGTGGTCCGAGATCGTGTGACGGCATTCTTAGCTCGCGCATGTGTTGCAGGGGTCATTAGCTCTTTACTCCTCATCATGGGATCTGGCCCCGTGTGCTTGTCGTAAAGACTTTCACGAAGCCGATAACGTACTTCTCTCTCTCTCTCTCTCTCTCTCTCTCCCTCTCTCTCCTTCTCCCTCAATTGATGCCGTCGATGGCGTGCCCACAAGAAAAGCTGCGGCAATGCTCAGTGAGGGCTTCTCAAGGGCCTCCGCCGCGGTGGCCGGCTCCACCTTCACGTGCCCGTTGTCGATTTCCCTGGCTGTCCCGAAGAAGATCCAGGCTCAGACCAGCCCATACAATCTCATACCTACCTGCACCATTCAGGGAGATCCCGGGATGTAGGGAGAGAGAGAGAGAGAGAGAAAGAGAGAGAGGGTAGAGAGAGGATTAAAATGGTGAGGACCAGGAACTAGGTTGACTTCATCTAACCGTGAACATCCCCAGTGGTCATTTACTAGTATGAACAGCCATGAGAAAGGTTTAATATACTAGAAACCGATAGCAAGGTCTTAAAGATATGGTCAATCATCGGAAATGATGCAAAATCCACCCCATTTTTTCTGTCTCGTGCCAGGCATAGAGGGGGAAGAGAGGGAGAGAGAGAGAGAGAGAGAGTAAAAACTGAAATGTTCTTGAGCTATGTCAACTTTCGGAAATGATGCACAATCCACCCCATTTGTTGTCTCGTGCCAGGCATAGAGAGAGAGAGAGAGAGAGAGAGAGTAGAAACTTGAATTAAGTTCTTAATGTATGGTCAACTTTCTGAAATGATGCACAATTCTCCCCATTTCTTCTTTGTATCATGCTAAGCGTAGAGAGAGAGAGAGAGAGAGAGAGATACTGGAACTGTGCATCTTGTGATTGAAACGTGCTTTATATACAGTTTAGTGATTGATTTGATTACCGCTGGTAATTTATGGTTCGTATGCGGAAAGACAATAACAAACGCCATTATTGACTTGTCCATGGTCAGGCAGGAAGGGAGATAGAGAGGAAATGGAGGGAAGGACGTGGGGGGAGAAAAAGAGAGCGGACAGAGAGAGAGAGAGAGAGAGAGAAAGAGGGACGAGTGGGGAGGAGGGGAGAGAGAGAGAGAGAGAGAGGGAAGGAGGGAGAGATAAGAAGAGGAACGAGGGGGCAGACGGATAGATAGATAGAGAGAGAGAGAGAGAGAGAGAGAGAGAGAGAAGGAGGGAGAGATAAGAAGAGGAACGAGGGGGCAGACGGATAGATAGATAGAGAGAGAGAGAGAGAGAGAGAGAGAGAGACAGGTGGTGGGGGTGGACTAGGGTTTGCGTTGGGGAAGCATAGTCGCACGAGAACAGGAGCGGCAGAGAGAGAGGGAGATGATGTTGCTGAGAATCGTCCTCGGCTTCCTCAGACGACCTGCATGAGGGGTGCACACGCTGCAGCATCACTGTTCACCACGCACACTAGTAGTACACAGAGAGTCACAGAGAGAGAAAATGAATCAGAGGGAGATCCAGATGAAAACAAGCGGAGGAGAGAGAGAGACAGTAAGATAGATCAAGTGGCTGATAGCTGGGAGGACGGCCAGAGAGAGAGAGAAAGCGAACGAGACATAGATCATAGCGAGAGAGAGAGAGAGAGAGTCATCTGCATCTTTAGTGATTTGAGTTAGGTCTTCATAGGCAGCAATAAATGTTATCGTGAACTGGCGGTATCCCTCCTGTCCCTTCCCCCCATTCCCCTCCTCCGGTAGTCTATGTTACCCTGTGGAACCCAGCCTCACCCTCAAGGCGGTCTCTCTCTCTCTCTCTCTCTCTCTCTCTCTCTCTCTCTCTCTCTCTCTCTCTCTCTCTCTCTCTCTCTCTCTCGCTCCCCATCTGTAACAGCAGAAACGTGGGCGGAGAATACTGTGGAGGACCATTTCCAGCCATCTCTGCTCATGACTGAGAGAAAGAGAGAGAGAGAGAGAGAGAGAAAGGTGGGGGGAACGGACGGGCGCGCCTTCGCCGCAGACTGCAACTGTCGGGGAAGCGGCTGAGGAGATAGACTCTCTCTCTCTCTCGCAGGCAGAGAAAACCGAGCAGCGGCCGCCCGTCCAAGGAGGGAATGAGACCATGCAGCCTTCTCCCTCTGCCCTCCTCAGTCTTCTCTGCCTATGTCCATACTGTAAGACATGCAGAGAGAGAGAGAGAGAGAGAGAGAGAGAGAGAGGAGAGAGAACCGTGGGGAGCTGGAGCTAGGAAATACTAAAGTATCTCAATAAAATAAAGATATAAAACCATTTCCTAACTAGACACAAAACAAAATCTCACTCTAGAAACAGAGTTCTGATTACTAAAGCTCTCTGCCAGTGAGGGTGGCGTCAACAGAGCGGGCCGGCCCAAAACGAGTACATACTTCAAAGAAAATAAATAATCCCGCATCAAATAAAGGCATTATTAATTCAAACTAAATGGGCTCTCAAAGTGGTGATGAATAGAAAAAATATTATTTTTGTAATAATAATCATGTGATTATAAAGATAAGACGACCCAAGCAACCGCAGATTAATTTGAAGTCGATCAAGAATTTATCTTAATACTCCGATTTACATATTGGATAGGTTTCTTAACAATAATAAGTAATATGTTTAATCGTGTCAGTAATAATACAGCATTGATCATTAGAATGGTAAACTCATACGACTATCAACTAACTAATTAATTTCGACCAATAATTTATTTTAATACTCCATTTTACATGTTGGGTAGATTTCTTAAGAGTAATAAGTAATATATTTAATCATGTCAATAATAATCCGGCATTGATCATTAGAAAAACAAACTCATCGGCTATCAATTCACTAATTAATTTCGATCAAAAGAATTTATTTTAATACTCCGATTTACATGTTGGATAGATTTCTTAACAATAATAAGTAATATATTTAATCGTGTCAATAATAATCCAGCATTGATCATTAGAAAAATAAAATCATACGACTATCAACAAACTAATTATTTCGATCGAGAATTTATTTTAATACTCCGATTTACATGTTGGGTAGATTTCTAAATAGTAATAAGTAATATATTTAATCGTATCAATAATAATCCGGCATTGATCATTAGAAAAACAAACTCATACAACTATCAATTGACTAATTAATTTGGATCAAGAATTTATTTTTTACATTTTGGTAGATTTCTTAAGAGTAATAAGTAATACATTTAACTGTGTCAATAATAATCTGGCATGGATCATTAGAAAAACAAACTCATATGACTATCAACTGACTAATTAATTAATGTTGAGCTACATGGCACAATATGTTCTAATATTCAGATTATTAAAAAATAAAAATACTAAATCGTTCCCACAATATTCATCAGAGTAGTCGCATCTAATTCCCTTCGTACCTTGGATCAGCCGTCACATAGTGGTAGGCAATGACCAGGATGAAGATGATCATGCCCAGGAAATTAGTGAGGAATCCCAAGTCCTGATCATCAATCATCTACAAAAAAAACCAAATGAATCAACTAACTAATATTTTAATTAATACATTATGCGAAAGAACATCAGTCTGGGCCTACTAACTGATATTTTCTTTCATGATATATGTGTTTCCGAAGAAAAAGGGACACAGGAAAACGAATCAACTACATGCTGCAGAAATTTGATAGCTACCGATATGTCGGGTCAATGCAGTCAACGGGGAAAAATTAAAACATTCGGGTCCCCATCCTGCAAGATGTAAATTCCCAATTAAGGGAAAATGGAATATAAGAGAGAGAGAGAGAGAGAGAGAGAGAGAGAGAAGATCCTGTGGAAAACATGAAATTTTCTAGACTTGATTTTTACCCTTGGAAGACTGGAACAAATTCTGATGATAAAAAATATTCGAAGATATTCATAATTGTAGCATCCATATGTTCGTTAGACATATTTTATAACAACTGTGAGAGGTTAATACATGAGAAGTCAGCAAGAAGAGGAGCTTCCATCACGAAGACAATCAAAAGTCACCATGCGTTGACTTCAAATCACATAAGAGGTCAACCCTTGATGATATAGGAGGTAAAAAATCGAACAAAATTATGATATGATTGTCGTGTAAAATATCATGCTCATCATTCAATACTCGTATTATCTAATTGAGCATTACCCGACTATGAAATATTTAAATATTATCATATCAAAAGAAATAAGTATAGAAATGGAAAGAAATGGCAAGAAAAGAAAGAGAGAGAGAGAGAGAGAGAGGGAGAGCGATCTTAGAATCGTTTTGGGTATTGACACTGAAACCAAGGCTCTGATGAAAGATGATTGAAAGAAAACGATCAGAGAAGTCATTTCAGAAATTAATGAATACGGCGGCCCATAACTTTCCCCAAATATTACCCAATAGAATAATCAGTAACTTTAAAGAAAGTATATTTTTAATGAAGTCGAAAGTCGTTAAAAATCGAATTGGGTCAACTCAAGTCACCGGAAGAGACATTTAGCCTGATTATAACATACAAAAATCCATTTTTGGCAACCATGAGAATATACGATTAACGGAGCCCTCACAGTACTCTGCAACCCTCAGACAAAAAATTCAATAAATAAAAGATAAAAAAGAGCCATCTATTTCAAATATGAACGCTATTCTTCTCAGGAACGGCAAATAAAAAGGAAGAATATATGAATATAGCCAAAAAAAAATCAATGTTTAAGGTGCATGTTCCCGGCCACAGGTAGCAAAATTAGTGAAAAACTAGATGATGTCAGTTTTTCTCTCTGTTTTCCACCGTCAATGCAGTTCACTGCTCAACTGAATGGACCAAATGGCTCAGTAAAGTCCCCATTCACTGCTCCGCTCATCTGTTTCATACTCTGGATACTTCCATCCAGTCCATCTTTTCCAGAAAGAGCAATACGTTGAAATATCTGCGATTGAAATCGAACCTCAACTGCTTTGAACAGCAGTTTCCAAGCAACTTCTCTTAAGAATGAGGCATAATGATTTTTTACAAAAGAATTTGACCGAAAATCACTTCTGCAATGCATTCTCAGGGTCTGTTTTCTAAGTCATCAAAACTCTGGGATATCTAGGCCTTCGAAGTATTTCCCCTCTGAGGGAGAGCATTCCCTGTTCCCTATCTTGAGCTATGATTTCAGTCTAAGAACAGAGAAGAACACTTCAGACCAGATCGACCGTCAACTAGCCGACAGGACCTTTGCTTCCACTTACTTGGGCCATTGATCTCAGACTATGAACGATCCTTGATATAAAGGCGAAGATCAGAATTAAAATACGAAGTTTGAACATTTATACCTCAGAATACTAAGCAACAAACGAATTCTATTCAGGAAAAGATTCGTTCCTATAATTTATAACACACAGAATTTAACTTTTAGCGTCGTCCCTTCCTTCAGAATGACGAATATTCTTTGAACATATTCGCTACAACCCAGTGTCATCAGCAGACTAAAAATGTAATCGTCTCATATTGTTTTCTGATCTCCTCGATCAGACCAAAACGAACTCCAATGGTACGTTATCTACTAATATTTATGGAGAAATGAAATCAAAATTTTATTGGACCATTTTCGTCTAAAACCCACTCTAATAAAGGCTCTTCTGATGCAGTTCCGACTTATTATAGCTCATTCTCCTTTAAAATAAAGTTTTAATGCCAAGAATTTCCTGATTCTCTTCTTTTAATAGGGAATATAATCATCGGTCATGCAATACATCCAAAACTAACTTGCCATAATGTACTGTCCCTGTGAGTAATTATCATGATTAACGCCTTCCTAGTTACCTTTTAGCATTTTAGTAAGCCTGTTGACCTGAATCATGTTGGTTCCGACTTCTATCCTGGAGATAAGTGATTAAACACCATAAGTGTTAATTAAACAGGCAGAAGGACCCATCTTCAAGAATCCTTGGACTCAACAGAGAATTTTCTTCAACTTATTCCGGTACTTTAGGTCCAGATGCACCCCAAATCAATCTAGCCTGGATGCTTTCTTTCCCTACATGCTGATGATTGTTTCTTTAGCTTAACCTTCAGAGAACAGTGCAACCAGCATTTTGACATGATTATCATATACAAGGCATTCCAAGGATACCTTTGTATAGTTGATGTCATGACAACTTTCTTATCATTGAGTCAATGAAAGATATCCTCTTGCATCTGTCACCCCAAAGTTTCATCTTCTTTGGCCCATATCCTGCAGAAGGTACAATACATCCCCATATAACCTTTTATCCAATGCGTCTTTAGACCCATCTCTAACATGAAATATCTTCAATGTTATCTTCTTTCCACCAAGAACATTATGGAAAAATCCTAGATTTTATGTCCTTCCGTTCATAGTTATTTAATTCTTTGAATCCATTTTTATATTTTTATTGAATTACTCGCAAGACTAAGTAACTCGAATACTTCATAGATGATAGACCATTTCCCTCTTTACTATAAAGAAACTTCTTCTGGAATACTCTGCAAACTTGTTGCTTCAGCACCAATATTGTGCCATCTCTTCTGAAACTTTTCTGGCCCTTTCCCAAATTTTATGATGCATGTCAGGTAGGCCAAGTGGCTCTTTAGCAATTTATCTCAACATTTATTATATCTACATAATCCAAGTATTAATTTTCTCTTTCAGATTTAAAAAGGCTAAATTTGGCCAATGTGCCATTAACCTCGCAATCATGGAAATATTTGATGGCATTCAGCTAAGTTACGTATGAATCAGACTGCAAGGCTCAATCAGGCATGAAGGATCTGAATAGTAACAGATGAGATACATCCTCAAAACTTTGCATTTGCCAGCTTCAGAGTGTCTCGAGAAGTGTTATCCTCGTAGTTCTAAAGTTCGACGAACTGACCCGGAATTCATACCTGAATCCGTTTCAATGGATCCTGCCGCACTTGTAGGCGAACGAACAACCTTTTAGAATGAGGCATTCCCTTTTTTCCAGTAAGGCATTCACTTCTCTCCAATAGTCAAAATATAATTCACCATTGAAAATGTATACTCCACATCATTTTTCTAGTACAACCCCTACACATACACGAACACCAAGCATAACTCCTCCGTACCCGTTCACATATGGCCACCCGCATACGACTAGAGAAATATGGTTTCTCAGACAAGTCTTATAAGACATTTCAACCATTTAACTTACCGATTGATGAAAAAAAAAAGCCATAAGGTTCCCATCCTGATATGGCAGGTACCTGAGTTAAGAGAATTTCACTGAAAACTTCCCCCCAATGCAGCATCCGTCAGCGTGCACAAATGCACTGACAGTTTGACCACGATCCAAAAGACAGGACGGGATCGCACTTAACGAGATAGGGAAAAAGGAATCCAAAGATCAAAAAAGATAAAACTTCCAACAAGATCCCTAAAACTAGCGCAACAAAGACAGATCGAGAATCCGTGCACGAGACCATATCCAAAAGGAACCCCGACGCCCTACGGAGAAGAACACCCCTAATCACGCCGCAGGAAGAGACGGCGAGATCAGAAAGTCCAAAGGAAGGCGAACACAAGCTGGAGCGGACACGAACCTTCAAAATCGGGGAATTCCTGAGAGGAGCCTCAGCCGGAGACCACGATCAACTCCCCGCGCAGAGCGAAGCACTGACTGACTGCCCAGATATCATTTTACTGGGGCATAAAATTGACCAGAAACCAAAGACTCAGGCCCATTTACTTCTGGTCTTGGCCCTCCAAATTTAGCCAAATAATTTAATTTAAAAAGATATATGTGGGACCTACAATGCAAATCTTGAATTGACCTAAAATTGACCTTCGGCCTAAAATTCACTGGAAACAGAGGCTCGGGCCCATTTTCTTCTGACCTGAAATTTAGCCAAATCTTTGTGGGACCCACACACAGTACAAATCTTGAATTGACCGTTGACCTTGGGACTAAAATTGACCGAGAATCGAAGACTCAGGCCAATTTTTTTGTAACTTTGGGCCCATTTTATTTTGTATCTATGGGACCCACATTGCCTAATTTAGATGTCTAATCTAAAAAAAAATTACCTTCATATAGGTAGGACCTAGAACCCATTCTCAAAATCTTGTATAATGGGCAAAGTCAAGAATTACCCTTAAAACATATGTCCCTTTATTTCATACTCAAAAATTCAAGGACAATTCAAGACAACTGGAGCTCCTAATCTCTCTATATATATAAATTATATCTTGAATACTATGGGGTACACACTCCCTAAGTCCCAACTATTTCATTTTTTCTAATTAATTTTTTTTTTTTATAATAGAGGATCTTGATTATTACACAAACTATTATGGACAAAAAAACATATCAATTTCAAAATTTAGCAGTAATTTCTTGATCCTTTCTACTTATATATGTACTCTTTTATTTATCATTATGCATATATAGTATAACAAAGGGTTTTGAGTATTACGTAAATTATTCTGAAGAACAAAACATATCAAAGATCTCCATACTCTTTTTGCTCACATACATACCTTTTGTTGTCAGATATTTATCATTATACATACATAATATATTTTTGTTTACTACATATATTACATTAAAGACATTAATACACTTTGTTATGATCATGTATATATGTTATTTTCATTTATAATATTTTGCATTAACTAGTAACCCTAGTGATCAGGAAGAAACCAAGAGAAATGGTGAATTGATCATCTGTCCAAATGATAAAACATGACAATTTTGTATTGGTTTGACTCATTGAATCCCTTAGTCTACTAAACTTTCTAAGCACATTATGTATACGTTCCCTTACCTATGAATAATGTAGTGACTAATTTTTAGGCATCATCATACCCTCTCTATATTAATGTCACTAGAAGCCTGAATGTTATGTTTACTCACTCCTAGATTCACAAATTTAAATATTTAAATGCTATTAATATGGTATTATCTCATTATTAAAGACTTAGGGGGCAATAAGCATCTAAGTGCACACCAACACCTCCTAACAGTGATTGACTTCTACCACTACGATTCAAATGGCTCCTAGCAGAGAGAAAAAAAAATCAATCTTACAATGATGTATTAACATGGAATTGTAGGTTCTTTTCTCATGTTCAGCATATTGAAAGGTTCTCCTTGGATATATTTTCAGCTTCAAACTATATTCCTCTATTATTGAGGCGCCAAATAATTTGTGTTTAATTAATTAATTTCTAAATTTACTTAGTTCCTTGCTGGGGCTTCCCTTTTTCTTTTTTTAATATTTCTCCTACTAATGGAAATCTTTCTCTATTTCTTCTACTTTTAAAAAGTTAAAAAATATTGCAATCCATGTTGCTCAATGTTAGAATGCATTCTTGCAATGTCATCTTTCTGTTTGATTTTATAGGTTGGTGTAAAATTCTTTTGATAACTCATTCTATAGCTCATGATGGATTAACCATGATATAAAACTTTATGTATATATACTATAATCTTTTACTTTATGTGCCCAGGTTTTATTAATTATGTTATTATACTTCATGCAAATATTATTTATAAAACTATATAATGTAATTTCTCATATGGTAATCTAATAACACATTTATTGCTATCTCACAATGTGACTCCTCACATATTGAAATACATTATATCTCCTCATATTCTAACATTTGAATGTTGATGAACTGCACTCCCCTTCCATACAAACTTCCCATGTTGTCTACAATGAACTACATTGTTCTTCATGAGAAATGTTATCTCTAATGTATTACAGTATTCTCTAAAGTTAAATGACATACTATAATATTTCACAATAAACTCTTCTCATATGTCAAAATATTATATCTATCTTATAATATCATAATTGTTATCAATATTAATTTTTATTCAAAATTTGAAAACTTTCTATCAACTGCATTATTTTTTTATGATAAAATATATTGATAAATTTTAAATCATTATCATGTGTATGAATAATATTATAGTTATTCGCTAATTATGAACCTTGTCCTTATGATTCATTAATTCAATATAGTACAAACATTGAACACCAAAGCTTCAATTGACCTCTACTAGTTTTCTCAACTCTAATTAATCAAGTATTTCTAAAAAATAATGTAAAATTCATAAATTTTTTTAGGCTAACTATATTGACATATATATAGGTCGAGTAGAGTATTATTATATTTAAATACAAACAAAAGAATGATTTTGAAAAAAAATGGATTTAAATCCTTAAATGATTTTTCCTCACATGTGGCATTGGAGATATTGATCTTTATCATATTATTATCCCATATATACAATAGCCTATAGGAATATAGACTTTGTCAATATTTATTTATAAAATAAATAAAGACAAGCGTTGTTTCCAATTAACGATATTTTTTGGGGTTATAACTAAAAAAAATCAATAATACATGTAGAGCGTTTTACATGAAATAAATTATTTGAACACTTATTTATTGAAAATATTCTTCCATAATTATGATAATGACAAGATAAATGGGTAAAACGACTTCAGCTCCATCACAATTTGGATTTTGCGTTTGGAACAGATTCATGGGAATTTGAATTCAGCTTCAATCTCCAACAGGGACCTACCCATTATCGAACGGATAATCCGATATAAATATCGGTTCCGATAGTATTTTGGCATTAAGAATCGATTTGACGGTTACGATCTAGCCTAGCCTAATCATGTCCGTCCATTTCTAGATCTAGTTCTCGTCGTGGATTTCGAGTCACGTGGCCCTACGGCAGATGCTCTCTCATATTATATAATCGCAGCGCACAGATAGACAGGAGGAAAATCTAACCAGTAAAAGGGAGACACGTCATCATTTATACGTATTGATTTGCATTGTTCTGTGGAGCATGAACGCACGGGGGCTCTAATGACCAGCTTGGAGAAGGGGAGGGGACAGTTAGGTGCCTTAGTGTTGGCGGCCTCTTCTTTCTCTCTCTCTCTCTCTTTCTCTCTCCTCTCTCAATACCAGCAGCATGCACCTGGGGGAGATCACCTCGCTGATCTTGCTCTTTGCCGCGTCACATCCCGCGATCGGATCGCCGGCGGTAGCGTCGCCGGCGCGGCGTCGGCCCTGCTGCTCGCAGTTGTTTCTTGACCGCTCTCTCCATTGAGGCCTGCAGGAGTGAGGGGGTTTTGGGAATCCTATCTGGTAGGGTACAGTTGTGGACGGGTGAAGGGGTGAGGAGGGAGGAGGATGCCTCCGAGGAGGAGCCCCCCAAGGCACCGCCACGATGGGACGTCTCCTCTACCGTTGGGCATGGACTGGAGCCCTCCTCCCAAGCGATGGGTACTGTCTCTTCCCTCCTTTTAATGTTCTTCTGATCTGGATCACTGATAGGTAATTCTCTTGAAAGGATATGTGATAGTGCCCCCTTTAAACTATTGCCCCTACTTGGTTTACGCTGGTGAAATTTTTGTCCGAATTCTTGATCGAGGTTGTCTCTGAGGGTTCTTCTCCGCGGACACTGTTTTCTTCGTTCTTCTTCATACTCTTAAGTGTGCTGGAAATTTAATCGTGAATTTCTGATTCATGAGGCATTTTCTCCCTTTCATCCTCCTTTCTGATTCATGAAAGCTGAGGATCTGATCGTTTCTTTCACATAGTCGGACGTTTGAAGATTTATCTGGTTCTGTACCGCTTTGAAGTCTTACGATATTTATAGAATCAGAATGTCGTGTTAACTTTGTAAATATATGTGCAATTCTTCACCATGCGCACGGAATTTATATTTGCAGGTATCTTTGTTTTTACTTCTGCTTTCATTGTACGATTGCTGTGCTTGTTATAAGGACTGAGAATTATGTTTATTCCCGAGTTATTAATTAATGCCTCTAAGAAAGAATGGATGTCTTCTGGTGAAAATAAACTCCTAAACTGGATTACAAATGGATAAGAGAAGAGCTACTTTGTGTCATAAGCTTCTATGCATATTTCATGGAATTAGCTCATCTTTTCCAACTATTTGCCAGAATATATAACATAATTTGTTCAGATGGAAATAATAATATGACGGTATAATCACATCTCCTAAATGATTTATATATTTGAAAACATCAAGTTAAAAAGAATCTAGAGCAGTCCATTTATTGACAATCACAATATTTGATAGAAAGCTATTTCCAAAGGGGAAAAACTGCCAATTATTTTAATTTATACGTTTTTGAAATAGTAATGAAAAAATGATAAATTTAGCAAGTTCTCACGTCTTTTAATTTTTTTTGCCATTGTGTTTCCTGAATTCCATAGAATGATTTAAAGATTGAAAAAACCGTGATCCAAATCTGCAAGGCTTTGTGCTTATGATGATATTATTTTATTTGTAGACTGGTAGAGATACCGTGTGGCCTCATGATCCTCAAACAGGGTGGAGTTATTGTGTGACAATTCCCTCTTGGATTGCGCAACCTGATTTGGGGATATCAGATGACAGCTTAATCAATCCTATAGTGGTGAGTGAGGCCTTCTCATCTTGTTCTTCTATTTTGATGGTTATGCTAGTTATGGCTAGCATCCCAAATTCTGTGTTGTTATTTGTAATCTTTTTTTATGGACAAATATATATCATAAACTAGGAAATCAAAAAAGTTTTCACCAGACAGATTTGTGAAATAGTAGGCAATTTCTTTCTCCACGAATAATTAGTACGTTGTAAAATATGGTCATTGATAATTGAAGAGTGTTGTTATATACGTCACTAGAGATGGATATTGTGTGCTGGCAAATGAACCCATAATTCCCTGCGAATTGGAAACCGACTAGCTTCTAAAGAAACGACTAAAGCACTTATTCACATTGTTATTAAACATTTGTTGTAGATGTTTGATACACATGAAATGTTTTATGAGATTTCGTAGTTTTAGTCATGATGTAGCACTGACACCAAAAATGACCAACTCCCTGTCTGTTTTGATTCGATTCATATGTTTCTTATCTTAAGCACAATGTGAAATTTGCTGCGTTTTGCACTGTACGTAGAACGCCTCAAACATATAGGTTAACCTGGAAGTCAATCTTTGCTTTAACTGAAGACATTTTTCGTGTTCATCCATTATTTTTCTTTGTCGACTACACTGGCTTTCTACATGTGTAATTGGCAAGCTGAAAATTAGTTATGGATAACTTGAGTTGGTGAAGGATAGTCTTTGTGGACTTGACATATGTTTTGTGTGCAACAAATGAATTTGTATAATCAAAACTTGGAAGCAATCTTGGAGAGTCACTTGAACCTTTGACCTGAAGAAAAATGGATAATGATGTGATCGTCTGCCTTGAAGTTTCTTGGGGCAGGTTTGGATACAATTTCATATTCTCTTTTAGGGAATTGTAATAAGGAATGGAGTTTGAAAATTGACAATGGTTGATATGTAAATGAACAGAAGAATTTAATTGATGATTTTTTCGATTCCTAGGTGGTTTTATATTATGTACTTTTATACTTGTCCATAAGAGTGTCCAGTATGTTTCAATTCGGATTGATCATCTATATTTTGATGAAGAGAGAATTTTAAACCTTTTTTTTTTACTTCAAATATTTCTGACCTTGTGGTGTCAAAACGTTAATGCCACTTACGTATTATGACACTATGTGAACAATGAGAGTATCTCAGCCTTAGTACCCATTTACTTTCTTATTTCTAAGGTTGGGAACATAGCAATAATAAGCTGCTGGATGGAAAAAGTGCACAATCGTTTGAGGAGGGAATTGCATGTCTGTTGAAGATCAAGTAATTCTGGGTACATATGTGATCCTACTTTGGAGTGGCACATTAGATATATTACAATGCACATTTAGCTTGATTCAATACATACACAGAGGACATTGTTACAAAATATACAATAAGTAAATGTCTGAAATTTATTATCACCATTTGTTGTGTAGACAGGTTTTGAAGGAAGGAGAATGCCAGGATATAAAAAAGGTGCTTATTCATAAAATGATACGACTATTGGTTAGGTGCCGTGTATCTCAGCTTAAGATGATGAAGATCGCTTCAATGTACTCTCAGAAGATCGCTTTAACAGATTGGGCTGAGAACAATGCGTTTGAGGTGACATGGTTGAGGGTACTGATCTGGGTCACTAGGAGTTGGATGCCAGCGGTCAAACCCATTGGAACTGTTTCGGTGTGAGCTTGGTTCAATCCAGATGTAGGGGTGGCAAAATGAATAGTGAGATGAGTATGACACATGTGTGAGGGATGTAAACTTGATATCATGCTCCGGAAGGAGAGAGGTGTAGGGAAGATGGGGAGCATAGAGTGCTTTCAAGTTGAGTGCTTTGTTTTGAGTGGCTGTTGGAGTCATGGTTTGCAAAATCAGAGATTAGACGACAATCAGTCACATTCAAGCCAGTTTTGGTGGGAAAGTCATTTCCCCTTGAAATGAAAAAGGCAAAAAAATGCATGCAGCTGAAACCAGTTTCTCATGCTTGGACAACCATTCTGCATCTTGATCTATCATTTCTTCTTGATGGTGAACCACTGTTTTCCATTTACATTGCAATCGACCACTGTGATAAAGAAGTCGGAGGACCCTGGAAACAACCACCATTGGCTTCTGTGATGTGCTGTTACTTCTTGGTACTGGCTGCTGTCATGTGCCATCAGTTGACAGCCCCTGTGACCTGCAGCTGGTCTCTATTCGGAGGATATGCCTTATTATGTTTGGAGGGACAACCAGAGTAGAGTGGGTGTAGAAAGGGTATTGATGTTCCATTTTCTGATTTCTTTTTGCAGTTTAATAAAATATTTTTTTTTCTAAAACTTATACTACCATGCTTAGATCTGCTGATTTGGCCGATCCAATCTCGACTTAGTAGACCATGGTGTGAACTGATCTTTTTTATGGAAAAGAAAGATTTGAATTCAGATTGGGTAGGGCAGGTAAAACACCATAATAGTAGTTGTTTAATGTTTTCCGTTCTTCGTTTACGTTTCAGAATTATTCTTGCCAAAGCAGTCAGATCCTCTCCGCAGTATACATTGTTCAGATGGTCCAGATAGATCGATTGATGTTTGAATAACTTCGAGAGAGACGTTTCTGTTATTAATGTCTATGGACTGACTTGACAGATATGTCTGTGACATTAATTTGTGTAGGTAGTAATCTTTTCCAATTTAAACAATGAACAGTATGTCTATGGAGTGGATGTTGCCTTATAAACAGTAAATGGGTGCTTGCATACAGCCCATATCATGTGTTGCCTACTTCATCTTTGTCCTAATTTCGCATGGATGTCCCTACGCCACTCCAGTACTTGAGTGACGAATAGCATCCTAAGAGGCTCATAACGTCTTCTCCAGTTCTGAAAATATTCATAACACCCTCTCTCCTTACCATGGTCACCATCCAGAAAATTTCAGCAACCAAACAGTTGTTCACCTGGTCCCCAAACCATTATGGCCATTTTAGTTTCTTGATCTGCTTGTAATCTCCCGGGAACTGTGAGGAAATGCTGATTTAATCCAAGATACTTAAATTTGAAACTTACTTCGGATTTCAAGACGTTTGTTTGGTAAAAATCTTTAATCAACCTCGACATATTTATGACAAAGTTAACTTAGCGGTAAAAATACCTTTTTGAACATTTGCGCACAAATTATTGATTATGCTTTTTCCTATATTAGTCGAATTTTATGGTTGGGAAGACTGTTCTATGTCATTCCAGTAGGATTATAGAATTAAAAATTCAAAAGGTCTTTGTTAGGCCTTATAATTAGTCACTTCCACAGATTTATTCCAAAATAGCTTTTAAAATTCTTTTTCCTTAGACATACAAGTTATTAACTTCTTTTCCTTTGTTGTTCAATTTTTTTTAATTATTCGGAGGACAGTTCTACAGGGTTCAAGTAGGTATTCAATCGCCTGATGGAACAAGTTCTGCTCGTGGAATACTTAGAAGATTTAGTGACTTCTTGAAGTTGTTTTCTGCTGTAAGCAAAAACATTTTGGTGATTTCCAGTGAATCAATAAATTCATTTTTCCTTTAATTTCTCCGGCTGAGGGAAATATGTATCTTATTGTCATATTGAGATTTTTTTATTGGCTCACTTGAAGTTGATAGAAGAATCGAGTGCCTTTCTCACAAGGGTCACATTTTGAACTTCATTGATCTTCCTAAAATGCCCTCTGTTCTGTGATTGGTTCTCTGCTGTTGGTCTGGTGCATGTGAATCCACATGAGACATACAAAAATGTGCAATTTTTTGCTGCATTCCTTTTTTAAGAAAAATAATTATATTTAATCACACCTTCAGAGGGGTAATCCTTTTTCATTTTACCAGATTGATGGAGCGATTTGGTGTTGTTATTAATGATACACCTAAAACTATAATCCGCAGTTCTTTGATTTAACCATGTATTTTTAGTTATATTTTATGTGCGTCTGTCTATTTATCGAAATCAACTCATTGCTATTGCATGAGCAATTCGTTTGTCTTAACTTACATATGCATCTAATACAAAGCTAGACTACGTCAAATGAACAACCTGGTCCAACTGGATTTATTTATCTTACTTCTTTTTAAGTTATCGAATTTGAGATGATATCAAGTCAGTAATCCTTCTATCTAGGCATATGGAGGGAGGAAACTCTGAGCTACTAAGTTTATGTTGCAGAACTGTATAGATCTTCTGGCATATCGAATAACCTCCATTATTTATTGTCGTATGATTATAATATACCTGATTTGTTCCAAACCTTCAAGGGCTAACAAATATCAGTCTCAGCTTTTTCCCCGTATTGATCTTGAGCCAGTCCCCCCTCCCCCTCCCCCCCCGGATCATTAGTTCTCAAATCGTTTGTAATCATCATAAAAAAGTTACCCATATTTTCAACACAATATTTTGCAGTTTCAGATCCTTTAGACCACTCAGTACTGGACAAATCATACGTCAAACTATTGGCATCTTCCTGGACGGTAAGTCGCTTGTGGCCTACTTAAATATGGAAGGAAAAATCGAGATTGGACATGTATCCAAGCAATAACTAATTGCTCAACAGTATCAACTGTTCTATCGATGCACAAGAATCATATACAGTTGGTATCTTTGGTTGTGCATGACATAGCACGAAGCAGCATTTCAGTCTGCTTAGTTTTATGTAATATGCTCTCGTCTTGCATCCGTGAGTGTATGCTAAACATGCCATGTTTCTTGGTATTTTTCTTCTGCTGTCCCTTTTTAGAAATCTTTCAATGGTTTTCTCTTATTTTAGAATATCCCTCGTGGTACTTTAAACTTGCCTGCTGAATAAATGTAATATCCTTTTGTCATTTATTCTCTTGATGCAAATGACTTGCTTTCTGTAGCTGAAGAAGTCATTTCCCAAGAAAAGCATTCCTCCTGCTCCACCAAAGCATGCATTATTGAGAATCAATTCCAGTCGGCTCCTGTTAGAAGAGGTATCTAAACTACCTACACAAGTCTATCCAACTGCATGCTTCATTCACGTCTCTCTTTGCTTTCAGGATGAAATCTTTCACTTGGCTCATTAAAATTATATGTGGTTGATCGAAAACAACTTGAAAACATTGATTGGACTTCTGTTCATCCTGCTTATTGTGTCCATCCTGCAGTACATTGATTGTGGGGTTTATACTTCATTTAAAAGTGATATATGAGAGTTGACTGTGGGGTTTTTAATTTATGTGATATATAACTCGGTCAATATTGGTCCCTAGGATCTTCATCTGTATAAGTAATCTCCTCTTTCTCTGATTGCACAACTTTTCCTAGGGGTTGTCATCATCATCAAGCCTGCTTAAGCATTCTCTTAGTTGGCCCACTTCCACTGCAATTTGAGGTTTCTCGCATTCTTCTTTCCTCTTTGGAAACTCAAGTTGAGAAACCTGAATTCAACTTGAGAAATCTTTTTTTTAATTTTTTGAGCTCTTCTTTTTCCATCAACTAATATTCGTTTCTATTAGCTGGGATAATCGTTTTTCTTTTCAATTATTGATAAGTCAAAATCACCATCCATCTTCAGTCATTGTATAAGACTAATTTTCTTAGCAGCAGAGTTTGATATTTCCTTTCAATGCTGGATAACTGGTGGCATCGCATAGATAATCATCGCATAGTTTTATTGTAGTTAGTTTCTCTAGAAGCTCAACGGTGCAGAATTGGATCAGCTACCATGGTACTCTTTGGGGGAACCCAATCCTCACAATGAAAGTTCCGTTTGATAATGAAAAGTCTGTGCACGATTATCTTTACCCACTTTCAGCAATATTTTTCTAGACCCCATTCCCAATATTCTACTCCTGTAAATGTTCTGCTTGAATCCTGTGGAAGAACGGATTTTCTGTTTGGATAAAGAACTCACGATTAGCGGTGAGGTGGTGACTGTGGTGTTGATGATGGATTTTGTTTAGTCAATTGATCTTAATTGTCTGTATAGATTTCTCTCCCCGAATTATTAGATCGAGAAATTTATCTATGTTTCGATGTATTAATGAAGGGGGAAGGCCAAAGAGCTAGTAGGAAAATCAAAATTTCTGGACTTCGCAAAATAATTAGATAATAATCATTTTATTAGAAAGACAGCCTACCTGATGTGGTTTAAAGGTATCTTATTCTACGAATTACTTGGGCGGTCTACTCTGTAGTTTTCTTGTTCCAGATATTATTTGATTTTTTTTTCAACGTGGATAAAATGGTTCCTTCCAAAAAAGTCAATCAAATTCTACCTTTATTTTAAAAATTCTTGGATCACTTCAAAACAGAAGGATAAGATATAATTGTTAGAGAAAGTATTTGAAACTTTGATCATTTGCCTGTAAAGCAAATTACGGTCAGCAATGAAAAGTGGTTACTGATGTTCCTCAAAATAATTATTCTATTGCAGAGAAGGTACGCTTTGGAGGAATGGATGGAGAAGCTGCTTTCTGACATTGATTTGTCTAGGAGTGTCCACGTTGCATCCTTTCTTGAGCTAGAGGTTGCTGCAAGGTCATGTAGGTCTCTTTTGTCAATGATCATGTAAATGTAGCATATTTCTTACTTTTTGAGATCTAGGTAATAGTTGGATTTATAAAGTACGATTTTTCTTGGCGTCTTATTTATAAGGTACTTTCATCTTTTTATTTTTACTTTTTATGGAGACTTAATAATCATCGAAGCCTTCCCTATTGTTTGATCTTTGTACCGTGAAAAGGAGAGTTTTGTGCAGTTTGATGTAGGAGAAGTGAGAGATGAGGACGTATCAATCAAAGTTTCTTTTATGGCAATTTAGTTAGCATTTTCTGCCTTTTCTTGCAATAGTGAAAAATATGACGGACTATTGGAAAGTAGTATATTACATGATAACTTACTATATTTAACTTACTATATTTACTAAGTTATCGATTATTGAATTATTGGGTTCAATAGTTGATGTATCCTCATGAATGTGGAGATGACATGGTACTGGTCTTTTCCAAAGGCAAAAAAGTAAACTAAAAAATCTATCTATCCTTTTAGCTTCAAGAAAGAATGTTGTCTAGTTATCAGTCACATTCATAGTGCAGTCAGGATAAGGGCATATGTTTGAGAGATTTTGGCCGAAAAGTGCAATGCTCAATGAATTTCCCTTGTTGGGTTTGGCTGTGACTGCACCAGACCCACAGCCAAGGTTAATTTTTAAAACTCCATACCACAGTGCTACATGGCCTTCATTCTGACAGTCTAGTATGACCACTCTTTTCTTCTGTATTCGGACAACCAATGGGTTAAATGATTTTCATATATGATATACTTAAATCATTATATTATATGGTTTTATCGATTCATCATGTTTCCCCAAATTCTATCCTTTTTTAGTTTAACATTCTAAACTGTTTGGTACTCCTTTTTTCAGCATTTCGAGATGCAAGTACGAGTAATTTCGAATCAAATCCCTCTGATAGCACTGGGTTATCTACTAAACTTCGTGTTCGCACTGGTTCAAGCACTTCAATTGGCAATTCAATTGCGTCTGCAGGTCATTCATTAGCATCAGACTGTAGCAGTGATAATGCCTGTGAGGTGTCTGAGGCTGAAAGCCCAAGGCATGAAATGGCTCATAAATATGAAGCAAACACTGAAGGTTCGTCAGTGGTGAGGAATGACATTCGCGATGATCTTCCTAGAGAAATCAATTCTAGCCATCCAGAAGCATTTTCTAAGCCTGTGGTGAAGACTGAAAATGCTTCAAAGGAAGCGGTGTTTTTTGTCAATAGGATTGGTGATGCAAATGAAATACAGCATGACAGGCTATCCAGTCACACTCGAAAAAACTCGAATGAGAGTATTACTAGTGATATTAGCTCTATAAGAGGTAGTGAATTACAAAATGCTGGTCTATCTGATTCACTGGGTGATAGTTTTGTCGACTTTTTGGAGGGGGAAGTTTCCGCCACACTGGAAGCTATGACCAGAACGGATCCCCTGTCTGCTAATGATATGCGTGTTATTTTTCCACTTGATCAGCGACAAAAGTTAAATAGAATTCTTCTCACTATGCAACGGAGATTAGTCACGGCAAAAACTGATATGGAAGATCTAATAGCGAGATTACATCAGGAAATAGCTGTGAAAGAATACCTTTCAACGAAGGTAATGCATCTTTTTTCCATTTTTCTAAAATTCCATTGTCTTACAACTAGTTGGATTTTATTGCTTATTTAAATGTTCTATTGTTTTCAGTCATTTGTTTCACTGGACAGGCTTCATCAGTTGACTATTCTCTCAGTCACTTTTCCGACATCTATTTCATGATTTAATAGAATCTGGAATGTATTCATTGAAAATTTTCCATTTGTGTTTCTTCATTCTCATCCGTCTTCCCCCTCCCTCTTTGTTGTTTATCAGTGGAGAATTTTTTTGTTAGATTCACATATTGCCGCTTAATGTCATTGTTCTTGCCAGTTCCTTTAGTAAGTTTGATCAGGCCATGGTGATATTTTTGTTTAGGTCAAGGATCTGGAGGGGGAACTTGAAAGTTCTAGGCAGAAAAGCAAAGAAAACATGCAACAAGCTATTTTAGTAGAAAGAGAAAGAATCACACAGATGCAATGGGACATGGATGAGCTTCGAAGAAAGACATTGGAGATGGAGTCTAGACTCTACTCTGAACAGGTTTTTGTCGTCCAAATCACATCCTCCTCTCCATCCAAGAACTACCGCATACAACTGAAGAACTTGCTTGGCTATTCGGATATATTCCAACTTTTTTTCCTTTTCTTGCTTGCAGAACGAAAGAGTGAGTGCAGAGTCTGAAAAAGCCGCTGCTTTCAGTGAGAGGGAAATACTGGTACAGGACTTAGGCGCAAAAAAAGAGCAAGTGACAAATTTACAAAGACGTTTGGAAGAGGTGGAGATGAAATCAAAGAGTGACATTAAAGTTCTTGTTAAAGAGGTAAAATCGCTTAGAAAATCACAAGTTGAACTGACGGAGAAGCTGAATAAATCTATCAAAGAGAAAACAGAACTAGAGGTAAGTTGTAGCCTTTTGGTCCAAATGATTAAGGATACTGAATTTATTTGATTCTTTCCTTCTTTTTTATATTTTCCCATCTGTATCCATCTATTGGTTCATCTCTTTATGTATGCATAGATAGATATATAGATCTATATACATGTATATATATATCTTTAACTTGCTAATTTTCTCTAAATGGGTTGGAGCCTAATCTTTTCCCATGCGGGGTCATTTCTCTGCATTTTTAGAACTCATGGATGACTGATGATAAGGTGTCAATGGAATTATAAATAATCAAGTATGGTGATTATCAGCACAAATAATTAAATATAATTCCACGCTGAACTCAAAATATGAGAAACTCACAGAAGAAGTTAATAAAGTGGATCAATTTCACGAATGGAGTGTAATACAGTTAAATCTACGAGAAATAAAGCACGTGATTCTTGCAGGGCCGCTCTTGTGGTTGTAGGAGGATTGCTTGTTTTGATGGATATCTGCATAAAAGTTTCCTGTAGGAACGTCCTGGCTCTCCAACATTTGAATCCTGAATTTCTTGATTGTCAGATCTTCATGATGGAACGTAGGCTTTTTATAATGTATTTCCTACCTGAGAAGATTGACGGGTCTATAGTGAAGGTAATGTGAGACAGCAAAAGAGGTTATTGATAGTGAAGAATTTTTCATTATCTATAGTGGTTGAAATAGTGAGGAATTTAGTAATGAAATTTCTTATGCTCAGAGGCATTGGTTGCTGAGTCAAAGTTGATCTGGTCGGATGAGTTTTTGATAATTAAGTCAATTTTGTGGTATGTTATGATCTGTTTTTGATCTGATATGATTTGGACCAACGTTGGACAAGCCAAGTAGACCAATTATGTGGAAGTATTGTCCCTAACAATAAACATTAAATGGGCATTTTCTCAAATATTGTTGGAGCATATCAAAAGATAGTTTGCATAAAAGAAGAAAATCACAGTAGTTTTCTTGAGTAGGGAGTGGTTGCAGATGGATCATGATGATAGTAGTTTTCTTTCGTCTCCTCTTCTTCGTTCTTATTATGCTTCTCGTCACTGATACTGCTTTCTTCTCCTTTCAACTTCCTCTTACTTTACCTGCTGCACCTAACTGTGTTCATCGTGTATATCTCAGAGAGCTCTTCAGAAAGAAAAGGAAAAATGGGAAGATGCAAAATTAGCAAAGAAGAACCTCCTTCATGAATGTGGAGTTCTTAGAGGTCGTCTCGAAGACTGCAATGTGAATGTTTTTCTGGAAGAGGAAGATGATTTGACAGTTAATCCTTCAGCTTTACCTGATTCTCTGGATCTTTTAGCAACTTCAGACAATCGGATTGGCCTTCTTCTGGCAGAGGTATGCTTATTTGACTGTCATGACATGGTTTAGATTTTTGCATTCAATTCCTCCCTGGGACGTGAATTTTTCCAGTAGTAACTTAAATAGATAGAGTGATCTATCTAGAAGACTGTATCACAGAAAACGACACATGGTTGTTATCCTTTTTGACAGCTGCAAAGGTTTTATTTATATCTTTTTCACGTAAAATACTTTCTTTATGCAACACATGGTTGTAGTATGATTACAAAGTTTCTTAAGATTTGATAGTCTTTATTCATTAATGAACGGGATTTGTATTCAATTAGTACAATGAAGACATCTTAATACGTTATATTTACAAAATTGTATATGCTCGGAAAAAAAGAAGCTATCATGAGATCGAATCAAGTTGCTAATAGAACAGATCGAAGAAGATAATCACAAATAAATGGGGTTGACATCGAAACATTTTTATTTTTCCAGAATAAGTCAGCCTTCCTCTCTTTCTGATGAAGTGAAAGAGTATGGGCTCGTAGTTTCTTCTTCGGCTCTCCAATGTCCTAACAGCTTACCCTGATTTGGAATAAATTAAATGCTCAGACGAAACTGTCTGTTCGTTTGAAATCTCCTTGTCAAATTTGAATGCCAACGTTTTACTGATCATCTAAAAAGATTATCTATAAGCATACACTGGCCCTTGCTTGTACAGGCACAACTCCTTGCTCGAGACAATGGAGCTGATGTTTCATCTCTGGGAGATGCCTCAAGCAAGGAACTTTCCAGGAACTCATCGGCCATGAATGGTGAGGATCTCAGAACATCGGATGGTGAAGTGCGGAAGATGCTGACCAATGTCTTCATAGACAATGCCAAGCTGCGTAAGCAGGTGAATTCCATCACACGTTGCGCCCTCAGGATAGCAGCCAGAGCAGAGAAGGAAGAAGCTGATGGATCAACTCCGGTGAGGAAAACTGTTCTAACCAAGTTCTTGGAGAGATGAGGTTGGTAAATCTTGACTATGCTTTTTTTCTTTCTCATCACTTTTTGTCATAAAACCCCATCAATTATCGGCGGGCATGGCCTCTTCTTCTGTAAAGGTTATACCATCTTGGATCACATGGATCTTTTCTCCTTTTTTCTCTCATCAATGCTGTATCTTTTTTTTTTTTGGGTAGCGAAACAATAATGTACACAAAAATTGTGAAAGAAAATGAAAAAAAACGAAGAATCCATGGATTTCCTATTCTTCCCTTGTTGCATCTAAGCTGAGAATCCATGGATTTCTTAGAAACCCAGGTAGAAATCCATGGTTGTGGTCGATTCTACGATATTGCATAATTTTTTAAAACAGATATATATTATAAACTTTAAATGTTTTCTAATTAAAAGGTTTTGGTAGACCTCACAAACCATGGGTGAAAACAGCAAATAAAAAAATTATTTAACAAACTCAGTCTATTTAAATAATTACGGACAATTCAATGGATTAAATTGAGGCCTATAAATGTCAAATAAATTTTAATAATTAACCAAAAATTCATAAAAATCATACAAAGTCACATAAACATATATTTGTTTCTCTATTTAACATAAATGATTATATATTTATCATAAGTTAGTTTATAAAACTAATATTTTAAAATATTATTAACTCATGATAATAAATATTTATTAATGGTGCTCCAATATTTTCATAGTGTTGAAGAAGAAGAAATCACACAATAACAAGCATCATTAGGTAGTTAATAAATAATTAAATAACTAAGTATTGTGGAACCTACGAAAAAGAATGCTAATAAGTAAGAATGAAGGAACTTGAGACTACAGATGAATAAGATAATAAATCCCTAATTGCAAAAACGACATCTAAAACTTCCCACTAACTACGAACTTCTTCAAAAATTGAAAGAATGGTGAGTAAGAAATGCCACTTTGCAGGCAAACCCTCCTAAAAAAATCTCACAACATGGATGCTTCAAATAAGAAAAAGCATGTCACAATAGTATAAACTTTGGCCAATGATAATAGCATTATCATCATCACCTCAGCATCAACAATTACATCTGCTACATGAAAAAGAGAAGATATCATCATAATACACCTCTTGATGTTTTTTTACATGGTCCTATGGGTCATTTACTCTCATGCATTCATCAGCATTTCACATAATCTCATTACCAACATAGAACTCTTCCGGTGGCAGTTGCTATTTGGGTATCATGCATCCAGACATGTCACATGGAAATCCATCATATCATCTTCACAATTGGGGAACTGAACATGAAGGAATGTCACAGACACAAACACATAATTCCAATTGAAGATGTGTTTACTGACCTTTCACACTATTCTTCCATACGACGTGATTGATTGTCAAGAACATGTGATTTTTTTAGTAAACTGAAATAATTTTAGCTTGTATCCCTACTTGTCATTGGTACAAATTACTATCAATTCCCTTTCTAGCATGAAATGAATCAATGATACTCCTATATCATATTTCTTCTCAGCTTTCACTATGCCCAGATTAAAACCCTCTCTTCTAAATCCAACAGAAACTGGTTTGGGTCAAGTTAGTCATGGGAATTTTGACAGTCTGACTTTAAAGAAATGATTCCCTACCTTTAACCCCTATACACAACAAGTGCAAAGATAATAAAGAAGAGACCACAGATGGTATACTTACCATATGTGCTGTGACCAGAGGCTCCAGTCCTCTTTCCTTCATCTCCATCTCCCTATGTTGAAAGCGAAAGGCAAGGGATGATCATTGATATATATTATCATCTCAATCGGTTGCCTAGCAAGGAATGTTTTCAAGAGACGATCCCAACTCAAGGAATGCTTAGTGAGGCCCAATGGAAGATTGGTCTCACCAAGCCTATGAAAAGCTGGTCATTCATCTGGGCACAAGAGTCCTTTCAAGAACTGAATTAATTATACTAAAAGGGAAGAATTGAAGAGGAACCCAGGACTCATCTATCTCTAACAAAACCAGAATTTACAGGAGAGGAATTATCCTTCTACATCTCCAGCATTGAAGAGGATCAGAAGATCGTAGGAGTGAGATAATTACAACAACGAAGTACCAGAAAACCCTTCAAAAATCAAGGAAAAGTCGATGAAGAGAGCAGGAAAAAAAGGGATTTTGAGATTGCAAAAATCTGATAATCAGTACTAGTGTAACTAGCATCATTCTTGTCCAAGCTATTGGGGGTGGAAGCTCCTCGCCATTCAGATAAAGCAGGTGATCCGATCAACTCCGCTGCCCCCCGTTGAACCTGGATGTGAAAAAATCACCTAGGACGCTTCCCTGCCGTCAGAGGAAACGATACCCTCTGAGGCGTCAGCTGCTGCTGGGGCATTGGCACGTCGCCTGCCCCACCGCTGTGGTCCTGAGGAAACTTCGGTGGGTTCACTGCAGCAGGAGCGGAGGGGCCATCATCTTCTTCCTCAGGCCCGTCGGCTGATCCCGAAACCTGTTTCCTCGGAATAAACAGCTGAAAGTTTGGGCTGAGGAGAGTGTCCTGCTCCGGGGGCAGAGGAATGCCAGGTCCCCCAATGGATTTGGGCAGCGGAACCTTGTTCCTGCTCCGAGCCAGCTCCAGCAGCACCTACGAGAGCGCAGACATCGACCCGTAAGAGAACGATTCCCTTCGAAACAATGGCTCGAGGAGAAGAAATCGGAGCCAAAAAGGGCAGAATTAAGAAGTTAGGATTTAGAAGAAAAAGCAGTCGCACGGGGCGATCTAGGGTTTTGAAGGATCTTCTGAGAGACTTCTCACCTCGCGGGGAGGCGGCTGGGAGAAGGAAAAGTTGACCTTCGACTGGATGGCGAGCTTCACGTCGTCGGGGTCGATGGCTCCCTTGCCGGCGTGCTCGGAGTAGACATTCGCGTCGTTGAGGACGTCGACGACGTAGCGATACCATAGCTCCAGGAACTGGTTCACCACGCGGGGCTCGTAGTCCGCCACGCCCATCGATCGCAGCAGCGCCCTCACGATTCTCGCGTCGCGGGGCCCGTCGGCCTCCTCCACCGTCCCTTCGTCCCTCCCCACGGCGCTGCCCGCGACGGCGGCGCCGCTGCCGGAGGCCCCCTCCATCGCCGCCCTCTCCGCAGCCCCCACCACCCCCCCATCACCCTCCATGCCCACAGTCCCTCCTCCGAATGGCCGCCGGGAGACACGGCGTCAAGCCACCAACGCTCTCCCCCGCCCCTACGTGACCGTCGAGTAGAAGCTGGAACTACAGGTGGACAGCAACTCTACTTGCCCTCCTCCACTCAAGACCTGATTTCATTCGAACCCAACGTCCCTCCCTTCCTGCTATTGGGTCTCCCCGCCTTCCCCGCCAACTCCCGCACACAGGAAGAGCCTCAGAGTAAGCGAGAGAGAAAGAGAGAGGAACCAGAGTATGCGCCATGGGGATACCTCTTATATAGCTTGTTAGTTTCCCCACATAAGCGGAAATTGAGGACTAATGTCTCACATTTTTAGTAAGCTTTCCATTATCTGAGCATAGTAAGATGTAGGATCAAACAAATGAGTTGAACCCAGATCTTTTACAGATAATGCATCCAAATAATAGAAAAAAGCCGCCATTTTGCCGTTCTTCTCAGCTGTTGGGTTGACTTTAACTGGGCGGCAAGTGTTTACTTCCGGCTGAAAAATGAGGGTTGTCTCTCGAGGAACATGGATTAATATCTGCGCATCTTAGTAAAGTCTTCATCATCTGACTTTAATAATAAAAAATGTGTCGAACCCAGATCTTCTGCATATAGAAAATACATCCAAATAAAAAAAAAAAGCTGACCAACGAGGAACAGATTAGGTTTTTTAAGATCTGAGTAATTGGAAATCCTTGAAAAGTCGGTTGACAGAGAAGACCTGATACGTTTGGAGGCTGGTAGATGATTCCCCCATAGTTTGAGCATCTAGATCACACGCAGTATGTGCACGGCTACTCCCAAGATAACATCAAGCTGATTAGGCAGCACTGCCTTTCTTTTTCTGGCATAGTTATCTGCAAGAAGGGTCTATATATTGTCCAGTTCTTACGATGAAGAAAAAATCCATGCAGAAAAAACAAATCACTGAGCAAAGGTAAATTTGGAATCAATGTTTGGACTATATATTATTATCTCCATCACAAACTGAGGAAGGCCAGAAGTGAAAGAATCATAATATCAGCTGGAAAAGAAAGGTCAAATTCTGTTGCTCATAATATCAGGTACATATGCAAAAATGGAGGCAGAAATGATGACGTTGACCCAAAGTCAACTGAATACATTTAAGAAAACATTGATTATTTATCAGTAAAAAGAGGAATTAAAAAAAAAAAAAACAAGAAAGCTTCCATTGTGTGAAACTTCAGGTTTCTCAACATGAATTCATGCTACCTGTGAAATCAAGGAGTGATTTATGTGAACAACTGCAGATATTTAGCATTCAATGATATTTAGGTTGAGTAATATCAATAGGTAGAGACATTTGGGCTGTTGAATATCTAGCGCAATTTTTCAGGTTCTTCAATGACTGAATTGACAATTATTAGGTCTGGGCTGGTGACAGCAAAGGGGCACCAATGCAGATTAGTTGATGACCTGCAGGACTGGGCAGAGTCATCTCCATTGTTGGAGCATTGCTGTTCAATAAATAGGGTTTCTCCCAAGAGAGAAGAAGCATGAAAGAAGCCTCAATGGCCATGGAAGATTGTACAGTCAGAGCAGGAAGAGGCTCCTGAAGATCAAGGGGAGTGCTCATGATCTGTTCTTGTATAGATGAGGTGCTCTGGAATGACCTCCTGTGGCATGGGTGGAGTTTGATTATGTAACACACATGAATAAACAAGTACAGACATAATATGCATGGATTGTAAGTCCAGATTCATTTATATAGTCACAGTCTGGTGGCAAAATATTCAATTGAATGACCCAATATGATCAAGATCTTCAATGAAGTTGACAAGCATATGGATTTGGGGAAGAATCTAATTAGCATGCACTCAAAAGAAATAGAATTTTGATATGACGTGTATATATTTTACCCCTTTTTTTCTGCTGATGCTGGATCGGAGAAAGGTAGTGGATAATCAGAGGGTAGTATGAAAGCCATGGTATATAACCAATGTCACTACCTTTTCTCTTCGTCCAACTGGGAGCCGGAGCATCTTGCAGTTCCCTTCCTTCGCAAGCCTGCCTTGATGTCACACCCCCAGTCGCTCTGCACGCCTCCACCCCCCCTCGCCCCCATGGCGGGCAGGCAGGTCGGCATGCAGATGCGGGGGCTGGCCGGCCATGTGCATGCACACGGCGGGTCGAGTGAAAGTGATGCTGAAATGTGAAAGATATACATTTAGTATGGCGTGTGGCATTCAGTGCCATACTCCTAAAATGTGTGAAAATATACATTTAGTATTTTATTTTTGGGTGTAAAACTTCCACAGGATCGGCAGATTTGTGTAGTCCACAGAGGTATACTAGTAAGTGAAATAATCAGCAAAATTTTAAAAAATATATGAATACGAAGAGAGAAAGAGAGAGAGAGAGCTTGGCTCGATTTTAGCTAGTGAAAGATTAATGTTGTTTGTGGCAGTAATACACAAACCATTAGAAAAATTAAGAATTTCATGAATTGTATCCCATCATGGGATCCTTGCAACGCTGATATTGGATCATTTTTCCCGAATGAAGAACCATGCATATTATAGGCAACAAAAAGAATCTAATAGATTAAGCAATTGAGCCTCAAATCTATACAAATATGTGGGTAATCCCTACTTCACAGAGGTCACAAGTAAGCTACGATTTGCATGCTCAATGATCTTGAACAGCCTAAATGAGATGAACCAAAACCAGTGACACAGGTAATATTGAAAAAAAGAAAACGTTTTTCTCCACAAGTACCATAAGACCCTCCTGACCGAAGACTAGTGGCTGGTGTTCTTGCAGAAGATGGAAGCCACAACCAATCCATGGTTGAGGAACAGCACACAATTCAGGAACAACCTCGCTGCTTTTCCATTAACAGTCTTGAATCTACAAAATTGGCACGAATCAACAAAATCCGAAGCTTAATAGCATTTTATATCATCAAAGGACACAAACTGATTCAATATACCCTCCGATGCTCTGAATGATCACCTAAAAAATATATCTGACGAATAAAGTCAATGAACCCCCATGCTCGAAATAGCCTTAAGAATAACCTGCATTGTGACAAAATCTGGAGCAATCCCTCTGTCGAGCATCTCTTCGATCAACCCCATGCAGTCGTGAAAAAGCCCATCTTGGCAAAGTTTCCCTGTTATAGTAGTATATGTAATAACATTGGGCGGGCACCCTTCTCCTGCCATCTCCCTGAGCAACCTGACAGCCACGGTAATCTTTCCAATCTTACAGAACCCTTTAATAAGAGAGTTATAGGTGACTACGTCAGGGTATATGCTCCTTGCCTTCATTTCCCCGATCAACCTGAGAGCACAATTCACAAATCCCTGCTCACAGAGTTTATCTATTATCGTGCTATATGTGACCACATCGGGCTTGCAGAGCTTATCCTCCATCATCATCATCTCTCCGAGCAATGCAAGTGCCATTCTGACGTTGCCCACTTTGCACAAACCCTTGATGATGCAGCTGTAAGTAATAGCATTTGGAGAGATCTCCCCAGTCTCCATTTCCCCTAATATACCTATAGCCCCGTCCACATGGCTACCATCACAGAACCCATTGATTATTGTGCTGTATGTGACCAAATTAGGTTTCAAAAGGTCGCCTTTCCTCTCCATTCCCCTCAGCAACACCAGGACCTTGCTGGCCTTCCCCGCCTTGTAGAACCCCTTAATCATGGTGCTGTAGGTGACAACATTTGGCGAGATCCCTCTCTCACCCATTTCACCAAACAGCCTCACGGCAATGTCAACTTTCCCTTCTCCACAGAAAAAGTTGATCAGAGTGTTGTAGGTGACGACATTCGGCTTGCAGCAGCTGCCCTCCATCTTCATCTCGCTCACCACCTCAAGAGCCGCCGTGATCCTCCCAAACTTGCAGAGACCCTTAATCAGGCTGTTGTAGGTGACGACATTCGGATGAACCCCTTCATCCCTCATCTCCACCATCAAGTTCAGAGCATCATCCACAGAACCCGCTTCGCAGAGAGCGTCGATTACCGTGCTGTAAGTGATCACATTGGGCTTGCACTGGTTCTTCCCCCCTGCTACCATTTCCCTGAGCAGCTTCAATGCCATGGCGGAGTTCCCTGCGGAGCAAAGTCCTCTCACGATTACGCTGTAGGTGACCACATCAGGGGAGACGCCAATAGCCTCCATCCTCTCCATCAACGCCAGGGAATCCGCCACCCGGCCCTCGCCGCAGACGGCGGCGACGATGGTGGTGAAGGTGACCACGTCCGGCGAGCAGCCGCCTCCAAGCCTCACCATCTTCCCCAGGACCTCCATCGCCATGCGAGTCTCCCCGCTTCTGCAGAGCCCATTGAGGAAGATATTGTAGGCGATGGTCCCCTGCGAGGGCCAACCCTTGAGGTCGCTCATTCTCTCGAGCAGCTTCCACGCCTCGGGGAGCTTCTTGCTCTTGCAGAGCTCCGAAACCAGCGTCTGAAAGATGCCCAGAGGAGGAGAACGACCCCTCTTGAGGGAGTCTGCGAGGAGGAGAAGACAGTGGCGAGCACGAGGGGAGTACCCACCGGAGAAGAGAACTCCCCGGTGACGCATGACCCTATCTTCTCCTTCTCCCCTTCTCCTCCTCCTCCACACCCGCCGCCGCCTCCTCAGGCGACGGCGCTCGCCGGAGAGAGCCCGCAATGGAGAAAGTCATCTCCTTTCTGCAACCAAACGCGCTACCTAGCAGCGCTGCATCTCATTTTCTTACTCTGCACATCGTTATTTCCTCCATTTATATATAATTTCATTGCCATTTTTGCTTTTTTGGTCAAGATATTATAAGATATATAAATAATAAAGGTTTAATAAAAGAAAATAATTACTATTTATAAGTTCCAGAAAAAAAGGGTATTTTTTTATGTTAAAAGACGGGAATAGATCGGATGGCCCGAGTTTGGAATCGGGATCGACCGAGCCGGTCCGATCCGATCCGACCCATCCCGGGTTGGGTTCGAGTTGACTCGGTTAACGGATACTCTGATGAGAGGAGATTACCATTATCATCCTCCCCTACCTTGAATTCCTGCGGTCGTCTCCGCCGGCGGCTTCGCTTCTCAGATTCCGGCGAAGAGGAGAAGATCGGAGATCGGAGATCGGAGATCTTCTCGCTGGTGGCGCTGCTCCTCCTCCTCCTTCTCTGGTGGCGGTGGCGGTAGAGGTGGTGGGGGGAATGAGAGGGAGTGAGAAGGGGGAGAGATGGGGAACATTTTCGTGAAGAAGCCCAAGGTCACGGACGTAGATAGGGCCATCCTCTCCCTCAAGACGCAGCGCCGCAAGCTCGCTGACTATCAGAAGAAGGTGCGTGCTCCGGCTCCCTAATTTCATATGGTGGCTGGTAGGCTTCATGAGTTTTTTTTCCCTCTCTAGCGCGTGTCGTTCGATTGGATTCGGACGCTTACTTTGATTGGTCGAATGGCCTAATTTATACGTTCCAGTGATAGGAACTGATCGAACATTGTTGATTCTGGTTGATCATGTGTCGAACGTAATTCTTTACCAATTCAGAAATCTAGTTTTCGTGTCTTTCTTTTGTGGACTTCCATCCGATACTACTCTCTTGTGTATGCGTTTAATGTTCTAAGTTTCAGTCCTTGTGGAGAACGTAAACTCGATCTACTCTACCATGATATATGCATGCGTCGCTGTGGCCTGGCACCATAGGCGATTGAGAATTATAATTGCTAATATCATTATTATTATCAATTTTATTTGTTTTCCTTCTATGATGACGATGAACAAGATGAGGAAAAGATGAAACGAGGGAAAAGAGATATAGATATCACCTGTAATTACACATCCAACATGTTGATCTGCTTTAGAGTCCGTAATTCTTAATATACAGTGGATGTTATGGTGTAATTTTAGAATTTAACTGAAGATCATGTTTGGTATGCATGATTGCATCATATAGATGCTGGCTATGGAGCACTGGGTATCTTAGTCATTTTTCTCTTGTCACATTGAGAAGGCTTTATATAATTATTTTCAACCTGATGAATTTATCTATCACTAAGGCCTGGAAAGAGGTCTTGTGTTTGCCTGACATTTGACGGAAAGATGAAGGTTGACTTCGCACTGGTTTTATGTGGTGGCTTAGCATTCTCTGTTTATGAATGTAGATGCTTGAAAATAGCGTATCATAATATCACAACTAACCATTTCCAGGACTATGTTTTCAGAGTGAAAAATAGTGCCTCTTGGAATCCGAAGTGCAATGAAGCCATGACTTTGATTAGTGTTTTCAATATAAACTATATTTAAAAAATCCTGGTTAGGCAGAAGAGAGAATGCACGTTTTCCAAGAGTGCAACAAAAGATCAAAAAATGAAATCATCATAAAGCGTTATTCCATTTACTGTGTATTATGATCATCTCGTCGAATAAGTTGTTTGCAAAAGCTGATTTGGTATTAATTACTGGTACCTGAGTTTGCTTGTTTCTGTTATTTATTTATTGTTTTATGTCAAACCATGGATAGAAAACTAGCTGAAATGGATAAAAACGAGGTTCTGGACTGGGATTGGCATAACAAATCAGCTGCGATGATTTGTATATGAGCAAGTGCCAGCCATTTCGTGTACTAATTGTGGCTTTTCTCTTCAAAACTTTTCAGCTGGAGGATGTCATTGAAGCTGAGAAGCAGGCTATTAAAGAGTTAGTTAGAGAAAAGAAGAAAAGCAGGGCTTTACTTGCCCTAAAAAAGAAGAAAGCCCAAGAGGAATTATTAAAACAAGTTGATAACTGGCTAGATAAAGTTGAGCAGCAGGTATGTCTCTCATACCGAAATTTCACTTGGAATTATTATTTGGTTTTTGGTCTCCTATTTGGGGTTTTTTCTTGTTTTCTAACTATCAGTATGAAATTCGAATGTCGATCTGGGTTTAACATGTTAGAGGATGAGATTTCGCTGTTCATACTTTCTTCCTTCATTTTAGTTGGCAGATATTGAATTGACTAGTAAGCAGAAGGCTGTATACGAAAGTTTGGAAGCTGGGAAAAATGTCATTAAAGCCATGCAAAGTGAAATAAATTTGGAGGATGTCCACAAGTTGATGGAGGATACAGCTGAAGCAAAGGCTTACCAAGATGTGAGTTTTGCCCCTACCACATACTTTTATATTTTTCATCTGGAAAATGGCATGAAAGGTATCCAGAAGAAGAGTTGTGAGTGTTGTCGGATGCAAATCGGAAAGTTTGTTTCTTCCTCCTCCCATGAAATATGTTCTTCAAAAACAAAAAATCCTCGATAAAATATATCATTGCTGGTCCTTTTCAGTGCTTCGTACAGAACTTGCTTTCATGTTTTATACCGTGTTTAGCTCGTAACTCAAAGGCCGTGTAGGAGTTTCTGGAAGCACAAAGCTTCCTTGGAAAGAACAGAACATACCTTTTGAAGGGAAGGTTCCAACCCTTTGACTTGAAAATTTAGTTGACTCATTTCCTTCTTGAGTGCCCCTCGGATTACTCTTTCAGGCAAACTCATGGGAAGTACAATGGAGCTTTGTAAAATGCGTGTGTTTCATGACTTTGAGTTTAGATTGTAGAAGAGAACTTACTCTTTGGTTTTCTAGGGGTGCTTTGGGGACCATAAGAGATGGTAGATGTCCACCTGGTTCGTACAGAATCATAGACGCACGGCTTGCAGAAATCAGTGATATTTTATTTTTTTATCCATGAATCTTCCAGTTTCCTAAACTGGGTATGCCATATCTGGACACGTGCACAGGAAAATTTCTTTTAGCTGGGAAATCAGAAAATCAAAAAAAATCTTGGATTGTGATTTTATCAAAAAAAATCGGAATATGTATGATTTTATTCATTGCATATGGTTTTTTATCCTCCCCAGATGATTTTTCAAGATAAGATCGCCCGCCATATCTTTTGTCATAAATTAGAAAATCAAAAAAAATCTTGGATTGTGATTTTATCAAAAAACAAATGGGAATATGTGTGATTTTATCGATTACAGGTGGTTTTTTACCCTCCCCAGATGATTTTTCAAGATAAGATCGTCTGCCATATCTTTTGTCACAAATCAGAAAATCAAAAAAAATCTTAGATTGTGATCTTATCAAAAAAAATTCGGAATATGTGTGATTTTATCAATTGCAGATGGTTTTTTATCCTCCCCAGATCATTTTTCAATATACGATCATCCGCCATATCTTTTTGTCATAAATCAGAAAATCAAAAAAAATTAGTGGATCGTAATCTTATCAAAAATAAATCGGAATATGTGTGATTTTATCAATTGCAGATGGTTTTTTATTCTCCACGGATAATTTTTCAAGATAAGATCATCCGCCATATCTTTTGTGATAAATAACTGTTGCTACAATCTCTTTTCTGATTAATTTGTCCATTTTATTTCTTAAAAATATTTTTTTATTTTTTTCCTCTTCAAGGAAATAAATGCCATCTTGGGGGAACGCCTGTCGGCAGAAGATGAGGAAGAGGTCTTGGCGGAATTTGAGAACTTGGAAGCTGAGGTCCGATTTTCTGACCCAAAATAATATTTTGGGATATTATTTTCATTCCCAAATCATCATCATATTGGGTCCTCTGATTTTTTTAATATTTTAATTTTTTCATAGATTTTCTAAATTTAGTAAATTCCGCAAAAAGATTTACATGTCCATGCCGCAGATGAGTCTCCAGGGTCTCCCGACTGTTCCCGATGGGGTAGTGGCACCTTCCAAATATGTCGAAGAAAGGAAAGAGGAAATTGTTGAAGGCGAAGATGACGACATTATTCTCCCCGATGTCCCCACCGGTGCTCCTGAAGCCTCAAAGCCCAAAAAAGGTAACTCTTCGTGACAGTTCCCAACCCTTGATTGTTTGTGGTAGATTAATTCAATGACACATGCGTATAATGGAATCTCTATCTCTCTCCCCCCCCCCTTCTCCCCCTTACACTCTCCTCTCTCTCTCTACTTCTCTCTCTTTCTCTCTCTCCTTCTCTGTCTTTCTCTCTCTCTCTCCTTCTCTCTCTCTCTATCCCTCTCTCTCTCTCTCCTTCTCTCTCTCTCTCTCTTTCCTCTGTCTTTCTCTTTCTCTCTCTCCCTCTCCTTCTCTCTGTCTTTCTCTCACTTGGGAGATCTTGCTAATGAATGAGTGTGCACCTTATTCTCTGTCTGTCTGTCTCTGTCTTTCTCTCACTTGGGAGATCTTGCTAACGAATGAGTGTGCACCTTATTCTGTCTGTCTGTCTCTGTCTTTCTCTCACTTGGGAGATCTTGCTAATGAATGAGTGTGCACCTTAATGTGATTTGGTGAAATGGCAGTGTTGGAGGAGCCTGTACTAGCTTAACCAAGGAGTCGTTCTTCAGCACCTCAGAAGAACACTCAAGTCGAGGCCGGGAAGGTGACAATTGGCTGCCTCTCTCTCTCTCTCTCTCTCTCTCTCTCTCTTTATTATCTTTCTCTCTCCTCAATTCCCCTTCAGACTCCGCGTGTCTCTGCATGTCTATTGGTGTGCGTGAGTGCAGCAGGTCCCTAAAGAAGAAGATCCGTGTATCATACGAACTCATGGACATGCTACCGCAAACTATGCTTTTCCTTGCGTAATTTCGTTCATTATTCTGATTTCTGTATCAGGCATTGAATGCGCCATCCATTGCTCCGTATATTTCCATTAAATATTTTGGGTAGCTGCGTCTATTGGCTCCTTTTAATGCCAGGATTTCAATAGATCGTCATCCCCTGTGGCTGATTTTCTTCTGGGCAGCTATAACTCTAGAGAGAGAAGAGAGGGAGAGAGAGGAGAGAGGTTGTAGCTGACCCATCATCTAATGGCCGATATTCTTATGGGCTGTTCTGATGAATGGCTGAGATTCAATACACAGATAGATGCCACTTTAAGCAGGTATTAGTCGATTAAAGATGAGAGAGAAGAAAGAGAGAGAGAGAGAGAGAGAGACTATTGGAGCCCATCCACTAGTTTTCCATCTTAATCACGTTAACCACCGAGGAAAGTCAACCGCTCCGACAGTGAGGGTTGATCGGTCAACTGTGTGGTGAGCCACCGAGGGAGTCGCCGTGATTGATGAAAGGAGATTATAATAATTAGAATGTATTATTCTATTGTTAAAAAATGTCATTTATTTACATAATAAATATTTATAAATACTCTTAAATAAATAAATAAATAATCTTCAAGGGACCCTATTTTCCTTTGACCGATGAGAGAGAAGGATATAGAGAGTGAGGGAGAGAGAGAGAGAGACGTGGCAAGAACCGATGTCCCCAACGAGACCCATTAATTCGGTCAAACCCGAAAGAGATCCGAATCTACTCGCTCCGGTAAGACACCATTGGCGGCTATCTATTTATATACTATTCTTCCCCCATTCAATGTTTCTCTCTCTCTCTCTATCTCTGCGCACATCATCGCCATCGCCGGCGATTCCCCCGGCGGCAAGCAAGGAGAAGGGGAAGAAGGAGGGCAGCGGCGGCAGCAACCTCGAGCGCTTGGCCTTCCTCTCCACGGTAGCGGCGGCTTGAATCGTCTCCTCCACTGGTGGTGAGATCGCCGGCGACGGCCGCCGCTGCCGCCGCTGGATGGTTGGAGGGTTTTAGTGGTGGGAGGTCTGCCGGCGCCGGATCAACCACCGCTGCGGAGATCTGAGGAGGGCGAGATCGGGAGGAGGAAGGGGATCTGCTTCTTCTTCTTCTTGTTTTTCTTTGTCGCCGCCACATCATGTCTGCCCTAGTGCTCGGTAAGAGGTCCTCCTGCTTCTTTGAAGATCTGCACCACCACGCCGCCGCCACCGCTGCTGCCTCTACGCCGCCTTCCGCCTCGAAGAAGGCCCGCTTCGGATCCTCTTCTTTTCGGTTCTCGCCTACGAGTTCCGCGGCGTCTCCTTCCACGCGGGACGTCGTCAGCAGCAGTTTCACCGGCGGTAACCCGACGGTGCTTGGGCACCTCAGATCTCTCTTCCCTGATATGGACGAACAGGTCTGCCCGTTGCTACTGATTCTTCTTCACCCCTTGTTTTTTTATTGTGAGCTTAGGGTTATCTAGGGGTTGTGAATTCTTGTTCCGTAAGTGTTTAATGAGTCAAGACGAGGGTTAAAAAATCCAAGAATCCTCTGAGATTTCCGTTGCTCCGGTCAATATCATATTCGGCATGTCTTTTCGGTATGACTGTTTGAGATTCGTTTCTTGTGTGTTTGAACTAATTATTTGAGTCCCTGAAAAAAAGTGGTGCATTGTGAAAGAAGGAGAGTCAGGGAGTTCTTTACGATGATAGCCTCTAGAGAATGTTCCTGTCATAACCTCATTTCATTGATGGAAATAAAGAGAGACGGGAAACAATGTAGTGCTACACTGTAGTTATGTAAGTCTTCGTTTGAGAATAAAAACATTTATAGTTGAGATCCTTGTCTTCTGTGTTGTAATTAAATTCCTGTGTACTTTCTCTTGTTTTTCATTTTTCTTCCAGTGCCTTTTCTCTCTTCTAAGGGACAGAAGGGATGTGTGGATTTTATTCAAAGATAGATCCGCAAGGATATGCTGGATAGCAGCCTCTGCATTTTTCCACTATTCTCGCACATGAATTTGAACCTGCCGAGAAGTAGAATATGAAATAGGGTTGGCCATCGGCCACATCTCTCACCGTAAGCAGGCTGTATGCCTCCCATTCTTTGGCTAGGAAAGACTACGTATCCCATTCCTATTTCATCGTGTTTTCGTTTCTTGCTGGATAGGTCACTCATGGCCTTTATAATTTAACTATGCATACTTTTTCCCATCTCAACATGTATTCCTTTCATGCTCTTACAAGCAATAGTCTTGCCATTCTAAGATTGTAAAAGCATATCAAACAATAAACCTTCAGGCTAACTAGTTCTTGATGTTGATTTTCTTCATATTGGTAGATAAAGTGTTGTACTCTTCGTATTCTCTGGCCATGATCTGCATTCCGTATGCCGAAGTACAAGGCAGCTTCCAGATTTTCCTTATATCTAATGTGGTGTTGTTACTGGATCGTGTGTTTAGATCTTTGGAATAAAAGCCCGGGGGGGGGGATGTGTGAATATTTTGGAGATATAAATCGAATGAAAAGCAGTTATCATCTTTGCTTGTTGACTAACAGTCCGCATCAAAACCATTTTCAGCTTCTGGAAAGGGTGCTTGAAGCTTCTGGGAATGACCTGGATTCTGCCATCAAGAGTTTGACTGAGCTTCGGTTGGGACCTGCGAAGGAACATCCACACTCTGTGATGAGTAATCCTAATGAATACAATGGTGCAGCTGTTCAACCATCAGCAGAAGGTACGTGTTTGGTGATTAATCCATGACGGAGTTTACCTTTCTTACTGTGCATCGGGCATATGCGTAATGCTGTTTTCTTTTGTTCCTGTACATTGGATACGATGGGGAACGTTAAAGAATAGAAAATAAAAACGAAAAGAAAACAATCTTGTAGAATGTAAAAGGAGACCAGAAACGAAAACTGGAGAAGATCCTCTGTTGCATTATATTTATGAAACAGAAACAGAATTTTTAGATCTGAGTAATTGGAAATCCTTCTAACCCATTAAGAATGTTTTTGACTAACTTACAAGCTTTCCTTGTGCTAGAAATAGAAAGTCAGCGCACCTGGTCAGTACTGGGTCAAATAATTTACCCTACAATCTAGCTATTGTAATCTTACTTTGAAACAACAGACAATCTTTGTCCGATGAAATCCAAAGCTTTTCTTCTTTTTTTTCTTTTTTCATCATGGGAAAGTCCTCCCGTTTGACCTTGACGGCGATTCTGGACCTTTGCAGAAGTCCAGGGCGGTGGTGGCGGCACTGGTGGTGGTACGGCAGCGGGGGGGAGCCCCCCGGCGGACGGTGCAGAGTGGGTAGAAGTCCTGGTGAGGGAGATGATGAACGCCGCCAACGTCGACGACGCCAGGGCCCGGGCATCTGCCGTGCTGGAGGTCTTTGAGAAGTCCGTGGCAGGCCGGGTCGCCGTCACCGCCACTGGGACGCTGCAGAAGGTGGTGGTGGGCCGAGGCGCCGATGCCCTTCTTCTTCTCCTCCTCGAATTATCTTCTATTTACTGACATGGTGGCGGTGGTGGTAGGAGAATGCGGTGCTGAAGGAGCAGCTGGAGGGGTTGCTGAGGGACAACGAGATACTGAAGAGGGCTGTGGCGATCCAGCACGAGCGGCAGAAGGAGTTTGACGAGAAGACCCAGGAGCTCCACCACCTCAAGCAGCTCCTCGCCCAGTACCAGGAGCAACTCCGCACCCTCGAGGTAAAATACCGCCGACAATACCTCTCCCTCTCTCTATTTCCCGTCTCTCTTGCTGCCAAGATCCTCACTTTACCTATTACTCTCTCTCTCTCTCTCTCCCTCTCTCCCTCTCTCCCTCTCTCCCTCCCTCTTGAATCTGATGTGTCTCTCTCACCCGCCATAGTTTTCTCCTCCTTGGAACAGGTCAACAACTACGCGCTGTCGCTGCACCTGAAGCAGGCCCAGCAGAGCAGCTCCATCCCCGGTCGCTTCCACCCCGACGTCTTCTGAACCCAACACCCCCCCCGCCCCCAACGTATTGGCACGCACCGACCAGTCGTACGTCCCTCCCTCGCCCTTACTCCTCCATCCCAATGTTTGCTTGCGCGGCGTGCGATGACGATCTGACGGCCGCAAAAGTGTTGGGCCACGATGCATTCGGATACGTCATCCTGTCGTGTACTATCTTTTGTTGGACCTCCATTGATAAAGCCCTGGCCTGGTCAAGGGCTCCCTCTCCCTCACGTGTATAATTCCTTCTCATTTTTACTTATTTATTTTAGCCCCGCCCCCCACTTTTGCCGTGTGGTCCTCACCTTTCCCTCGGCCACCCAGTCTACAGGGCTATTGGGCAGAGCCCTTTATGGGCCTCTTCCGGCCCGCTAAGAACTCAGAAAGTCCGTTGAGTATTATAATCTTCATCACGCCAAACCTGTTATGACATCTAGAATCTTTCCAACTGTCACGTGGAAGTCAGAATTACCCCCCCCCCTCTCTCTCTCTCTCTCTCTCTCGATATATATATATATATATTTATGTAAGGGCCCACTGTGTAAGATTCTGAGGCCCCTTTTCTATCTGGTCTTGATTTTGAAGCCCACTCTTCGAAAGCAGCACGGGCCGGGCCACATTTTAAAAAGCCCATTTTCCACTGAAGCTTGCTTCTCAGCTAGGTACGCCCGTTCAGATGGCCTTCCACCGATTAGCAGAGGTCTCCCGACCGGGGCCTGTGACTATTTCTTGGCCCGGCCCTTCGACTTTTTTGGAGTCTGGGACTACCTGGATTCGATCTCCTCCAGAAGTATTGTGTGTGGGCTTATTGCAATTGGTGGGGAGGCAGGTCGGCGGTCCTTCTCTCACACTCTTCTCTCTCTTCTCTCTCTCTCTCTCTCTCTCTCTCTCTCTCTCTCTCTCTCTCTCTCTCTCTCTCTCTCTCTCATCCTTGAGAACGCAAGTGCAGAGCAGAGTAGGCCAACCAGGTCAGTGGTCAGTGGGAGAAAAAGGTTGAGGGAGAAGGCGATGGATAGAGTTGCCACCGCCCCTCCCCTCTACAGGGCGATGGGTTTCTGGTTTAGAGAGAGAGAGAGAGAGAGAGAGAGGGCGGGAGAGAGAGGGGGGTGGGGGGTGGGGCGGCTCTGCGCCATTTGGAAAGGAGTTCCACGTAGAGGGAAGAAGGTGGGCGGGGAGAGAAAAGGTCAGAGAGAATGTGTTAGATGGAGAGGAGGATTGATGAGAGGGAAGGGAGGAAAGTGCCTTTTTTGGTCTTGCGAGACGAAAAGAATGGTGATGATGGCCGCCGCCGCCGCCGAATTCAATTTCCGTTCTCATTCTCATCTCCATTCCCGTCTCCCCAGATCAGCCGATCCTCTCTCTCTCTCTCTTCCCACTCACCGACCCACCACCACCACCGCTTCGTCTTTTGGCTTTGTAGGTCGAGTCACCTGACCACTGGGAATGGGAGAGAGATTCCTGCGGGGGTCGTCCCCTCCCTCTTCTTCCCCCGTTTAGTAGGTCGCAGTTTGCGTAGCGGGAACGATGATGAGGACTTCCGGCGGAGGAGAGAAGCCGATGCCGACGGCCGCGGAAGACATGAGCTGCGGCTGTTGGACGGCGCTCGTCCATGGCGTTCGGAGATCCTCCTCGGTCAAGAGGGAGTCGCCCAGCGTCCTCCCAAGGCCCAGCCTGGTCTATGATGACGCAGGTCTCTCTCTCTCTCTCTCTCTCTCTCTCTAAATATATAAATGTGTCAATAATATATGCCTGCGTTCGGTTTACGATATTCTTGAAGATTACCCAGAAGATCTAATTCCAGTACAAAAACTATATTCCATCTCCCGAGCCAGTACCTTGTCAACCCAGGCAGGCTTATCTCCAATTCTCTATGTTGATATGATCTATGGAAGAAAGAATAAGCTCTTGGGTTCATACAGTTCAGCTCTGAGTTTGAGTTGGTAGCTCCAATTCTGTGATGACGTAAAGTCTCCAGAATTGGACCAGTAATGAACAGGGATCATACTAGCCCAATTGCATGTGTCTTATGCGGTCTCAAATCCAGAAGTTTGATTGTTTCTGGTAAGATTTTCCCAAGCGATCCTACATTCCACTATGTTATAGGTTTCCAACTTGGCAAGGAGATTGAACTGGAATAGAACCCACATCTCTGTGGTTTGATTCTACTTCTGTTGGAAACGTGGTCTATTATTTATTGGAGGATGATAAGGTCTATAGATAGAATAGATGAAAAAATGATCTTCTAAATAAATAAATAAACCCTCCCTTTTTGTTCCCTATATTATATACTGTATTAATCAACCCTAAGAAAATTCCCGGATTTAGTAATCCAACAGGGTAGAGTGTTCGTGGCTCAATTCCTTAATTCTATGTTCTTTTTTCATCAGATCTTTTCTTCAGGTTCTGAAACTGCCAGATTATATCTTCGTTGCTACGTTTAGGTGTTTTTAGTAGTTCACTGAAAGGCGATTGATTCAGAATCTTCCATCTTTATAGTCACTATCGAAATTGATCCAAGATTCCGTACGTTGAGTGGTAAATATTTGAGAATATGGACTCTGCAAAGTGAGATTAGACAGTTTTCTTAGTGCTTAATGCCAGCACTTTTTAGTATTTATATATTTCTTTTGAATGAAGAAGACTGTGGTTGTTGCCTAGTTGAGTTCCTTTCATCAGATTAAGGACTTTAGTATTTTTTATTGGATATTTTAATTCCGGCCTGTTTCAAAATGTATGATGTATTATTTATCTGATTTTTTTATTCCTCAGTGTTTTCTTCTCTCTTCTCTCCTCTCTCCTAACATCTCTTAAGATATTATAATTTGCAAGCTTAGGTGAGCCGTGTTGCCTACCAAAAAGAACTGTTAGAAGCTTGAATCTTGGTGTATTATTTTATGAGATTTAAGTGCTATGTTTAATCAATTATTTACAATGTTTGATTTCCTCTCATTTATGGAATTTCAAATAGTTTGCATGTCACTTAACATCAAAATCTCCTGATTGTTGAACTCATATTCAGTGTCTTTTAATAAAACCTGAATGGTATATGCACCAGAAGGAGATAAATTAAGCAAGGTCCAAACTTTGACGCAGGACACCTTGATTTTACTATAATTTTCTTCTACAATTATTGTGCCCTTCCGATCTGCCATATTCCCTCATTTTCCTTTCAAACAGAAATCGATATTTGGTTTATTTCATATTTCAGTCTGTAACAAAAACGTCCACAACATTAAAGTTTAAACTCATCACTGTAAAAAACGGAACTTGTTTTCTTTAATCAAATTATTGAGACTATATTATAAAAATAAACTTACATAACAGTTATCCTATTACGAAAATAAAGTTGTCATGCAAAAAAACAAGTGAACGAACTGTCATTAGCTTTTATTCACTTCCTTTTAATTCTAGTTAAAAATGAAAGGTTGTTAAATCAAATTGACCACTAGAAAATTCCTATTTTGATGAGTCTAAAACTTCATATCTAACATCAGGGTGGACCATGGGTATTACCTTTCCTAAAAGATTATCTTGATGCTAGGGAAGAATTTTATTTCGTGAAAAAATTAACAAGCAACTTGGTCGGATTAAGTTCCCAAATTGGTTTATTTAGAGTAATAAAGATAAAAAACTATCAAATAGGAAATACTTGAATTATCTTGAACGTTAAACTCTTGCATTTTCTGTGGTCTACATCACCATAACTAGTATGACTCTATGGGTTATAAAATATTAATTTTCTTTATAAGTTTATGAATGATCAGTTTCGTTATTTATTAGGTTTGCAATAAAATTACATGTAAGGCGTTTGTGTTCTATGGTTTATTACATTTTAAACCACATAAAAAAAAATAAAAAAATATGACTTGTGTTTGCGGTATTTAAATATTTTATTTGGGACCTTGGGTACTATGTCAATGCTTGGCTCTGAAACCTGTTAAATCTCTCAATACTTGGCCTTTCATAAAACATGATCACATTCAGGTCCGCTGATACTTGTTGTATTGTTTCACAGCAACGGAGATGAGATACTTAAATGCCAGCAACCGAGAGCTAGCTAATGAAACCAACTTCTCTGCGGAATCTGCTGAGAATGTAACATCTGAAGGAGTCAAACCCTGCCAATTGCTTCAGTTCACCTTCCAAGAACTCAAAACGGCCACTGGGAACTTCAGGCCGGATAGTATCCTTGGGGAAGGTGGCTTTGGGTATGTTTTCAAAGGGTGGATAGAGGAGAATAGCACAGCACCTGCAAAGCCTGGCACGGGTGTTACAGTGGCGGTCAAGAGCTTGAACCCTGAAGGTCTTCAAGGGCACAGAGAATGGGTGGTGAGTGATGTGAATGTTTGGAGTTTCTAGAAGGGGAAACTATCCATTTTTAATCTACCTTTTGTTTATTTTTTCAGGCAGAAGTTGATTTTCTTGGGAAACTCCACCACCAAAATCTTGTTAAGCTCATTGGATATTGCATCGAGGACGATCAGAGGTTGCTTGTCTATGAGTTTATGGCGCGAGGAAGCCTAGAAAACCATTTGTTCAGAAGTGAGTATCCAATGTGAAGATCTACCTTCTGTTGATGGTCCAGGCTTTTCATCCTTGAGTCTTCCAGAATAGGAGGAAAATATTAGGGTTCGGATTAGGGATAAGGTTTGGGATATTCCCATTTTCTTGAGTTGACATCTTAGCGATTGTTATCTGTCCCATCATCTCTGAAAAATACCTTATGCTTCTAGGAAGTGGGTATCTGGGAATCCTTTACTGGACATGAGGATTTTATCCTGATATTTTCTTCTTCTCCTGTTTTTCGAGGCTAATCTTGATAGATTAGAAATTTGAATATTGCTGAGAGGCAACCGTTCACATTTTTTCTCGATAATCTAAGAGGCTTACTTTGCTTTTACTGACTCAGTTGTTGTGATCCAAAATTATATGGCCCATCTCCACTAGAACCTAATGTGCTCCTTTTGGTAATTTTTGAAAAATATGACCCATATTTTTCAGTGACCAAATGCCAGAAAACCTAGATCACCCTTCATGACTAAGAATCAATTAGTCGTATACATCTGTTTTTTTTTAATTACATAAGTAGTTGGATCATAATATCTTGGTGTTTATAATAAGAGAAGAAATCTCATCTTTCATTGCTCTGGTGTCTGTGCGACCATTCTAGGGGCTCTGCCTCTGCCATGGTCTAACAGGGTAAAGATTGCACTTGGTGCTGCAAAAGGATTGGCCTTCCTCCATGGAGGCTCCAAGCCGGTCATCTATAGAGATTTTAAGGCTTCCAACATACTCCTAGATTTGGTAATTCTTCTACTTCCCTTGGAGTATAAATGGTTGATGACTGTATGTATGCCAAAGTCTCACATCTTCTTCTTCCATTAGGAATACAATGCTAAGCTTTCGGATTTTGGGCTAGCAAAAGCTGGGCCCCAGGGTGATAAAACCCATGTTTCTACTAGGGTTGTTGGCACATATGGGTATGCTGCACCAGAATATGTAATGACAGGTACATAGTACAGTCTTGCTTGCTAATGGCGTTTCTGATTCTTACCGATTAGCCTCCATTGTGGGCTGAACATCGTAATGGTTCTTGCGATCCTGGAGATATTCCTGTTATCTGTTTGATTAATAGATTAGTACTATCTGCCTAGAAAATGTATCTTTCTTTTGAGACACTGGGCATATTCCATTAATCTGCTGACCATAATCTGGATCGATTAATCGATTAGTATCTGATTCTGGCAGCCATCACGAAATCTTAAACCTTATGACTCGTTCTCCAACTTTGTCTGGGATTGTAGTACTGACTGTTATTCAATCTCCTTTATGTGTAATGCTGTTCTTAAGACTGCTACTGTAGTTTGACGACTGTAGAAATCTGGATCTGATTCTGGCCCATCACCAAATCTCATGTCTTTTTGATTCATCATAACCAATATTAGTGGGAGTACGCTGAATAATCTTTTCTGATTCCAAACTTTGAAGGAAAGGCTTTGGGACCCGTAGTAGGCTTTCAGGAATCATAATCAATGTCAGCGCAATGCATTCTTTCTGAACTATTTTATTGATTCATCATGACTGACGATGGATACTGCAAACATGGCTCTGATTCTAGATCTTACTAATTGATCGGCTTCTTTGTTTTTTTTCTATTTTTCCTTCTTCACTGTGGAATATATTTTTTTGATTAATTTTTTTGGCCTCTTTCTTCTGCGCCGGATTATAAACTCATTACAATTTCTGGATGTGGAGTCAGATCCATCTGATCCACTTCCATTTTTCTGCTTGACTTCTAACTCCCAAGAAATTGCTGCAGAAAGATAAGATTCTGAATTGAATCCCATAACTGGCTGATGAATCTAAACAGACTAGAAAATCCAAAAAACTTTGTCATATAACTTTCTTGAGGGAGTTGACCCTGAATATGGACTCAGACTCAGCTGACCTTGTCTGGTTGACTATTAACTCTTGGGAAATTTCCAAAAAGTAGTAAAATGCAATCTGATAACCGCCCGAAAAAGCTATGCTTGATTGGAGGAGGAAACTTTTTTCTCATTCTTTTATTTTTTATCTGTCGTGAAATTGTAATGTGATGATCCAAGTAACTTGACTCAAGAATGAAGTCAGCTCTAACTCTGCTTACATCCAGTTTTACATCATATATAATTGTATGAACAGATGTAACTAAATGGAACTATATCCATAAAATCTAAAAACTTCTGTTGACCCACATGCCATTGAAAATTTTCTCAGGGCACTTGACAGCCAAGAGCGATGTATACAGTTTTGGAGTGGTGATCCTGGAGATGTTAACCGGGCGAAGAGCAGTGGACAAGAGGAGACCCAGTGGGGAGCAGAACCTGGTAGTTTGGGGCAGGCCTTGGCTAGGAAACAAGAGACGACTTTTCCAAATAGTTGACCCTCGACTTGAGCTAAACTACTCCATCAGAGGAGTCCAGAAGCTGGCCCAGATAGCTTACTACTGCCTCAGCAGGGACCCCAGGTCCCGCCCATCCATGGATGAAGTGGTGAAGGCTCTCACACCTCTGCAGGGCCTCAGTGACCTCGCCAAGTACTCCTTCCGACCCCTTTCAGCTCAGCATCCCCAGCACAGGAGGAAACCAGCTGGGCAGCACAGAAACATCCTTAATTATCCATCTAAGGAAGGTAACTTCTAGTTAAGCTGTCGATGGTCAGGATCTTTGGAACTGCTCTATCCAGCTGTGCCGGTGCATGTTGACCAGATTGTCTGTGCATATGATAGTTTACTGAAATTTTGGAAGGAAGCAGTCGCCAATCTCAGATTTGTTGTCATGCTTGTATACTCAATTAGTAAGAAAAAAACTGGCATTTTTCATTTAAGGAAGGTAAATTCTAGATAAGTTGATGATGGCCCAGTTCTATGGAATTGATCTAGTCAGCTGTGCCAGTGCATGTTTACCAGATTGTTTGTGCAGATAATACTCAACTGAAAATTTGGAAGAAAGCAGCCACCAAGGTCAGATTTGCTGTCATGTTTGTATACTCAATTAGTAAAAAGAAGAAAAACTGGATTTTTTTCTTTGGCAATATCTGCGCCGTTCAATGAGGAATTGTATGTTTGTGTCTCTATGTGAGTGTATGAGAGAGAGAGAGATCATGAGATAGTTAGGTGGCAAGAGAAAATATAATGCAATTTTTTTGTGAGAAATTTTCCCTTGGTGGAACATCAAAATAAAAACTGATCAGTTCTTAGTTTATCAAAAGATTGGAAAACATTTTTGGCCTTTCCATTTGTGTTTTTTCAAGGAAGATGTGACTTACAATAGAACGTACTTGAGATAAAATTGAATAATTTCCCAAGAATTGGTATTTTTTTACTTAACCCTAATCAAACAGCCATATTTTATTTATGGAATGTTCAAAAAAAATTATTTCTTAAAGCTATCCACTATTTTGACAAACAATCTACTTATATTATTGATAGTATGGACTAGTTTGTAGTCATCTTCTATCCCCATCTCTTCTCTTCTGAGTTCGGGCAATCTTTATACCACAATAACGGTATCACTATGATAGCTTACCTTGGTAGAAATTATATTCATAACATATTAACCAGCTAAATTATGTTTCAAATAATGATAATTGTACAGAATAATGCAAACTTCATTTTTTTTATAAATATCATTGTTACATTTTTGAACTAAGATCCCAAGGAGGGTATCACTAGGATAATTTATTTGGTAGGAATTCTTTATGAATAGCATGTAAAATAGCTAAATTATGTTCCAATAGTAATGATTTTACAAATTAATGAAATTTTCATTTATTTTCGAAATATCATCATTGCATTTTGAACTAAGATCCCTAGTTCTTCAAAGTATCCATGGTTGTTCAATTGTGATATTTCCCTACTTTTTATGGGAGTGGATATTTTTATTTTTAATTTTTTTTTGTTCAATTATTGAGTAAAGTTAATATTTTGGGATTTTCCTAATAGTGAGGTGATATATGTATACTTGGGGGAAAATCATGTGATAAACTTAAATATGTTCTCGCTTCCAATAATGTCTTGGTCGCTTTAAAAATAAGCACTTTAAACAAAATGGTAATTAAACCTGATATTATTTTTTTTAATTTTATTAATAAAATATTTATGCCAAGGAATATATATACTTAAAAATAAATATTATAAAGAGGGGAATAGTAGACTGCCTAGAGAATATGCATACATATCAAAATAGAGTAATTTTATATTCGTAGGAAGTCATTTTTATAAAATATTAAAAAATTATACATGTTAGGTGTGCCTTAATTATATAGCATTTGCATAATAAAATACATTGAAGTAAAATTCTACTGTTATTAATCTGCAATTTGGCATAAAGAAAGGGTACATCTCTGATTATATAACCATTTGTGGTCGTTGAGGTAAAAAAACGGTGTTTGAAGCGTGTTCGAGTTGAATATTGTGGGGCCCACATTCCAGTCTCAAACTGAATAAAATAATAATGGAAAAGGGGCAGCAACGTTTGTTGTGCCTGCGAAGCATCATCCGTCCACTTTGGGGCCAGGATCAACCAATAGTAACACGACACGTCTCAGAGTATGACTAGATATCGTAATCTGCAGTAACAGAATCTTGCTTTTTGACAAAGAGGCAGAAGAGAGGGAAGATAGAGAGAAGAGAGAGGAGAGAGAAGGGGAGAGAAGGAGAGAGAAGGGGAGAGAAAGGCGGCTCTGGGCACATGGGCTTAGCTGCCAGTGAGGAGCGAGTCGCTGGTCATCGTCGTCTGCTGGAGGGAGAAGGGGAAGGGAGGCCGGGGGGTGGAGCTGGGATGGCAACAGCAAGTGGGTACTCCCTCCGTCCGGCCGCTGCAGCAGCCGGAGACTGAGGAAGTCAAGAGGGAGGGAGGGAGGGGGAGGGGGAGAGAGAGAGAGAGAAGAGACGGGAGATTTCGCGCTGATCGGTGGGAGGAACAACAGCTGAAGATGCCTTTGGTCCCCTCGTTCTGCTGCGTGAAGCCCTCCGTTCGGTGCGTTTCCTCTGTTGAGGGAAGAATAAAGTTTGACTTTTGCCCTCTGGGTTTTCCAGCTTCTGCTGCATTTACTTCTTCTTTTATTTGCACGATGAGATGGAGACGATGGGTTGTGTAGGAGGGAGAAGGGGAAGAAGAAGGGACCGTCATGGCGGATTTTCTCGCTCAAGGAGTTGCACTCCGCAACCAACAACTTCAACTACGACAACAAGCTAGGAGAAGGAGGTTTCGGGAGCGTCTACTGGGGCCAGCTTTCGGATGGAACGCAGGTGATGACTCTGCCTTCTTCTCCGTCAAAAGGAGTAATTCTTTTGAGAAATTGGGTGGTTTGGTTCTTTGCTCTTTATTCATATATGGGCGGTGATTTTCCAATTAACACCCGCGAGTTGAATTCTATAATATGATAGGAAATTAATTCCATTTATATATTGTCCGCAGGATTTCTGATTGGTACTGTTTTATGCTTTCCATTATGCGGCAGAGAAAAACATAATAATTTCGAGCACCAGATACTCTCAGCTGGGCCTAATAGAAAAACCGAAAATACGTTCCAGAGTTCTCATCTTACCTTAGATTGCATTCTGTTAAGCATTAATTCCCTGCTCTTCCAGGCATTCAATCCAACTGATGCTGTTTTCATTCCCAAGGATTTAGTCAGCCTCGTCCATCTACTTAAAATAGAAGGTAGAACTTAACCACAAGAAGGCTGTTGGCAGAGCAAGCTGTCACAGTATCATCATCACCTTTCATTATTGTGCGATTCGGGTAACTGTCATCAAGTGGGTAATGGGTTGCAGAGGGGTCTCGAACTAGTTGATCGATTGAGGCATTACTTTTATCGTCTTTCTTCTGATTTAGTGGACTCTGATATCTTTGGTGTAGGAAAACATGGATGGGCAGTAAAAACATTAGTATGGTATGTGTAAAAGCATTCTACTCGCATCTGCTAAAAGGCAAAAAAATAATCGACCCGAAGAAAGCATTTCTGTTGTTAGACATGTAAGAGGGTGGGTTAATCAGCTTGTCCGAATCAGAAGTTGTGGGTATTAGAATGAACCAGGTGAAGAGGACAGCTCACAATTCCTAATCGAGTATGTAGGTTTACCTCTTTCCTATATTATGATTATACTGCAGGGAAAAGAAGCTAGAAAGGTTGAAAATTAGAAGCCTTTTCGGCTTGTGGAAAGTAGATTCTCTGAAGTTGTGCTGATACAAGTTATCTGTCTAAGATGGCAAATAACTGCTATGAGAAAGCTGTGTCAATTAGCTCGTTCTTATGGAACTTTAGTAGAATGGATTCAGGCTGTGCGTCAAAGTCTGTTAACAAATGAGCTTCTAAGTCTTTTTCTCAAAGTGATGGTGGGGATCGGATAAGAGGTTATTTATTTGATAGGTGCAAACTGCTGAGTATCGACGATGTTCCCACATGAGATATGACCTGAATCCAAGATCAGGATGCTCTTTCCTGCATGGATTGCTATTATTGTAGTATCTGACTTTGGGATGCATTTTTAAAATTAGATTTAATTATTGTTGTCCCGTATAGCAGCTTGTTGGATCCATTTTTCTCTTATTTCTAAAATTCCTGTGGCTTCTTGAGATGAGATGTTTACCTGGTCATCTGATCAGTGACTCCTATCATTTACCAGAATCTTAATTGTCATGAATGGTACATAGCTTTGTGACCTTGAAGTAAAATGTTGCGTGCTGAAGATGCTGTGATGAATCTATAAATCCTCTACCAGCTTGCAACTCATTTCCCAAAATTTTGCTTCTCATATTTTTTTTTTGGGTATTTTTACCATGAAGTCCTCAAGTTTGAGTAAATTTTTCCGTTAAGAACACAATTGAGAATGTGCGATCCTTGATTGTTTCAGATGATTGAAAACATATTTAGAGCTTATCTTCATGTCATAAGGTACAATGGATCCTTGCCACTTTGAAATTAGTATTTTTTATTCTTGACTGTGGCTAGAATATTCAGGAATGGCGATTTTGTTCCCCCACAGCATAATCCACATCATTGTTCTACAATCTGATCGTCTCAATTTTGTAACACGCCATAAACAGTATGTGCATCTCATCCAGATCCAATTTGGCATTGGTAGTCTTCTCCCAACTGAGAGGAAGAATTAGAAAGGAAAAAAAAATAAAATTAAATGGGAACTGGTCAGGGGAGTTTGAAACAGTAACCGAAGTGAGCATGATCTTCATTCATTCATATAATCTTTCTGTACCTTGAACATTTCCTTTTTGTCCCTGGACCTGAACTTAGTTGGAAGTTTTAATTTTCCTTCACATCTATAGTAAAATCTGTCCTCCATTCTCTCTCTGGAATCATCATCTCCCTTTGTTTTCTTCACTTTTCCTCTCTTCCCATGAGTTTCTTTAGACTCGACCATTAATGAAACTGGTGGCTGTACTTAGTGGGTGTTATCTTTCCTGGAAAGTTGTAGGTACTTCGTATGCATCAAATGTACATGGGGGAAGAGAAATATAGAAAATACAGTCAATGAACTCTCTAGGAGACCCTTGATAAGATTTCTTGGCAGTCTCCACCAAACTGGTAAAGACCACCCTGGTAGCACTACCACCTTTAAAATAAGAAGTAATGTCCTGTTTATAGTAGTTCATTGTCTTCTCTCTCGCTCTAAAGCATAATAAAGTGACTACTTTTCCTTCCAAAAAATTAGTCTCTAAAAATACGGACAGACAACTAAATCTTTTTCTATGTACTTTGAATATCTACTGCCAGTACCAGCTAGTCAACAGATCATCCAGCAAACTTGTGATTTAGATGGAGGAGCCTAAGATTTATAAATAATTTAAAAGAAATGGAAATATAAATATAAGTACCCTATCCTCTCGTATTTGGTCGATATAAATATATGTAACCGAACCTCTTTCAGCTCTAGTTTTCAATTTTGCCCCTTTCTTTCTCTCTCTCCTCTCTCCTCTCTCCTCTTTCAGCCAGCAGCTCTCTCCTCACCAGAGGTGTCTTCGCTGGCGAGCTTTGAGCCTGGCACTCGACCTATACTGCTGTCACTGTAGTACGACTGCTTCATTTGCTCATCTAAGGATGAAAACCGGCACCATTTTTTTTCTGCGATAAGTTTCTTTTTCCACTTCCGTAATACTGCCACGTTGCTTGAGGAAGAAAGGTTTTGCCTTGGGACATTATGGGCTTTAGTCAGTTGTAAAGTCACAACCTCGTTCTCCTGTGATTCTTTTGTTTAATCACCTCAGTTGTAGAGTCCCAACCTGGTCCTCCTATAATTGTTGAAGTACCAACATCATCTTCTTCAGACTACCAAAGTCCCTCTATGAGTTAAGCTGAATTGAATTCCCTGACACATCTGATGTCTTCGCGGGCCAGGTAGAATTAGCCCGTCCGAGTCGTGTGTTTTCTCCCGGGAAGTTATGTGACAGAGAATTTTCATGGATGGCCCATTGGGTGGTGTTGGAAGTCGTCTTTTACAAGTGAGTTCCTTTCTACTATATACCCTGGAGATACCTTGTTCTGAGGGGAAATATTCGAAATAAAAGTCCAGTTAACCAGCCAGGATGCTCTTAAGTTGTCTCGTGTGAGGTTTGTGAACTGTCTATTTTCTCGATATAACTTACCTAATGGTGTTATATACTTTCTAGGACACGGTCATTGTATTGTACAGCAATCACTCTCTGTGCTCAAGTAATTGGATCTATTAATAGTAATTCAGGGCCTGGTGATTTACTTTTTCAGAATATTTTATCCATTACCTGCTCTAAGGCGGGCAGATGTTCTTAGTGGATTGTTCAATGCTCGCAGACTGATTCTTTTGCTCTGTTAGTCGCAAAACGCCACGCCCTCATCTCATGAATACAAGGCCTAGTTGCCCAATTATATTCTTCACTTGACGTCACTGCTGTTTGGCAGTCAGATTGATCCATTTGCTGCCTCCAGATTGCTGTAAAGAGGCTGAACGTATGGAGCAACAAAGCTGAATCCGAATTCTCCGCGGAGGTTGAGGTTCTGGGCAGAGTCAAGCACAAAAACCTCCTCGGTTTGCGTGGCTATTGCGCAGAAGCAGAGGAGCGTCTAATAGTGTACGAGTACATGCCCAACTTAAGCCTATTCTCTCATCTTCATGGGCAGAACTCGTCAGAGTGCGTCCTCAATTGGCCAAGGCGGATGAAAATCGCGGTTGGGTCGGCAGAGGGGATTGCGTGAGTCAGAACTAGAATCTATTCAGTCAATTTTCCAATTTTGGCAGTGAATTTTCATTACTCTACCTGTTTGCTCATCTCCTCCAGATATCTCCACCACAACGCCACACCCCATATAATTCACAGAGACATCAAGGCGAGCAACGTCCTTCTTGATTCAGACTTTGAACCTCAGGTTGCTGACTTTGGGTTTGCGAAGCTAATCCCTGATGGCGCCACTCATGTCACCACGAAGGTGAAGGGCACCCTGGGCTACCTCGCCCCTGAGTATGCCATGCTTGGCAAGGCCTCTGAGAGCTGCGATGTCTACAGCTTTGGCATTCTGCTTCTGGAGCTTGTCAGCGGGAAGAAGCCCGTTGAGAAGCTTAGTCACGCTGAGAAACGCACCATCTCCGATTGGGCTCTTCAGTTAGTCTGGGAGAAAAACTTTGCTGCGGTGGCAGACCCAAAGCTTAATGGGGACTTCGTTGAGGCAGAGTTGAGGAGGATCGTTCTGGTTGCACTGGTTTGTGCCCAGAACAGACAAGAGAAGCGGCCCACCATGATCCAGGTCTTGGGTTTGCTCAGAGGTGAGTCCAAGGAGGATCTAGAGACCTTGGAGAATGATGAGTTGTTCAGGCCGGGGACAAATGGATTATCAGGTGGCGATGGAAGCTCAGACTTTATTTCTGAGGGGAGGGATGTCGAGGTTGAAGGGAAGGGGGCAGCTGATTGTGAACCTTTCCCAAAATGAGAAGTTTGCCAACATCTGACAACATCGAAGATCTGGTGTTTCCGGTCTGAGTATACAGAAAACCTTCTGATCCAGCAGAGTTGAGGCCAGGTGATGAAAGGTGTGGAGGCTGGCATGTGTGTTTGTGCTATATCAGTCCAATGGTATATAATAATATATCATGAGCAAAATCATTCTGTTTATTCCCATCTGGTGGTACTTTGAAGAGTTTCTCTCTTCGCATTATATATGTCTAAAGAGATGATTTTGCTCGGTTTTTCATGTTATAACGTCATATTTTGTACGTCTCACTGAATCAACGTGTGTGAAATTGTGGTTTGCTTGTGGTTCTGCTAAAGATTCAATGCCTAGTGGGACGTGACCTGTCCAAAGTTGACTTTATTCCTCTTGTTCTAAGTGATTCATGCAAGCATAGTGTGGAAAATCATCTTAGAACCCTTGGGCTGCATGTGGATAATATCAAACGATTTTAGCTTTTTAGCTTTTTTCTTGATATTTTTGTGCTAAGTTTTATCGACCACTTCAACCTATTTCAGAGAATCCTTTCTTTTTGATAGGGTTCCTTCCCCCAACCATGAAGGCAGGGGTTGGTGGAAGGAGAGAAACGAAGCTAAATTGAGATTCAGATAGAACAAAAGGTTACAAGGACTCTACAAAATCTTAAGAAAACTTGAGGAAATAGCTTGAGAGGCTCCCCTATCCTCTTCAGGACTTGTATGCACTTCAAGGACTTGTATGAAGTCTTAATATTATGTCCTTCCTGCCCCCTTAATTGCTATTGTCTTTTTCTATCTCTTATTACATGTTTTCACTACTCTCTCTTGGTGGTTAAGGAGCAAGGTGGAAGTCTGGGAATTGTTGTTAGATGATTATGCTTGACTCTTATGATGCTTCAAAGATGAGAAGATCTGTCCAATGATTAAGGACCTCTAGGCCTATTCGGGTAAGTCTTGTATCAAACATTGCTTGAGGCTTAATGTTCCAATAAAGTGATCCTTCCAAAGCTGTTGACAGGAGTTGGTTGGGTTTGGTGGATCTCATGACTTTGGGCAATTGAGAGACATAGGGTGAAGGAAAGAAGTATGATGAAAATCCAAATGATAGGCAACCATTTTGATTTTTCTAGGATTTTGTGGGGACTGAAGTATGGAGAGAACTTCTCATTAGGCTTTATGATGAGTGACTACATTTAGTATGATTGGAGGAGCAAATGAATCATATCATTATCTTGGAATTTGATATCCTTACAATCTAGGTCTGCATAACGCTTCACATGCACTTGAGCCTTGTAGAGATGATATTTTAGTAAGAAAATTTTATCCCTTTTTTGGAGTAGCTTATTCACTACTTCAATAGGTGTATGAGGTGACCTATAATGTATCAAGGTTGATGGATTGTGACCATAATTTACTTTGAAAGGTGATGTATGTAAGGATGCATGAAATGAAGTGTTTTCATAAAATTTAGTACACAATGTAGTTAGTAAATTCATGTCTTCAAGTTCTCTGATGTGAAATAGTAGTGATAATTTTTTTATTCTTATGTTTAGTATTCTTTAGTATTTCGGTCTATCCCTCTATTTGAAAGTGAAACCATGTATTGTGTCATAGTTGTGTTCTCTATAGGTTGAATAAGGCAGACTAAAGAATACTTGTGAAGGTTGTCTCAATTAGATAGAATGGAATAAGGTGTACTATGAAGACACATAATATGTAGAGTAAATACTTGGTGACTTTAGTTGTTGAAAATGAGCGTTTTAGTAGTAAGAAGTGACCATTCATACTCTCTATCCAACACCACTAATATTGAGTTGTAACTTTGGTATTTGGAAAGTCCTTCCACAAAATCTAATGAGATGTCCCCCCATATTTGTTCTAAAATTATGAGAGATTGTAAATGACTTGGTAGAGATAGAGAATATGCTTTGTTTTGCTGATAAATAAAACATTATGTCATATGTCATCTAATGAGATTATTGTGACTTTTTTTGAGAATAGTGGGATGAGGCTTGAATGAGATAGAAGTGCCAAATGATTATTGTAAAAAAATAACCTTTTGATTAATGAAATAGTTAAGTTGAGAGTCATCTCCCTATAGAACTGCTTATCAAATTTGATCAATGTTGGCCATCTACCTCTACCTCCCTTGGAATGTATTGAATGTCCCCTGCATGAGTTTAATAGAAAGCAATGGTACTTAGCTTGTTCATCATGGGGATCTAGGATAGTGCATCAACCACTCCATTGCATGCTCTCTCCATGTACCTTATTTCAAAATCATATCCAACTAATTTGATCAATCATATTTTTTATTTATTAGGGTGGTACCTAATGCTACACAGAGGGAGTAGATATTAGTCTGATCAATTTTGATAATGGAATGTCCACATAATAAATAGTAACATTATTTTTATACAACCATCACTATGGCTAAGTTCTCATTCATAAACTGATTTTAGCTTATTTTTTCATAAATGATTTTATTTAAAAGTATATAATCAATTGTTGGTTCTACTTTAATACAACTCTTACTCTATATTTTAATGCATCTATTTTCAAAGGGTTTAGTGTAATCTGGTAGAGCCAAGACAATGTATCTTCACCATGGATAATCTGAGTTCAAATGCTTTATGTGTTTCTTTATTCTATCCAAATGCCTCTTTTTTAAGTTGTTGCATTAGTGGCCACATCATTCCCCCATATCATGCAATGAATTATTAGATTAACTTTATATGAATCAATCGTGATTCTTTTAGTTGAGATCTAATGTCCCAAGTAATCAAGAACTTATTAATCAAACTTATATTTGTTTATATTAATATAAAGTCAATTTGTCAATAAGATTGTAAAAACTTACCAAGGTTGTTGCTCATGTTCCTCTTTACTGCTACTAAAAATAGGAATGCCATAAAAAATAGACTACATTTGTAGATAAGATGGTAAAATATTTGATTCATTAGTGATTGAAAAGGTTATAGTGCATTAGTCAACCCAAAAGAAATCACTAAAAATTTATAATGAACTTTTTGTCAATGAAAAGTTATCTAATGAACTTTGTGATAGTTTGACTTGAGGTCTAGTTTATAAAATATAGACTTAATATAAAGTTAATCTAGAAGTTCTTCCAACATGTGGATTAAAAATCAATTAAAGACTGTGGCCTTATTAAGTGCCCTATAATCTAAACATAATCATTAACTCCTATCATTTTTTTTACTAGAATTAAATTGAAGTGATTATTACATCTGCAAATACATTTTGAAATAATGTAATGATTTTAATGTTAAATTAAGTCTAAAGAGTATCAAATAAAATATAGTTGTGAAGTATATTGAATGAATCTTCATAATAAATTCAACATCAATACATTGGTAACTTTTAATAGTTTTAAATCATTATTCAATCAATATTTTAATCATCATCGATATGGTTCTGATGTAATATATAAAATTATTAGCACAATTAATTCAACATATTGTTTTCATTTTTTGCACACCTTAATATTTTGCTTCAATCATTTAAGCACTATTCTATGACCAGATCATTACTTTTCAATAGTGACATTTTTTAGGTCTCAAAAATTAATAATTTTGAGCAAATACAATCATTGAGCCAGTATCATAACGCTCAACATCATTAAGGTTAATTATCAATAAATTATTAATTAATATTATTCAAGCATATAGTCAAATATTCACACACATATTTTTTAGAATTATAATCATAACACATTATAATTCGATCTATTTATTTTTCTCACATATATTTCTCATCATCAAAACTTTTTAAGATAAATAAAGCTTAATGATGGAAGAACACTATCAAAACATACAATCAAACGTGAGGGGAGGTTAGTCCTAGAGGAGTAAAATGAGATAAGTCATGAGGGACGCTTCCCTATAAATAGAGAGTGCCTTAAGTCTCATGGAGCAGGTTGACCTCTTCCCTATAAATAGAAAAGTCTATAAGAAGGCCTTCAGGCTCTTGGAGAGCTCTACAAGGTGCCGGTAGGTATGTTACTATTGCCCTTTTAATCTTTCTAAATGAATGATTTGCTGTTAGTATAATTCCAAACCGATGCCAAAGGCGGAATCTTTTACTCTTCGGGCGGTTCGGGTGTTCGCCAACGGAGGGAGGACGCTGAGAGATCAAGAAGACTTCGATGTTCCACCTTCGCATCCACTCCATCGACTCGCCCCGGCGCCCCCGCACGGCGGCCGAGATCGTCGCCGGGGGCGCTGCGGCCGCAGCCTCCGCCGGGAGCCATGTCCACGACTCTTTTGTCCTCTCTTCGTCCCCATCTTCTTCCAAACCTCTCTCCGTGGCGGCGGGGTCGTCGAATCCGAGCCCTAGCGTGCAAGTGAGCAGGGGCATCGCCCGCCTCTTCCGGAACTCCTCCTCGGAGTATACGTCCTCGTATTCAATCCCCCCCTCCTCCCCAGACCCGCACCAGCTTCCCCCTCTTCCGGTGAGACTATGCTTCCTCTCTCTCTCTCTCCCTCTCCTATGTTCTCTCCTCATGTTTTTCATTTCTCTCTTTCTCGCAAGGCATGGAGGAAGACGCTCCTGTTTGTTCTGGCCATCCCCAGTCGCTTCACGACGGACGACTTTCTGCACTTTTGCTGCTGGCCCTACTCAGAGCGGCTGCTAGAGGTCAGGGTTATCAGGTATTGGAGGCTTTTTGTTGGGCACTCCAGCGTGAGAGGGAATTGTCGATGATATGAGATTTCAATGCCATGCTCTTTGCTGCACTTGACCAGGAATGATGCTGTTGAGGAGTGGTACAGCATGATCATCATGTTCGATGACCAGAAGGCTGCTGACAGTTTCTATTCAGATCTTAATGGCTGGCGTTTCCCTTCTGAAGAGGTCTTTCTATACTTCTTTGCGCAGCTTTCTAATGTTCTTGCTTTTGTTAATCAAGTTGTCATCTACCAAACGCAATTTTTTTTGCCACCTGCTCTGTTGCATGGACTTTCAGGCTGAGGTTTGCCACATTCTATTTATTTCGTCGGTGGAGTTCACAGAGTCCACTGACCTTGCTGCCTCTCCTCCAGTTGGGTTCACAGAGCTGCCTGCCTGTCCTGTTTGCCTTGGTGAGGACCTTTATCTTTCTTATTTCCTCTGCCTATTCTTCTACAGTGATGGTTTCTATTTCTTTATCTAGCTTTGGGTACATTTTCAACCATTTTTTTCTCCTGAGATAATGTGATTTTGTATAATTTTCTCGCCATCTGGTAACCTAAAGTGATGTGAAAACTAGAGGAAATGTATCTTCTTGATGATAAGCAAATTGTTTATTTCATTCATGCCCTAATTCTATCGTGTAGGGCAGAAGCCATCCCCATTCCAACTTGTCGAAACTTCTCGACTGGGCTTCCTTTGTTGTCATCATTCAGCATTAGATCACATGATTGGCTGATTATCCATTATTTTTAGAGGGTGAAATTGGTTCGTTGTTATCAGAAAGAAAGAAGCTAATTCCCTTGCCCATGCAGCAAATGTTGAATTATACACATTGATTACATGGCGTAGCCTCAACTTCCTAGTCCTATCACAGTTGAAAACGTTTTTTTTAAATTCTGGAAGATTTTTTGTCCTATGCTGAGCTTGCTAATTGCAACCTATCTCCGTAAATTCTTGTAAAAGAGTTGAAATTAATATTCTCATTATGCTTCATTTCTTCCTTGTATCTTCCTGCCTTTATTTCTCAGAAAGATGTTATATAATTTTTTAAAAATCAGCATTCATCGTTTATATTCATTTTTCTTCATTCTAATACTACAAGACAGTTTTCTTCGGAGGATGCATTTTAAATGTTTTGGAGAGGAATTTGTTCCATTTGTATATCTGGCCTGCCTTCGATTTTTTCATCGACTCACATCAAAATTGTGAAAATGGTCGCATGCTTGAGGAGGTATTGATAGACTTCTTCTGGACCGTCCCTGGGTTTTGAAATGTGGCCATATTTGCACTTTAGTTTATGATACAAGTGATAGGATCTCAAACAGGACGCTAAGGACAGCAACCAGATTGCACAGGCAAAGAGGTAAGAAAAGGAAAACCCTAGAACAGTTTGGGATGAATTCGAGATCGCCCCACTCTCCCACTGACTTCCTCCAAAAGCGCCCCACTCCTTACGCCCCTGGGCCCACCTATGGCTTACCCTTCCCTCTCCGAGCGAGGTAATGGGCCTGATAGTTTCTCAGTATCCTTGTCAATCTTAAAACTGCCACCATTGTGATGAAGACTTTAACTCTGAAATCTGCACTGGCTTAGAGCATGGAGTGTTTATTTCTCAAACACTGAATTTTTTTCTTTCAACCAATTATCTACTTATGTGTGATGCCATCTTTTGTGGCTAGGCTGGCAAACATTGTCCACTAAAGTAGCATAATGGTGAGGGACCCACAAAATAATGCATGCATTTTTCATCGGTTTTTTTTTTGTGGAATTTATCTCAATTTATGGCTTATTTCCTCCTCTTTAGATTTCATCCTTATTTTGTCTTTCTTCTCATTTTCAATCACCACCTAACAGAGAGGTTGGACCAAGACACTAGTGGGATTGTCACAACAGGCTGTGACCATTCTTTTCAATGCTCATGTATTTCAAAGTGGGCCAATTCATCTTGTCCAGTAAGTTCCTCAATGTTAATTTTTTTACTTCCTGTTATTTAATTTTGAAACAACGGAAAAATTACTTTCTTCACTTTTATGTGTAAGAAATCTTTTTGTATTCGAATTATTTAAATACCTATGAGCATATCTTCATTGTGTTGTGAAGAACAAATACCAGTAGTGCATGTAGTGTCAAATTAACTGGGGATGGTGATCTTGGTGCACCATCAGAAATAGCATGTTATGAATGGTTTCGTGACCATATTTGAGTGTGAGGACAGTAAAATTTGATCGTATCATGTACTTCATCCATAACGCATGAAATCCTCTTTATTTAAGGCACCAAGGCCTTGAAATAATCTAAAAACTTGGGTTCTACTTTATTATATACTTATTCAGTAGTAGAAGTTGCGAGCGTCCAGGTCTGATCATTCATTTTAATTTTAACCACATATTTGTCTCTCACTCTTTATCGGAGATTGAAAATTTTCTGAAACTTGGCATGTGGACATTGGGGGGCCACACAGGACTTATGCAGTATAATGAATCTGTATGACTGACTGCGACATCTGGTCGTCTGTCAGTTAATGGTTTTATTCAATTCTTATTGGACTTCGTTTCTCTCAGTAACTTTTATAATTGGCATATTGATTGATTTTTTGTTTCCTGAATGTCTAAATAATTGAACTCAAGAAAATTAATCAGAGATATTGAACAGTATATCAACTTAACAATAAGATGCGATTTGAATTAGATGCTAGCTTTGTTAACATTCTCTGGCTCGATGATCACTTTTCAACATTCCAATAAAAAATATGGTTGAAATTTTCAACCATAGGTTCATGAGTCAGAGACAAGTATACGATAAAAAGTTGCAACAGTATTATGTTTTGAGTCAAATGATTTGGTCTTGCCATGATTGTCGTAAAAAGTGCTTACCCACCCATTTGTTCTATAATAAACTCCAATACAGAAAAATATCCAGATACCTCCCCGTTCCATATGATGCAAGGCTGCAAAGCATTCATAAGTTCATTCTTATGTTTACTTAATTCACCTAGGATATTGAGCAAATAACTACCCTATACTGTTTTCTTAACTTTTTGTTTTTCTACTTCGTTATTTACTATGAAGCTATCGTTGATAATTTATATGATATTACACTGACACCAATCTATTCTATTTATTCCTACTGGCGTTATCATCGACATTTCTGTTTTCATATGGATGAGTACATCTGAAAATTAGACGTGAAGCTGTCATTTTGCTGGGATGTTTTGCCTGTCTTAGAAGGAATTGACATGAAACATTAAAGGAATTGGCTCATGGTGGTTATCAAATGTTCATTGTTCAGGTCTGTCGATTCTGTATGGAGCATAGTGAGAAACCAAGTTGTTCAGTCTGTGAAACTTCGGAAAATCTCTGGATTTGTGTCATATGTGGTTTTATTGGTTGTGGAAGGTATCCTGTTATCTATCCTTGCACTTATATTGGGATGTACCACTAGAATTGTCTTATTCTATTTTACTTATTTTCCGCAGTGATGTTTGCTTGAACTGGCAAAATAATTTTTTACAGATATAAGGAAGGCCATGCTGTTAAACATTGGAAAGATAAACAACACTGCTATTCTCTTCATATAGAAAGTCAACGGATTTGGGATTATGTCGGTGATACTTATGTTCATAGACTCAATCAATCCAAAAGTCAAGAGAAGCTTTTCAAGTTGAAGAGTCGATACAGATCAACCAAAAAAGATAATCAAACCTTTGAGTGCAGTGGAGATTCCGAAATAAGTGCAGCTCTATTGAGCAGCAAAGTTGACGCTGTAATTACTCATTCTATGAAGTTTCTCTTCCTTTCTAGAGTACCTAGGAAAACAAGTATTTGAAGTACATCTCCGCTTTTAGCAAGATTGTTCTTGGAATTTATCTACTCACCGTTTTTCAATGGACACTTGGTTGCAGATTGTTGACGAGTATAATAATTTACTTGCAACTCAGCTTGACTCTCAGAGAGAGGTAATCAACCATTTTTTAGCCAGTATTATGTTCATTTTGGATCTGCTGAAACTTTGGTTTCACTCTTTTTGTTTCATTTGTAGATGGCTTACTCTTGATGAACATAACATGTGGTTTGTTTCTTGTTGAATTTATGCTTCCATTGACAGTATTATGAATCCTTACTTTCGGAAGCTAAGGAGAAAAGGGAAAAAACCATTTATGAAGCAGTGGAAAAAGCTGTTTGGGAAAAGATGCAGAACATCCAACTTGAAGTGGAGATGGCAACTAAAGAAAAGAAAAATGTTGCTGATGTAAGCATACATGCTATGTTCTAAAACATTTACATGCCAATTTCCCCATTCTTTTCCAATGGGGAAGGGGAGGGGGGGGTGCTAATCCCTCAAGGACGAGTTTCTTGCTGATTTTCATGGTTCTTCATTTTCGCCTGAAGACGTCCTCTCACAAGATTCTCTTATATACTCAGATGAATGAGGAACTTCTGAAGAACCAAAATCTTTTACGACAAAAGCTCAAGGAAATCGAGGATAGGTACTCTCTCCCCATATTTCTACCTTTGCTCCCCGCCCCACCTGTGCCTCAGTAAAAGCATGAGTTCTAATTTAGGGATATCTTCCATCATCTACATGCCCAGTGCTGTGTGCTCATGTGTACAGATATGTTCTTATATATCCTCATCTTTCTATATTCAATCATATTTTTTTCAGTGAATTTCAATTATGTCATCACAATTTATCCCTTCTTCCCAGAAAGGGAAGATAAGCTACTGCTTATTTCCCAATCAACATTTTTTTTGGGTTTTTTTTTGGGATAATAGTCTACTCCAATTTTGATTGAGACATTGGGAGGCTATTTCACAAGGATTCAGTGTAGCCAAATGAGTAAAAAGCTCCTTGCGTGCTGACCTGCAGGGAGAGGTCTACATTAAAACTGAAGGATGAGAGGATTCAAGACCTAGAAGAAGAGGTAAGCCATTTGCGTGCTTATTTCAATAGTACAGAGACCCAATGGGGAAACTCGCCTGTATTTTTCGAGCCTTTCATTGTCTATGGTATGCTGAACTCCAGGTTAGAGATATCACTGTGTACATCAACGCCCAGAAAGCGCTCAGCAACAGAGCAGATGCAGATGAAATCAGAAGCGGAAGTGTATTGCCAATGCCACCACAGCAGGCCTCTTCAACAAAAGCTCGAAGATCGTCAAAGATGAACAGAAGGCGGCATTAGTCATTCTGTGGGTGACAGGCATGGGATAAGGGTTTTGAAGAGGTCTTTGATTGCGGCAGCGCCACTCAGTGGAGATTTCTTTTCCAAGGACCATAGGTGAGATTTCAGTTTGTTGATTCTAATTGAAGCATTGAGTTAATAGATCATAGCTGGCTTCACTGGCTGGACTCCAGTTTCAAAGCGACAGTGAAAGAGTCTGGCCCTTCTATGCTCATTAAGGAAAATGATTAGCAGCGCCAATTGGCCCGGTATTCCCAGAAGTAAAACTAGGCTAGGCATAGGCTTTATGGATTGAGCCCTGTGAATATTGAAAACCCATATAAAAATATATAGATGCTCCTCCCAATCCCTTGAGAATTAAGTTACTCAATGGATATGTACTTTCTCATGATGTAGAAGCAGTGAAAATGGAATATGTTCCAAACATATATCTAAATTTTACTCTTTTTGATGCTTCTTCAGACTCATTGCCGATGTTTTGCCTAAAATGGGTATGTTTGCTGACATCATCTGCCAAGTACATCTGATTCATGTAAAGCCTAATCATACTTTGAGTAGCCTGGGCTCTGTTTAATGAATTGTTTGGGCGATCGACAGGGTCACCATAAAATCGGCTCCTGAAAAGACCAAGAAGGGGATGAACGCGTCATCATGCTATATTGACATTCAACTGGAGGGTTCTCCAGCCTGGGGGTCAGTCAGAGAGAAGCAAACCCACCCTCCCCCTGTGGGCTCTTGACGAACGGTTCACGAAGAACCCTAGATGCTGAGCAAAGGAGGGCTCTAGTAATGTAATTAAAACCATGCACAGTGAACAGCTACATCTCTACTGCGGTTTATTCAGATCAATCTTTGTCAAAGAGGGCCTTCCCTTGTTTGTGTATAGAAAGAACCTGATCCTTCAAGTCATGGGAAGTAATCTGCTGGATCTCTCCTCACTTCTTTTTTTGTTCCCCTTTACTCTTATTAATGGTATGGAGAGCTTCTTTGACGTAACATAGCTGAGCTTTGGTTGACAAAGTCACCCCCCATGGTTGACCTGAATGGAACCAAAAGTGGGCCCATCTTGTATTCCTTACACAGATCAAGTGTACTGAATTCCCTTGACCTTCCACTTTGTTGGGAAGTTTCTAACCACAGTAGACACTAAAAGAACCAAAGATGATTAAATTGTTGCATTAATATGCTTCCAGTACTAAAAAACTAAGGGTATTGTGTCCATAAAATTCTTCACTATAGTGGGCGCATTTCAACATGACAACTTATTCACCTCAGTCTCTCAATAGACAAACCCCTCACTGGCCTGTCCTAAAGAAATTATCAGATGAGTGTCTAGTCAGGAATTAAGTGGCCAACTTGAGCTGAAGACTACATCTGGTTCTCAAAATGGAGAGTTGACCTTGGGGAGCATTAGACATTACTGGGCAAATTAGATATGAAAAACCAAACCCTAAACTACTACCAAGGTCCAGAGAAAGAGGGAAAAAACATTTAGAGTGTATAAGGCTTAGTACCATTAGTTATACATCCACTCGATTCCCGTTGTAGTTTTAGTATCTTCCACTATAAGAGTTGTGGGGATAATAACAAGCTTTCTAATCTCTAAAGTATGCATATTTTTTCCCTTGAGGTTGATTGCGCATGCATGTACTTCCCATTACGTTCAGGATAAATAATATTTTCAATAATTTGCATAATCATGGAGTGCATATTAATTTATGTTATCAAGATTATGGATGCAGTAGAATGTGCAACGATCAGCAATCATCATATGTTTTCTTGAGAGGGGGTCACAGGAATTTCATCTATCTTAACAATTCAAAGGCTTTATTTGCAAAATTAATATGATAGATCCAGTATACAGGTACAACTTTCAAATTATCCATAATACAAAAGTACCGGGCACAATCAAAGTAGATCGCAACAATGTCAAATATCCTGGCGTTCTTCCTCAGTCAGAGCATATACAGCAATAGATGCCTGAAGATCCCGATCAACTTTGAAGTGGGCATGGAAAAATCTTTTCACCTGCCATTGGGAATGCCACAAACAGATATGAAACTGGTGTGTGATTTCAGAAACTCCCCTTGATTCACAAACAAATATATCTTCAAGATAATATTTTCTTCGTTTCATTATTTTTTTTCAGTTTCCAAAACGATATTGTAGAAAAAAAAAATTATAACCTCTCTCTATCCTTTCAGGTCAATTGGGGTCGAAATTCCACATTTTCATTTGACATCACGAAATCTACAAAGAGAGTGAGAATAATAAATATGATAGGCTCTCTTGAATTTGAAGTTTACCTCGGAAAATGAATGAGAAAAAAGAAAATCCCTTAATTGGCTCTCTTCAGAATCAAATAGCACTATATGACTCGGTAAAGACCAGTTTCCAACCATATCTGACATGAAGGCAGTTGGATTCCTCATGAACTGATCTGATTCATCCAGGGCTCCCTTCTCAAGGCTGGTAACAAGTTGATGAACCGCATATAAAGGTAAGCATGGTTAATGTTCTCAAATAGATGAAAAATATAATAATAAAGAAAGAGCATTAATAAGCCTTACGTAGGGGAACAATCTAAGAACTGCATAGGCACTTTTTCGTGCAAGGTTGAGTAGTATGGCGTAGCATGGCAAGGTGTTAAAAATAGAATGCTCTTCACTTTCCCATCACGGGCCTCATATGCTAGAAAGTTCATCACGTCTTCACTCCCTCTCTAGCTAACATATTTGTGAATCAGATAACGTGTGAGGTAAGAAAATACAAGACATCTAGTAGTGAATCATTCAGAGGTCTCAAGTCGTCAAACGCAAGATGAAACTTTCACCTGATGGACTAAGCTCATATAAAGAGCCATTGGAACATTTGTTGCAATAAGGAAGAGCATAAAGTACTTTCTTGAGGGGAATCTAATGAAGAATGATGATATTTTTCTATTATGGTCACGAGGTGCACAACCAGGAACAGCAGCAAGAAAGTATCCAGAGAACATCAAAGCGAGGGGAAGCACTGGCAGGACAAACCTGAAATTCCAGTCTTCCAATAAGTGAGCAGTAAAATAACATTGTGATCTATGCATTGAGTGCTATTGTTGCCACAAAATGAAAATTCTCATCTAAATGAAAGAAATGTCTCCATGAAATAAATACATACCTGAATTCTTTATGTCCAAGAATGCTATGAACCCCTAAAACCCATGCAACCAGACCAGAAGGCCTCCATTTCTTGGAATGGATAATCCCAATTAAAGAAAAAGGTAGAAACGTTAAAAGCATAGCTGGGAATCCCTGGGTGAAATACCAGTGCCACTTGTGTGTTCCATAGTAATCTCCTCCCGAAGAAAGAAGGTTGAATTTGAGAAAATTAAGGGGCACAAAGACCAACGAACCGTACATCAACCAATCTAACATACATGAGAGCACAAGAACCAAGATCCTGATAAAAAACAAAAAAAACCAACATGCCAAATCACATATATGAGGCACAAAACCACTTGGGGATGACATTTAACCAACATAACGAATATTAGTAGTTTAACATACACCAAAACAGCATCTACATAAGATTTGGCACTTCATTATGATGAAGTAGAACATTACGATTTCACAAAGGCTTCCAGACCAAGAGGCCATCTTCTGCCTAGCACGGGAGTTGGTCTAAATTAGACAGTCACAAGAAGTAAACAGAAAAATGCAGGGTTGTACAGATGCAATATTTAAGCATCAGGAAAAAGAAATGTTCTTCTCCACCAGTATGATTCTGGCGTCCATAGATCACAGAGCACCGAAGTAAAGATTGCTCTGTGAGAGAACAGAGGGCGTTATACAAGATTTAGGGTGGCCGTGTTATGTTGGGAGAGATCTTGACGGTATCACTTCACTTCATCATAGGAGATGATGCCACGCATGACAACAAAACGTGGGATTTCGAGGAACTTATGACAAAATCAGGACTCATGAGTAGACTAAATCCCCTATTAACCTGAACCATGTAAGTTTTCATTTTGAACTGTATTGACTTCGTGTGTCAACAAAGAGTAATAATTAAACTGTCTACAATGCATAGTTACAATGCGTGGTCCAGTTTATTCAATTCGGATAAATAACTAAAATGTCCTCACGCAAAGTTGAGATTTTCTTTTCTTTAATTCTATTGAATTCAGAAGAGGGGGTTGACATTTTTTACATTTACTATCAAAAGTGCCAATGGGGGCGTGGGCTGTGTTCTGTGAAAATAGGGCTGAGGATTGGGCCCCAACATTTTTTCAAAGACCGGCCCACTCCAGGCCCAGACTACCCAGTCAACATGGGGAAGGATATGTGGATAATGGTCACTCGAGGGAGAGGCTAGCTTGGTAGGGGTTGAAGCGAGTTGCCATGCGACAGACAACCAGGGAACCACATGGAGGGCAGTTACCCCTTGCGGCTTTCTAGGGAGTCAAGGTAGACCCCAGAAAAGGTTCATATTACTCTGGAAATATTTGTCATCTTCCAGTACAGATTTTTAGCTCAGAGACCATGATAAACAACATAATCCACTGTACCCTCGTACACTACCTTCTCTCCCTACTGCCACTAGATAAAGCCTAGATTCACTCTTCCATGGCTTCTATAACCACTTTCTAGCACATCTTTGACAGGTAGAACTAGTAGTGAATATCAAAAGATAGCATGACTTTGGTAGCAGATGGAACTCAAAAATACACCACAGAAACTAAATCGGTTTTTATGACGGCCCAAAGATTCAGAGGAATCAACAGTACTGATAAATGATATACCTACCCAATGGGGAATACCTCAAGGAAAAGAAACTTATATCGGTCATCAGCCTTTACAAATTCCCAAATCCCGAGATACAACCATGTGATAGCACTGGTAGGCCGAACAATACAAGCCAATGCTGCAATCAACAGAGCAAACTTCCTCGATCCAGTCTGTGCCTTTTTGGAAGAGGATTCATTACATAACCAATAAAATAAGCTGATACTCGTCAGAACTGTCTCGAGACTGTTTGATAATGTTCTTGTAATACAGAAAAACATGAACCAGCAGGTCAACTGTGAAAAAAGCTGAGAGGAGAATTAAGGGGAATCAAATTCGCTAAAAAATAGAATGGCTAAGCAGAGTGAGTCAAAAAAGAATCGAAAGGATACTGCCCATTGTGCCACATGTTTATTGAACAGGACATAAGAAAGTTTGTATGTAAAGAGATCGCCGAAAGAAGCAAAAACAGACTGCAGCAATCTTGGAGCTTTAATCTGAAAACATAAAAAAAAGTGCACATCATGTTTAATGCTCAAACGAGAATATTGCAGTTATCATAATCACGGCATAAAAAAATTGTACTAACAGGTGGAGATTTATATTTGAGCATACTTGTGTGCACAAGATATGTAGCTGGAGCATTGAATTGGTAAGTGATGTCACAAGGCTCACCCAAATATGAAATCACTAATCCATTCATTTCTGTAGCATCCTAATGCTAAACTTAACTCGTGTACCATGACAACGTTATTATGGCCAACTATCTGAGGTGGCCATCTAAACAAAACAGCTGTCTTTCAAGTACGGAGCAGATTCAAAGTGATTTCCACAAGGAATCCCACGGATAGAGCATGAAAGCACTACAACCGTGATATAGATACATATGATCTTCATAAAGAGACATGGATGTTGCTAACCAAGATTTTACTGACTCTCCAGGGAATGTAACACTGAAACTCAGGGTTTCAGTCCAACCCTAGTACAGTACTTTTCTACCACGTGATGAGGAGATGGTTATAAATACTGATAAATAGAAATAGAAGTAGCTAGCAGATTTTATGGTATTACATCATACTACAGGAAGATTTTATGATATTATATCATACTACAAATTACTTCAGATGATACATAAATTTTCCACTTTGGAAATGAAAACACCAAATCTATTCTTTCAGAGGGAGCAAGTATCAGTTCAAGCAGCCGTTGGACATGAGTTGCGAGCCAAGATCAAAGTCCTTGACATAAGATATGTTGAATTTGATAATCTGATTTTGATGATTGCCATACTCGTTTTTCTAATTATTTTTTATATATATTTTCATGATATTTATGCTAAAAAAATCAGGTTTTTCAAACCAAAAATGGCCCAAAAATGAAGGTAACGTGACAAGATTTGATCCGACAAAAGTACAGGGAAAAGCATGAAGAAAATAAGATACTATGTATGGAGAAATGTGAACTAAAATTTAACTGTCGACACTTGAAGCGTCAGTCCCCACACTTGCAAGTAAAACAAGAGTAAAAACCACACGAATTGACCACTATAGTCTAGGTGTTAACACCTGCAAAGACTCGACAGCTATATCACCCTCCATAAAAACCCCAAATAGATGAAGAGGCCCGTCATTTTCTAGCCTCTAAAGGAGATAATGTTTGCAATGGATACTTTAAAAATATAAAAATCACCTCAAATGCGCGATGATTAATGCTTCCACAAATCTACAAGATTAAATTTAAGAAGCTCTCCATCTCAACTGCTCACAAATATTGAAAGTTTTTTTTTCAATCCTGAAGAAATCCCTCAAGACTCTTTAAGTATACATATTCTCATTGAAGGTTTCAGTCAATATGTTTTCCATTTCATCACATTTTACAAGCTAGCTATTGAGATGCTTATTCTTGTGAGAGGATTTTCATTGGCACCTTGGGAAGCCAACATGTAGAAGTTTAGGAGTTGATCTAGTGAAAACACCAAGGAGAAGCTCGGAGACTAAAGAAGTTAGACCAAACCACTATAAAAAAATTTATGGCATTGTGTGCTTGATTTACTTTAATATCAGAGATTGGACTGTTGACTTTTCTAGTCAGCTATTACCTTCAACATATGATCAACAAGTTCTTTATGAAGAAAAAAAATGGAAGAATGGAAAAAAGAAGTATATAAAAGCTAACTTAGAATGGCCATAAAAATCAAAGGATAATATCTACGCTGTAACAATGTGGTGAGGGCCATGATGATTAGTTGGAGAAAAGTGATTGATAATATGGATAAAGAGTAATGCAACTCTTCCTCCAGTTACTAAATCCAAAATCCAGGACTTGCCACCTAATCAGAATGTTGGTGGAAACTCAGAACCAGGACAAAAGAATGGAAATGTCACGAATCAGCTCTGCTCAACATTCTTACCATAAACCAGGGCACATCCAGATGGAGGAAGGACAAAACTTTATAGAGTAGCACGAACACCATCGGGTGAAGATAACTCCGGATACCCTCTTTCCACTCCCACGTCAAGTGCCCGTACCTGCCATTTCCACAACCCATGTCCACGAACAATACAAAAACCAAAATCAACTGAAGAAAATATAAGAAGCATGAGACCAGCAATAGACATGAAACTATCGTCTACTGTCACTACCAGGATCCAAACTCGCGCCTAGCACACACTACCCAAAGAGTAACGGAAATAGGAATCAACAGAAGATGAAAAATATCAGAAGCATGATGCTACCAAAAATTCGTAAGAACAATCAGAGGAGGTACCCTCAATTTCTATGACTTGACCTCAAAATTACACAGTATAGCGGGACATAAATGGAAGAAGAACTAAAAATATCCGAGGGAGGCAGGAGAATGAGAGGATGCGGAAGCACTACGGCTAAGAAGCTGATGTCGGAGCAGGCGATGCGAGGAATGATCACATTACCCAAAAGCGACGCGGTGGGCGACCTCTAAGGCTTGCCAGTGCTCGTCGGGGTTGAAGTAAGTTTGCACTAGCAGTGCATTCACCACTCGGAAGATTAGACACAGAAGCCACACTCTCCCATCCGAGGCGAATAACCAGTCCGGGAGACCGCCAACGCCGCCGCCACCACCGCCGCCGCCGATGGGGATCTCCTTCTTGCTCAGCTCCGCTCCTTCCCCTTCCCCATCCCCACGACGGCGCTCTTCCATGCTGGAGGACGGCCGCCGGCGACTCGCCATGGTTGAAGACTGGGTCGAACAGTCTCCACCACGGCTCGAGCAAGCTCTATAAAACAGACTTTGTGCCAAGCCCAGCCCATATGAAATCCAGACTCGAACCGGTCCGGATCTATAAAGCTCTATAAACGGGCTTTAGGCCAAGCCCATATGAAATCCGGGCTCGAACCATCTCGGCCCGATAAAACTCTATAAAAGGGGCTTCTGGGCAATCCCTTATGAATCCAGGCTCAAAACCGGCCCGGCCCGCGGAAACTCTAGAAAATGGGCTTTGGGGGCAAGCCCTTATGAAATCCGGGGTCGAACCGGCCTGGGTCGACCCGACCCCTACTAAACAAGCTTGTAATCCTGGTCTATCGGAGGTTTGCTTCGATTAAGAAATATTATACTAAGGTCCTCGTCCAATTTTATAATTCATGTAGTACTTTATTAAATAATATTAATATACTATTCTCTCGCTCTTTTCTTTATGCTTCCTTAATTTGGCGCCACCACATGTTAAAAAATAAATGATTATCTTTTATTTTTTTAGAACTTGTTTTTTCATACGTCTTAAAAATTCAAAGGCTCAAATTTTATGATAAACCCCAAAAAATCGTTGATTTTTTATTTTTCCCTAATTTATAAGTGTATTTATATGAGTCAAGGCTCTACTAATTGGTACACCATGCCCTAATATGTGCAAATATAATGGTATTTTTGTAGATTTTTTAGCTTGTAAAGAAGCACCCTCAAAAGGGTTCTTCAGAAAATTCATTAAAGCCCAATGAAGTATTGTGATATATTTTTTCCTGGTACCACATAAGTGATAATACTACTCATAGAGGGGAGAGAGACAGACAGGTAGAGTCAGACAAAAGACATTTTGACCTCAATATTCAAGCAATTAGGCCCAAAAATCACATGAATAGCTCATTTGATTTGTAGACTAGCATATTGCTCAACCTTTAATCCTATTTTATTATTATTATTATTTAATTAATATGATATTTTTGAAGAGTTACAACTATTTATGGCTTCCTAAAAGGCCAAAATGTTTTAACTTCAAGGAGAAAGAATAGTATACTATTTTTGTTATGTGATACCACTTGTGGATGCAAAGAACATCATTGTCTTGTCATTTCTCATTCAATGGTCATCCAAAGCAATCTTTCTAGACTCAAGACTCAAGGAGCTTGGGGTTCTTGGTTTGTGAGGTAAAGGCTTGACTTTCTTTCTTTTATGACTTCTACTACATCAAGCTTCCCTTGAACATTTTCTTCATAAGATTATTTGATTTTAAGTTATCATAGATATGCCGCTATAGGAAAACCCTAGTTTCATACACTATGTTAAAAAAAAGTATTAAAAAACCTCTAAGTTATGATTAATTTCATATAAATGTCCATCCAAAGCAATATTTGTAGACTCAAGGATTTAGAAGTCCCTTCTTTTATGACTATTGCATCAAGTTTGCCTTGAACATTTTCTTCATGAGTTTATTTGATTTTAAGCCATAAGAAATATGCCACTATAGGAAAAACCTAATTCTATTCACTATTTTTAAAAAAGTCCTAAAAAACCTATGCATTATGAGTAATGAAACTACATAGAGTATATAGATGACATATTTTCTACCCACCCTTTTTAATATGAAAACTATAATTTTATCATTTCATAGTATCTCTCCCTCTCTATTCCATAACAAAGACAAGGGTCAAAGGGTTAGGCCCATTTTTACAAGCCCACAATTATTCAAAAAGCCCATCACTAGAACCCCAAGGACCCATTTTTTCCACGTGATTATCTCACTACTACCCACGTGATTTTCTCTCTCTTCTGGTTGCATACGGCTAGACCAAGTCTATTTAGGAAAAGTTGTATCCATTTTTTGGGGCTTTTTGGGTCCAACTATGCTAAAATATCTCCAAATTGGGACCTATGGTTGTAGAATAATTTGGATGATTAAAAAAATAATTAGACTTGTGGTCAAACCCCATTTAATTTATATTTTAGAATTTCAAAATTAGCATCATTTCTTATGAAAAGGGTTACCAGCTTTTTTACATTTATTACATCAGATAATGGGCTGCTTTTTTCTTTTCATAATTTAAGGACTCATTTCCCTCAATGATTGTGTAGGCTTCCGTCCATCTCTCTCTCTCTCTCTCTCTCACTCTCTCACTCTCTCTTTCTATCTCTATCTCTTGATAAATATTATATAATGCACGAATTTATTATTTTCCAAGGCAATCTAAGCCTAATCGAATCCCAAATAGATGGTTGAATTTAGTGTGCGGGCCCCACATTCGACCACTAAAATTTAAACAGCTGTCAGGTTCTTCTTCCCCCACCCCTCTCCCAACAACATCTCCTGCGACCCGAAGTTTCCCCCTCTCACTCCCCCTCTCCTCCACCGGACGGAACCCTCGCTGTTGTGTTGCCGTACAGGCGGGGGAAGCGGCGGCGAGATTATCCAGATGGCCGACCTCGACACGCAGGAGGTGAGATCTTCGTCATCAGCTCGTCTGCTATTTGAGCCCCACCTGCGATCGCGATCAGGAGCTTCTGAATTGGCTCCTCCGTATGTCGGCGCGTGTGCCTAGGTCTTCGAGCGAATTTGGCTTTCCTGGGGACCATTTGGGTGTCCGGGCTGAGCTGTTGTGTCTTTTTGGGGGGGATTTGGTGAGATCAGAATATGAGTGCTGGATTCCCGTTTCGTAAATGTGACCCTCTGGTTGATTTCATTGTCTGAGTTATTAAAATGATGGTGGATTGAATTGTGATGTGTATTTATTCCGAGTGCCACTCGATGGATTATCTAGTTCCACTTGTTTTTTATGTGAGCCAACATACCGTCGTGAGATCCTTATCAGATGAACAGGTGGTTCATGCCCCATTAACTCAAATAAATCATGTGAAATTAAAATAGAATAGGACTCTAGTGATTCAAATGGTAAGAAATATTCTTAATGCAATAGTTTCTTTTGAAGTTCAGGTCGCCACTCCTTGTCCAATGAATTAGTGGACCTTTCTCTGTCCGCTCTTGTGATTTTCCCTGATAAGATGGGACTTGAAGGCGTGTAGATAAATGAAGAACTATACTACAGTGTTAATTGGATTGCATATTGTGGTAAAATAAATGTTATGTGAATCAATACAATGTCCTTGGAGATGCCATGATTTTTCATAAAATCATTAACATTCTGAAATTCCTTTTCTTGTTAGGCACACTGGATTTAATAGAATAAATAGTCGAGAGTGTAATTCAGTGGCTACCATTTTGGTTCAGCTAGGTGTAGACGCAGATAGTTGCTCTTACTCATATAAGCACTCCTGAGTACTAATAATGTATTTTTGAATTCTGGCAATCGGAGTTGTTTTGTTGGATGATGAACCTGCATGTTAACCTGAATTTCTTATTTTTTATCAAGGTTCTTCAAAGGGACATACCATGGGAGACCTACATGACAGCTAAGCTTATTACAGCAAGATGCCTTCAGCTGCTGCGGCGTTATGATAAAAGATCTGAAAGCTACCGTGCTGCATTGCTTGATGATGTAAGTATGAACAAATTTTCCTGAAATTTTATTTTCACAGATTGGTATGCAGCATGAACGCTTCCTGCTAGTTTTTACCTTTCAGATATAGTCTTTGATATCAACATTTATCATTTTTGTGATACCTTACCTCGTGCTTCTTTCAATAATTCTTCTCCTTGTCGAATTTCAGTTACTCCTGATATGTTTTATGCATGTTGTACGATGAACATTTATCGGACCTTTAGTATAATTTGATTTTAATGTCTTTTATGAACCTTAATAAACGTATATCTAAAGGGTATCATATATCAACAGGGCAGCGAAGTATGCACTGTTCATGTTGCTGACGCCACAGTGGATCTCACTCTTGAGTTTGGTCGTTAGACTTAAGTGTGGTTGTCGAAATCTAGAAAGCTATGACAAAAAGGATACTAGCGCTTCACATCATAAATCTGGTCTCACTTGGGGCGATGTTATGTTGGACCTCTAGGGAAGTGATATCTAGTTGCAAAATATACCCTTTGACTTTGGGTATTTTTTCGGGTCTGTGGGACAGCAATTTGGAAAGAAAAATATGCAGATAATTCAAAAGTTGTTGTAATAGATGTCACTTTGCTCATCACAGTATTTCAATGATAGTGATTTCATGACAAAGCCTATAGGCGATGTCCCCCTTGATGTTATCGATTCATATTCCTATGGTGAGTGAGTTTGTGGAGAAGGGGAAATGGTATTTTCTCCCTCGATGTACATACGATGATTCATTCTAGTTTTTGCTTACGAAACGGATTTTTTAATTGATGGATGGAGGTGATTAGGTTAACACATGATGGCCATTCTTCTGTTAATTTTTTTCGTAAGATAATTGTGTTTTTAAATGACCCCTCTATGATTCTTGATACACCCAGGGCAATTGGTGATTTCCAGTTTGGTTTACATCTCTCACTGCGGATCCAGCTGTTGCTTGGAACATCTTGATATTAGCCCTCCACTACATATTTTAAGGATACCTCATGCCGTCAGTTGCCAATGATTACGATTAGGTGGATAATTATGAACCTTTCGCTCACATTTCACATTGGTGAATGTAAATGGGTCATGTGGATATGATGTTTTGATTTACATTGAAACATAAATGTTTAGCTCCTTTTAAAATTTACTTATCCTTGTATTTATTTTACATTACGTATTGTGCAAATATCCTTGCAATGTAGACAATCTCCATGATCTTATGATGCCTTTTCTCTATTGAACAGTCTTAATCTTTTACGTAGCCTTTCTCTTAGTTTCCTTTTCCGTCTATTGATTGTATCCACTTTGATTATTATTGAATTTACAAAGAGTCCTTCAAATTCTGATCTGAAAGGAATAACTGTATTTTGGAAAAGATAGTGAGTTCTTTGTGGTTGTATTTATTTTTGAACTAGTAAGGTCACAAAACATCATAAGTTAAGAAAAGAGTTGTGTTTTTTTTATTGTTAAAACAGTTGCGATTGTTAATTTTTGCAGGAAGGTCCAGATTACATTCGAGTCTTTGTCAACATTCTGCGGAACATTAATAAGGAAGACACAGTGGAATATGTTCTTGCCCTTATTGATGAAATGCTCACTGGTATCTGGAGAATTAGACAACTATTGAATTTTATGTCAGTTTTTTTCTCCATTTCTCAGCAGGATTATTGATTTTTTTGGCAGCAAACCCCAAACGAGCCAGATTATTTCATGAAAAATCTCTTGCAAGTGAAGACACTTATGAGCCTTTCTTAAGTTAAGTTTTATCTAAAATCAGCATATAATAGTTGGTGATCATTATGATATCGTCTTTCTTATTCTATTGTTGTTCTTGGGACGTAGATTTCTAAATGTGTCCCAAATTGTGGTATCATTTTATTTGACGGAATTGTTAATGGATCTTATTCATCTCCAGATTACTTTGGAGCAATAATTGGTTCATGCAAGAAAAGAGTTGTAAAATATTGTCTCTTACAGTGAGGTATTTAACAATTTTCAGTTGAATTTTCTGGTGATCTAGTATCATTTCATGTGATATCTTATGTTGAATTTTATTTTTTTTCCTTTTTTACAGTTTAAGGCCGAAAACACAGAGTAATCCGTTCTCAAATGGTGAAGCATCACATTCTGCGGACAAGTTTACTGGTATTGATGATGTTGTACTCAAACCGTTGGTTGAGTGGCTCTGTGCTCAGGTCAGCATTCTTGTAACAAAAAACTTGGATGATACTTCTGACACTATTCTATAATGTTTTGCCATATTTTCAAGAATAGAGAGTTTTGGAATGTGGTCTTTAGTGGTGCTTGGGAAAAACTCCAATCTAGGATTTACTGTGTACCCATGCAGATGCTCTTTGTGTTGAAAACGAAAAATGCTGCATAACACCTTTTCACATTTTATGTAATACATGAGCTGAAATCTTATCTGAAATTATGTGCAGTCACTGTGTTTTTCATCTTATTTTCTTAAGGTTGATTGTTCTGTAGTTTTGGCGTCATACTATGATTGACAAAGCATATTACATGCAGTTAAAGAAGCCAACACACCCGACCCGTAGCGTTCCAGCAGCTATCAATTCCTTGGCTGCTTTACTGAAGGAACCCTTTGTACGATCTCTGTTTGTTCAGATAGATGGGGTGAAACTGCTGATTCCTTTGATTACTCCAGCATCCACGCAGCAATCCATTCAGGTGATAGACCGTGCTTGGAATTATTGGTAGTACAATGGTCATTTTTGCTAGCATGCCTGTACTAGTTTTCTGTAGCATGATTCGTAGTGCCTAGCTCTTACTCTCTTTTGTAATTTTCTTTGTTCATCTACTCTTCTAATAATGGTAAGCCAAGATTTTGTGGGCACCAACGGATACCAGTGTTGATTATCTTGTATGAATTCATAAAATGCTTGCTTTTCTACCACTAATTAGTCCGAAGGTTAGGAAGAATTGTTGTAATGCTACTGACATATTAGAATTGATATTATTCTGACTTCCCCATCCAGGATACCTACTATTGTGGACTGCATACTTCCATTCTGAAATTTTGAAAACTTGTGCTGAATCATTAGTTAGGTTTGTACTAAGGAGAATTTGTTGCCCAGGCCATCATGGAATAAGTCACTGTTCTCTCAAAGAAAAGTGGTGTAAAGACTTGCGTATTCATGCTTGAAAGTATGCCAATAGCAATAGCATACACTATAGAAGTTACCTAACTGAGAAAAATGGCGAGCAGCTCTCCAAGGGAATCGACTAGTGGGATAATAAAACTCTATTATTATGAACAGTACGAATTAGTCACACGATTATGAGCAGTACGAAGATAACTATGCTTTATCTTATGGTACTTACCATTTTATGTAGGATTAGTCCCGTCACATCCTTCATGTCATTCCAAGTGAATGTTTACCTTTTGGGAGAAGTAAATCATGAACATCTATTTCGTAATGTAATCAAATTTCCAGTAAAGGTAATCATGAGCCATGTTCTTTAACATAATAGAAATTCTCAAGCGGGAAATTTTGATTTCAGAGCTTGAAACTGTGTTGTAAATGATGTACAAAAAAGGTCGTATAGAAGTTAATTAAAAAGCAATTAGTGATTAAAAGAAGTGCTAGGCAAATGGAAAAGTTACTGAATTGTCGTAGTTTTATGTTAAGAAGGCCGTTTATTGAAATAGCGCTTATACTGAACTGATGCAATAGTTTTGTCAGGAGATATATACGATAGAGTGCCCAAAGATTGAAATTGGTTGTAGGAAAGTTCTATACACCTGGTTAAAAGTACGTGTATCAGGATCATGGCTAATGTGAAGATGAGTAATGAAAGAGAAATGATTTCGAAATGTGCTTTGAGTATATTTCTAACCTGTCAGGGATAATTCCTAGATGTGAACATGAAGCTCCAAAAGGTTGTTCTTCATGGATAGACATTCTCCAAAAGGTTGTTCTTCGTGCACACATGAACACCTCAGAGAAGGTTGGTATAATTCACTATGGTCTTGTATTAATTGGCTCTCATAATCTCTCTCTCTCTCTCTCTCTCTCTCTCTCTCTCTCTCTCTCTCTCTCTCTCTCTCTCTCTCTCTCTCTCTCTATCTATCTATCTATCTATCTATCTATCTATCTATCTATCTATATATATATATAGGCATACAGACACACACATGAAATTTAGTCTAATTGTCTAATGTCGGCCTGCACGAACCAATCCTGCCAAACCAGGCTGACCAATTTAGTCCTATTTATCTGATTCTATTCTGGCAGGGCCAAAATAACCGATCAGACGGGCTTCAGGAATACTTGAAGCAATTCATTATTTCAATGCAAGCCCCATTGTGGTCTTCTTTGCCCTGTTTGTCCTTCAACCTGATGATTCTGAATTCCACAGGATCATTTGTCTCCTTTTTTTTCTCACTTTCCTTGATGAGAGGTGATCAGGAATGAAAGGAGTTTTTTTCAGAATTTTCCAGTTTTAATGATTTCAATGTATTTCCATGGTAATTTGTTTTATAATTTCTATTCCCCCCTCTTGTCAAAAGCGGAAGGTTATTCTAGTACTAAAAGGAGGTTCCATCTACTTATGTGCAAAGGTTATGAGCTTAATCGCTCATACTTCTGTAGCCATGAAGTTTGTCCTGTAAATCGCCCATTTTGAATGCCTGCCCGAGTAAACTCTGTCTTTTCTCTGCAGCTCCTTTATGAAGCTTGCCTCTGCATTTGGCTGCTATCATACTATGACGCAGCCATAGACTACCTGGCAACCACAAGAATCCTGCCACGGCTCATGGAGGTGGTCAAAGGCTCCACAAAGGAAAAGGTGGGAGGAATCTGACCGTAATCTTTCTCTCCCCATTTAAAGGTCCTAATGTGTGATGGTGAACTTAGTGCGTTGACTTTTAATGCCGGGCAGGTGGTGAGGGTTGTCATCTTGACCCTCAAAAATTTCCTGTCCAAGGGGTCGTTTGGTGCCCAGATGGTCGACCTCGGTTTGCCACAAATAGTAAACAACATGAAAGCACAGGCATGGAGTGATGAGGTGAGACTTGGCCACTTTCTTAGTATATATATAATTCGACAGTAATCTCGAGAGTTTCCTTAGCTGGAAGTTTAATGATGCCTTTTAATTCGCTCACTATGTTATGTCTTGAAAGTTATTTACCTTTTACTGTGACCGGTGTCAGTTGGACTATATAGAAAAATAAACTTGGGTTCTTGCTCGGCAGAACAATAGTCAACGGTGATAACTCAACTCTGCTGATTAACAATCAACAGCTTTGTTTTTTTTTTTTTTACAGTTGACGAATGTATTTTTCAACAGAACAGTAACTTGGGTTCTTGCTAGGCAGAACAATAGTCAACGGTGTCAGACTTCTGTTGATTAACAATCGACGGCCTTGTTTTTCTTTTTCTTCAACAGAATAATAATAACCTGGGTTCTTGTTAGGCAGAAAAATAGTCAACAGTATTAGACTTCTGTTGAAAACAATTATCGGCTTTATTTTTTTCCGCTGAAAAATATAATTATCTCTGTAGGATCTCTTGGAAGCGCTGAGTCAGCTGGAGGAGGGGCTGAGAGATAACATCAAGAAGCTGAGCTCATTTGAAAAGTACAAGCAGGAAGTGCTTCTGGGCCATCTGGACTGGTCCCCCATGCACAAAGATCCCAATTTCTGGCGCGAGAACATATCTAATTTCGAGGAGAATGACTTCCAGGTATGCATTCCACCCGGATTATATCAAAGTTGACCTCATTTATCTATCTATCTATTTCATTACTTGAAATAGTCGTATCTTGGAACTGTACTTCCCTAATTAAAAAGGGTATCTACCTATATACCCTTTTTTCTCATCGCGAAAAGAAAAACAGAAGAGAGAAAATAATATCTTGGATTTTTTTTTAAAAAAAACCGAGCTAGAATTATTTTATTTTATTTTTCATACACAACATCCTTCGCTGGTTATCTACACTTTTCCTATACCATTTTTTTATAAAAAAAATTAAAAATTAATTCTGCTTGTCAAGTACTGAAGAGGGAGAAGCTAATTGATAACCCATCGAAAAATCTAAGAAGAAAAATTTCCTGTGGTGGCAGATTGTACGGGTCCTGATCACAATCCTGGACACATCCAGCGATCCGACGGCGCTTGCCGTGGCCTGCTTCGATATATCGCAGTTCATCCAGTACCACCCGGGCGGGCGGATCGTCCTGTCTGACCTGAAGGCCAAGGAGCGGGTGATGAAGCTCATGGACCACGAGAACGCCGAGGTGATGAAGAACTCCCTCCTCTGCATCCAGAGGCTCTTCCTCGGCACCAAGTACGCGAGCTTCATGCAGTCTTAAATGCGACCCCCCACCAGCCAACCCGGTTCTCGATGAGGAAGACTTGGACGGTATGGTGGCTGCTGTGATAAATCAATCAATCAATCAATCAATACCCAAGGAGGTTGGCTCTCTCTCTCTCTCTCTCTCTCTCTCTCTCTCTCTCTCTCTCTCTTTGAGCTGGTCAGAGTTCCCGTAGAATAAAATCCATTTCTTAAATTATTCAGCAAAATAAAAACTCTTCTCCATTTATTCGCCTAAATCTGGGTTCTTCATCTTGTTCAAACAACATATAGATGATACAATCTGTTAAAGTCCTCTTTCTGGCTTGATCGCACTCAAGAAACCTATGAGATGTTGCTTGATCTGCCATTATTTGCTCAAGTCTGGGTGGTTCTTCATCTTGTTCAGACGATCTATAGAGGATACATATAACCTGTTAAAGTCCTTTTTCTTCTTGATCGCACTCAAGAAACCCCATGAGATGTTGCATGATCTGCCATTATTTTGCTTAAATCTGAGTGGTTCTTCATCTTGTTCAAACAATATATAAAGACCACATACAATCCGTTAAAGTCCTTTTTTCTTCTTGATCACACCCAAGAAACCTATGAAAATGTTGCACAATCTGCCATTTTAGTTGCTTAAATCTGGTGTTCTTCATCTTGTTCAAACGATCCATAGAGGATTCAATCTCTTCAAGTCCTCTTTCTTCTTGATCTGATTCAAGAAACTTGAGAGATGTTGCGCGATTTGCCACTATTGGCTTTGGCTTAAATCTGGTGTTCTTCGTCTTGTTCAAACAATCTATAGAGGATGCAATCTGTTAAAGCTTGTGGATGAAAGCTTGAAGGATAAGGGTTAAAGGGACAATGCCCTAAGAGGCCCCAATATTAGATTAACCCTGTAATAAAATGTGTGAGAAACATTTTAGAGATTAATTTGAGTTAATTATCCACTTTTAGTATGTTTTGAATTTATTTGAAAGCGCTACATTATTTTAGAGTGGTTTGAAGTGCCTGAAATATGTTTATAAACATTGTTAAAAACTAATCTAATCAAAGGCCTTCAAGTTATAACCCTAACCCTAAAAGTATTGAGTTATTCTCTCTCTCTCTCTCTCTTTCTCTCTCTCTAAAAACTAGTGGATCCAGATGTGCCCTTGTAGACTCAAGAGAATATCTGATCTTAATAGATTCAACGGTTGCACTAAACGGCTCTCTTAAAAATTAAAAAAATCATCAAAGTTTCCATGTTTTGTAGATTTAGAACCTAATTTCTTTATAAAAATTGTGTTTTGTGGATACAATGGCGAAATTTCCTTTAAAAAATAACTCGGGCTGCATCAATCACAGAATAAAGTTCTTTTCTCCATGAATTTCCTAAGCAATTCAACCAACCTTCCTTCTGTTCAACAACATGAATCCATTCCAAGGATCTTATAGACTTGTCAAACGTCTCCTCCATCCATGGGTTGGTCTCTCATCTCACTCATTCCATTTTCCACATCTTCTTGATTTTTATTTCTTAGAGGTGAATAAATAAAAACTACAACACCAAAATATATAAACTTGGATACATTTATGAAAAAATAAGTTCCAGAGTTTGGTGGAAAGAAATAAATATATTATCTTCCCTATTCGTTTCCATAAAGTCTGACTGCTATCTAAACGTAGATGAGATCGAATGCAAACCCTATATATTTTTTTATTTTTTTATCAAATTTTCGTTATTAAATAAAATCCTAGAGCCAAATAACTATACTTATTCTCCTCGCATTTAACCAAATGATTGTTAACATCACAAACGAATCTAACAGCTTCAGAAATAGTAAATTCAAGAATAGTTCATTAAAATGCTGAAAGAGCTAGCAAGATTTCGGTTCCACAACTAGAGCGGCCCCTGTGATGAACATAATAAGGTGGAAAAATAAACTGGCTAATCATTTGATCGCATGCATGAACATCCCATCACTAAGAAACTCGAAGAGTTTGATAAATCTAGTTTTCCACTTCACGATTTGATCAGATGATTATGACCAACATGAACAACAGCCGCAACTCCATCTCAGAATCTGAATCATTACCGCAGATTACCCCCCCAAAAAAAATAAAAAATAAATCCAATAAGTAGTTGGGAAATTGTTGAGAAAAAAAAGAAGCATAACCCAATTCAAAAAGCACGAGGAAAAAAAAAATGTCACCAGAGATTCAGAACTGCTTAAATGACAGGATCAGGGAGAGATAATTATCTAAAAGTCACTAGTCTCAATTCTATCTGACTGAGTAAGCCACGTGATGATGAACAGCCGGAAAAATGTGAAAAAAAAAAAAAACCATAGCCCAATTCAAAGGCATGTCGGAAAAAAAAAACTAAAACAAAAAAAAAACTGGTCACCAGAGATTCATAATCGCTTAAACCCCAGGAACAGGGAGGGATGATCACCCAACAATAACTAGTCTCAATTCTAACTGAGCAAGCTACCTGGTGATGAAATCAAAAGAACCCCAAAAGGTAAAGATAAATCCAATAAACAGCTGGAAAATTATGAAAAAAAGACATAGCCCAATTCAAAGGCATACCGGGGAAAAAAAAAAAAAAAAAACTCGTCACCAGAGATTCATAATCGCTTAAACCCCAGGAACAGGAAGGGATGATTACCCAACAATCACTAGTCTCAATTCTAACTGAGCAGGCCACCTGGTGATGAAATAGAAGGGAGCGTCAGATGTGAGTCCTTCAGAGTAGCCCAAGAGCGAGGAACCTGTGATCTTCTCTTCTTCAAAAACTCCATGGAGTCCTTTAAGCAGTGGGAAGGCCGCACATTCTTCAGAATCACAGGTCGTACCCTGGTGAACAGGAGACACCATGAAATTAGACCGAAAATTAGGGTTTTGCTGATCCTCAATCGGTAACTGGGGATTGAAGAAGAGGCAGCGTCGCACCCAAAATGTTTGTGCTTCTTTTTTCTTGAAACGGGTTCGTCTACGATGGTTTCTCCCTCGGTATCTGATGAGAAAAGCTGCCTGCACGGATTGCAGAATGGGGGTTGGAGATATCATCCATCAGGAAGCAGCTCGAGCACGAAACCGAACTCGAGAAAGATAAATAAATCAAAAAGAAAGAGAAACATCTGGCAGTCTTTCACAGGGGTTTCCTGCTGTTCAAATAAAATTGCGGTGCTGCCATCACAATGAGTGGGTTGATAACCAAAGGGAATCAACTAGAAAAACTACCTAAATCAAATACAAGCTTCTGTCAAAAAGATCTCGTATATATTGCTTTAAAAGGGCGGGGTTCAGAAAACCCAAGACTCAGAAAAGGTTAGGGCAGTCGTAGACTGACATGATTCCCAAGCAAAATGTAAAGGAGGAAGGACATCTTGACCTAGGGATCATAGCCACAGAATATATATCCAACCACATAACCAAAGACCCATTTCCAAATGCTAATAAACGGGCATCTATCACATGTCCAACAAGTTCATCTTTCAAAATTTGAATCATATTGGAAGCGTCTCGCGTCTGATTTTGGGCGTGCCACCACCTCTTCAGTGAAGTCGGGTCAACCAAAGTAACAGAAGAACCAACCCGGCTGTTTTCTTGAAACCAGATTAGAAGGCTAGGTAGTGCCTTGGTTCAAACATTGTTATCCAATGTTTCCACATTGAGATTTCTCGAGAAAAAGTGATCTATCATCCCTTGTAATATGAAGTGTAGCATAAATTTTGAATTTTTGTTCATAACAGCAGTCACCACAACATAGCAAACGAAGCTGGCACTCAAGATCATCACCTTCTTCATTGAACGAGAAAGTAATGGAAAAAGCATAAAAAGGGCAAATAAATAAGAAGGGGGATTCACCAGCATGGTCACCAATTTATGGCGGCTAGTGGCTTCAGCAGCAAGGGATCGGATTCCCCTACCTACCCTCTTTTCATTATTTCAACAATGTGCCTGCCGAAATTTCATACCACTCCCATTTCTCTTTCCTAGTTGGCGTTCATTGCGGAGCCATGTAGGAATCCTCTGTACCAATAGTAAGAGAACCTTCGATTTGGACTATAACGGCCATTACTGCTTGCTCTACATTCATATACACATCACGAGAACAATGAAAGAGTTTTAAGAGGAGTAGGGCCTGTATGTATCCTCACATATTCATATCTGTTGAAGTGATACTATTGAAAGTACTCTTTCCCTGTTATCTTATCCCATATCTTCTTCCTTGAACATTGCAGAGACTATGTAATTCTATTCCTTGATTGTTTTTAATTTCCAAGTCCTTCTACAGAACGCTTTATTTTTGGCAAAATGCTGTACTTGAAAATCCTAATGTCCAGCTTTTTCCTGCTAGCAATCTGATGTGGTTAAATGTCAACGCCTCTTATTGAAGAAGAGGGGTATTCCTTGAAGCTATGCTCGGATAAAAACTCGAATACAGAGATTTTCAGGCAAGCGGTTTGCTACTTGAGGCATACCTTACACGACTGTTGTGTTTTTGAGGTGTGCTAACAAATTTTCCTCTCCATTAGTAACAATGAAGAGATTAATAGTTTTTTTCTCCCTCTTCGCTAGAACTGAATGTTTAACACAACATGTTAGTCAGCTAGAAATACCATAAAAAATTAAAATACAAAACGCTCTGCCTACGAGTGACTCCAATTAACATTTTGCACAAAGACTGGAAGTGAATGTCAACTACCAAACTCAACTTTTTGATCTTTAAACTCACGTAGGAATCTCATTCATGGCTCTATTCCCCGTTTTCATTTCTTGTTCTTCCCGGGAGGTTACTGCCTAGTTCAATTCATATGCCAGATTGTATGGCCACTCATATCATCAAAGATAAAATTTGACTTAGGCATTACTTGAAAGAGGTGTCTCTTTTTACAGACGTCTGCATCAATTATGTAGGCCAGAATATTAATATGCATTATCAGACATGAGGTATATTTCAAAATACCACGGAACTCTCGAACATAAAAAGAGTTTACTCCGAGTACGGTGCAAAGGACTACAAATCTAACCCTAACATAAAAGGATGCATTAACAGACACTATGCACATCTTGAATTCAAGGGAAATATGAAACAAAACGAACTCACTTCTCACGCGTGACAAGGTGCTCAACAATGTTGCTTGGGAGCATCCCGGCTGAATCTTCCGTTTCATCAAGTCCTTCAGTTTCTTCGACATCCTGGGCACTACTTGACCGCTGTGTCTTCCTCTGTGCCCACTTCCTCCTGCGTTCTTTATTCTCTCGTGAAATCCTAAAATGAAAAAAAAAAAAAAAACCCGATTAGAGGCGCTCACCAATGCGAAGTGAACACTTTGACAGGACATTCAATATCGAATGCCAACTCAACAGAAATGCTAGCTAAAATCAAAAGGTGCAATAAACAGTATCAACTCAGCAATCTTTTAAGACAGAATCAAGCATGATGTCATACATGGTAATGAGAAAGAAAACCGATACGACTACTTTCATCACCTCTGTATCTAAGTCGCATCAATGACCTTCAATAGAAGGAAACTACAGAATTTGATCATTAGAATTTAATCGTGTATTTATGCCAATTGATCATGGCGCAAGCAGTAATTTATATCATTCAAGAACAAGGACAATGCCTATAACAAGCTAGTGGAACCCAAGCATGGACGTAGTCACAAAAGAGATGAAATTCGGCGTGGAATATAATAAGCATGTTTAAGATCTTCTATATGAACAATATAGGCCGAAACATAATGTGCAATGATAATTCCCTCTTGTCCTGGATAGTCTCAACCGAATTTTCATATATGTCCATTCAGCACTTGTATGATGCGATTATAGAACCCCTAAGGCAAAAGAAACCCATCTCACGTATACTCTATTTATATTATATGGGTTACTAACATCTACAATAATACACCAACCCATGAAAATTTTCTCTCATAAATAGGTTATGATAGCTCCTCATACTTTTCAAATAAATTTTTAATCCAATGGGGATCTGAATTTTTCATTAAAAAACATTATAAAAGAAGAAATAACTGGATAAAAAACTTTGCGAAGCTAAAAAAATGCATTTTTTTTCTGAATTTGTATTTGCCATCAATCTAGGTGGGATCTGATATTTAATGCGGATTTCTTGTGTCTTTTTTCCTTTCAGGAAGGATGTATATTCACTCTTTGAAACCAGATTGATTTCTGTTGATTCCACAACAAACAGCCAATACAAAGTGGAATACACAATTTTTCAGGACCTAGTTCCAACTGCTTTTCACGCTACAACCCTCTCATTTAATGAGGCAGCCCAATACTTCCATGGTTCTACCTTTGATTCTAAAAAGAGAAAGAAACCTTCTGAGAGGCTCAACCTGACTTGGAGAATTGAAACAAGGAGCTTGTGTGTGTGTGTGCTAGGGGAAGGATTGGAGTTCTCGCACTGAAAGTTAATTGAATGCTACAATGTCTGATCCAAGGTAACAGATCTCGATTCGAATTGGCTAATTTCCAACATCATGAACAATTTTGCAGTGTAAACTTCACGTGGAGATTTATAAGGTAACGAAGACCACACCCCACTGCCTGCTCACATTGATCGCATATATAATAACAGAGAAGTGTAATATAATTTAAAATAAAAAATAAATATGCATACATAATTCCAAAAATAACATGAGATATTTTATTTATAACACGCAACTGCACAGAATTAATTTTAAACTATTTAATCAATATTTTCTTAATTTACAACTATCTTCAACTATACTTCGACATTTATCTCATAAGTGACTGGTGGAACACCAACCCTCATCTCTGGCTAAATGTCATAATAATGCCTTTTGCATTAGTGAATCGCTGGTTTTAACAAACTGCGCTTTTGCAAGCATTGTATTTGTCCAAAGCAGCAGGGCATCCGATGAACTTGCGGCTCCTCTCTTCCACTGCCTACCAATCAGCCTTTTGAAAAGACCAACCCATAACGTTGGTTGATTCTGAGCGTGCCTTCACAATATGAAGATTTTTCATCATAATGCCACTTTCACATGTCATGCAACCACCTTCACTAATCCATTACTTTTCAATTTATTTCTAATTTCTTACTGTTCAAGGCTGATTTTTCATTAAAAGAGGAAAAAATTGAAAGAAAAATGAGAACTGAACATTCGCTCTGGATGCTCCAAAAAGGAGCTAGGAAAAAAGAATGACAACAGACAAAAGAACCTACAGAAAATAAAACCAGATGACAAATCCACCATCAACCAACAGACATAACATTGAGACACTATTTGGCCTGATGTCGAGAATTCATTCTGCGTTAATAAATAAAAAAATCCCATTATCTGGTCATCTAAAACGTCAATTTTTTATAAAATTTTTCCAGTTTCTTTATCATGGAATTATGTTTTTTCCTGCGAAGGATGTGAGTCAATCTTTCTTCAACAGGATATCAGTGAAGACAGTAATCGAGGCAAGTCCTAAGTGCTGCCTCAAAAGCAGTCCATCTTTGTTGCGTTAGTGGCCTTCGCAACCTCATCTGTAACATAAAATTTGACTCAGTTATTATTTAGGTGATTAGAAGCGACACATAGTCAGCAGGTTGATTAAGCTTCCTCTGATACTCTGTTAGATATCAAGGAGACTGCAGTAAGAGATAAATATATATCCACTTTGATACGGTGTTCTGACCATCCCATGTCTTAGGTTCAATCTGCAAGTAAGGCAAGTACGGATTTTACCTAACTGTGACTCCTTTTCAACTAACGAATGATCCCATGTTACTTCCTTTTCAACGAACGAGCGGACGGAAATACTCGGCACATTTCACTGGAGTTTAGAGCGAATTTCGCAGCTTACAAGTAAGCTGCTTCTCTCTGCACCGACATCCCCAGCTAAATAATGGGATGTATTATCCCCGACATAATGTGGGGTAAGTCCAGTGAAACTGCGATAGAAAATGACCAAATTTCTTATAGTCGAAATCATACAGACCCTCTATGAAACGCGTCGACCAAAAGCCAAGGTGTTCAACATCAATCAGAACAGTAATGCCATATTACGCAACCACAGATCAGATACAATAATGGAAATAAATCCTCCTTCACTGTATTCCTCATAATATCTAGAACACCATTTTCAGAAGCTAAAGATATAAAAGTAGATACTAGACAGAAATATAGATGAGCATACACCAGAAATTAGAAAAATACCTTGTTTTACTTTCTATCTGTAGTTTCCTAATTTCATGATCCTGTTTGATGGCCTGTGAATCACAAATAAATAAAACAAAAAACCATCAAACCCCCATGGCTAGCCTCCCCGACACATTTACAGAACGGACAACAAATACATAAAAAATGCGACTCGAGTACAAAGAACACCCCAGAGAATGAATCACACTCTACTTCTATTACTTGGGGGGAAAAAATGACGACTAGCATCAGTTCCTCCTTACATGAGATGCAGCGCAAAGATTGTCAATAACGAGGAAGAGGAAGGTGAGACAACGGACGGACCTGCTCGGCCGTGAGCTCATCGGGAGCCTCCGAGTCAGAATCGGCATCCATCTTTCTTGGCATCTCTCTCTCTCTCTCGCTCTCTACAACTGAGAGGAGCCCGGCGCCGGCAGAAAACCCCCCGCCCTCCGTCACGCCGTCGCCCGGTACAAAGAGCCACCATCCGTTATGCTCACTCGCGGGTGATTTGTAACCTAAGGTGAACGCCCAATCCGGCCACGTTCAACGTCTCTCAGATCCAATCCAGAACAGTTAGCAAACCAAAATAAATAGTGCCTCGGGAACAACACAACCATAATACAAGGCCTCACACCATTGTCCAAAGCAGGAAATCCTCTGAACCATCCTTGTTTAGCAATAATGGTTGGCCAACTCATTAAATATACCATGATTATTACCAAAACGGGTAATAATCACCATGATCCTAAAAAAATTGTCTATATGTTACCATATTAAGTATCATACATATTGGGTACATTATGTTCATATCATGCCAAATATTAATTTCCATTATTGGTGTCTCATATGAAGTTTGCCCATGGCTTTGAGCATATATCACCCATTTTTAGGGCATATATCTATTTATGTATGTTACGCATGGGTTCCCTCCATTATTTATGAATGTGACTGAAAAGCTTAGTCTACATGTTACCATATTAAGTAATATCATAGATATTGGGTACATTATGTTCATGTCGTGCCAGACATTAACTATCCTTATTGGCATCTCATATGAATTTTGGCCATGGTTTTGAGCATATATCACTTATTATTAGGGCATATATTTATTTGTGTACGGCAAGCATGGGTTCTTGCCATTATTTATGACTATGACTAAAAAAATTGTCATGATCCTAAAAAAATTAGTCTACATGTTACCATATTAAGTATCATACATATTAGGTACATTATGATCATGTCGTACATGGTATTAACTATCATTATTGGCATCTCATATGAAGTTTGTCCATAGTTTTGTGCATATATGACCCATTTTAAGGGCATATATTTATGTATGTGTATTAACCATGGGTTCCCTCCAATATTTATGAATGTGACTAAAACAATTACCATGATCCTAGAAAAATTAGTCAACATGTTACCATATTAAGTATCATACATATTGGGTAGATTATGTTCATGTGGAGCCAGATATTAGCTACCATTATGTTACATATCAAGTACATATTAACTACCATTGTTGAGATCTCATATGAAGTATGCCCATGGTTTTGTGTGTATATGACTCGTTTTTAGAGCATATATTTATTTATGTATGTTTAGTGTGGGTTCCCACCATTATTTATGAATGTGACTAAAAAAATTACCATGATCCTAAAAAAATTAGTCTACACATTACCATATTAAGTATCATACATATTAGGTACATTTTGCTCACGTGATGCTATATGTTAATTATCATTACATGCATCTCATATGAATTTTGACCATTTTTTTGAGCATATATCACACATTTTTAGGGCATATATTTATTTGTGTATGCTAAGTAGGGGATTATTTATGACTGCGACTAAAAAAATTACCATGATCCTCAAAAAATTAGTCTCTATGTTACCATATTAAGTATCATACATATTAGGTACATTATGTTCATGTTGTACCAGATATTAATTGCCATTACTAGCATGGCATATGAAGTTTGCCCATGGCTTTGAGCATATATCACCCATTTTTAGGGCATATATCTATTTATGTATGTTAAGCATGGGTTCCCCTCCATTATTTATGAATGTGACTGAGAAGCTTACTCTACATGTTACCATATTAAGTAATATCATAGATATTGGGTACATTATATTGATGTCATGCTAGATACTAACTACCTTTATGTTAGATATTAGGTACATATTAACTATCATTACTGGCATCTCATATGAAGTTTGGGCATGGTTTTACACATATATAGAACCCATCTTAAGCATGGGTTTCCCAACATTATTTATCAATATATTTTCATGATATTATTACATAAGATTACGTAATTTATACCATGCACCTAAATAGGAATCCTGTAATCAGAAACTAATTAAATCTATAAATTACTTGAATTTATAAAGAAGCGGAGAATTAAATAAATGGAATTAATCGGGTACCCAAGAAGAAAAATAGAACCCGATTTATAAAATCCTACACCACCGGGATTGAACCCGATTTATTTATATAGAAAATAATTTAATTTTCTGGTACCCTATCCGTCATCCACCCCAATCCTGGTCCTCACAAAGGAAAAGAAAACAAAAAGGGGGGGAAGAATGAAGAATCAGTGCTTTCACCTAAAGCCAGACTCTTAAGTATGGCGTTGACCTCTATACTCAGTCTGAAGAAGAAACGACCCCCAGTTCTTGGAGCGGAAGGTCAGCGCATCACTACTGGGCCCCGCGGTTTCCATTCCCGTCGAGCAAATTCGTCACCTGGCGGTTGATTTGGGGCCCATAGAGATGCCCCATCTTGGCCCTCTTGGTCTCCATGTACCTCTGGTTCTCCATGGTGATGGGAGTAAGAAGAGGGACTCTCCCCACGACGCTAAGGCCGTAGCCCTTAAGCCCCACGTACTTCAACGGGTTGTTCGTCATCAGCTTCATCGTCCTGACGCCGATATCGCGAAGAATCTGCAGAACAATATGGTAGCTCAATTCAGCAGTAAAACTCACGGAGGATGAAGAAGATGACTGATAGAACGAGGATTAGGGTTTCTGCCAGGGGGAAGATGGGACCTGCGCGCCGATGCCATATTCACGGGAGTCAACGGGTAAGCCGAGCTCCTCATTGGCTTCCACAGTGTCCCTTCCGTCGTCCTGCAGATTGTAAGCCCGAAGCTTGTGCCCGAGACCGATGCCCCTCCCTTCATGGCCGCGGAGATACACCAGCACGCCCCTTCCGGTCTTCTCGATAAGCTCCATGGCCAGAGCCAGCTGGTTCCCGCAGTCACACCTGGCCGAGCCAAAAATGTCCCCTGTGAGGCACTCGGAGTGCACCCTCACAAGAATATCTTGCCCATCTCCAATCTCTCCCTGCGTTCAAAGCCCACCTGGGTTTATCAAACAATGCTTACGAAGGTCGGAAATGCTTTGTGATTTTGAATAAAAATGCTTACTTTCACCATGGCAATGTGTTCCATCCCATCCAGCAGGGATCTGTAGCAGTATGCTTGGAAATTGCCCCACTCTAGTGGTAAGCGTGCCACAGAGGCTCTCTCTACCAATTTATCCCTCTTCCTTCGGTATCTGTCATGTGGGTACACAACAGGGAAAGCACTTTAGATCCTCGGCACAAAGGAGATGAACTGGTCAGAAACGATGAGAGAAAAGGTACTGAATCTTCAACACAAGGAATGAAACTCGGGTACGAGAAAGAAACGAGTTTTATGAGGTGGGAAGCTGTTTGAGAAGATTTGGATTGATCGTAGACAGCCTTAGATCTCTTCCAGTGGTTGAGAGGACCTAAAAAATTCATGTGCCGGCAATGAAAGCAGAAACTCTAGTGATCAAAAGAAACATCAGATATCTAAAAGAGTGAAGTAATCCATGTGGGCCCACCAATGGCTTCTTTAAATCCCAGATTTGTTTTGCTCTCTTCAATGAACAAGGAAAGGAAATTTCCTTAATTCCTTAATTTTCTCGTCTTTAATGTTCTCTCGGAGAAAATGAATTCAAAGTGCCTCCTCCACCAAAAACACCATGAGAAACCTTGATTGACATCCTTGATAGAACATCAACCAAGAATACCACAACATAACCCTCTATTGAATTCAACAACATTAAGTGACTGTACAGTAATTATTCATCAACAACAAAGAGAGTCCTCGCTTTTGATCAGTCTAGAACCCTAGCATTCCACCATGTAATCACGATTCAAGGGTTACTTTTTTTTCTTACAATAATCCACCGAACATAAATCATTTGAGAACTTTATGCTTACTCAACTGAGAAAACAGCCGTTCAAAAGCAAGAGCTTCTACCTAGAAATGAATTCAGCTTAACATCTGAGTAGCCAAGCGCTTGGCCGTTGGATAAAAAGGGAAAATAAAACACTATAATTCTTGCAGTGCTCCCATGTTAAGAGACCAAAAGTGGCATCAATCGTGCATCAAAGCACGTTGAGCACAAAAATATTCATAATATCAATCACTGCTAGTCCAAAATCTCAAAATTTTCCCCACTGCCAGTTACAATTTTTGGTCAAATATCCATCAGAGCTCAGCACAATCGGAGCAATCAATCTGATCTCACGTCGAATCAGCCAATTCGTGTCAACATCCCCTCTCCAACTTTTCCTTTTCCTATCTATGCATTATAGTTAGCAAGGTAAATTGTTTCTAAAACATTTTATTGCTCCTTTCTAGCATCAGTTGGAAAATATATAACGGAGGGATGATTCCCATGATTCAGGAGGTACTTGTGCAACGTTAAATTTGAGATGATAAGCGAATGACCCAAGGAAGGGGCAAGAGCTATGATGACAGACGAAGGAACACCAAGGAGGGGGCAAAAAAGAAAGGGGAAGGGAAACAGAGAGAGAGAGAGAGAGAGAGAGAGAGAGAGAGAGAGAGAGAGAGAGAGAGAGAGAGAGAGAGAGAGAGAGAGAGAGAGAGAGAGAGAGAGAACTGTGAAAGAAGAAACCTATTGAGCATATAGGTTATCTTCCCATTCTTTATCCTATGGGTGCAGCCTTCTGGAATCCCTCCTCTTTTTAACCATCATATTCTGTTTCTGAGACTCATTAGAAATATCCCTCCATCAACCCCCCTCCTATTTTTTCTTCATTCCTTTCTTCCCTTTGTCCTCGTCTTTTTTTAAATATGATATGTATTGCATGTCATTTCCACTGTCATTTGCAGCTTTCTGATTGAGGCGCTAAAAAGATCATGGTTATACCCAGAGATAGAAGACCATGCCCATCAGACCAAGAGAACAACCTCCTAAAAATGCTGCCTCGTCCCTTCATAAGAGGGGAAGAGGTCTGCCATATGGATAGATAAAATTTCGAAATCATATTAATCCGATTTAAGATAATCCCCTAGTTCACTACATAGGTATCCAAATGCTGCCTATGTGAGGAGCAGTTCATCAAGAACTTCATGCAATGACTCTTTACAAAAGACTCTGCATTCATTCATACCCAATCGTAAACAAAAAATGCATAAAATCAGGCCGAGGTCGAGTGAGCAGAGCCTTCCTATCATCCTAGACAACAGCTCTAGTGACCAACAACCAGACCCTGTTATTCAGCAATCATTTCAATGCAGATAGGTCATAGCAGCACATTCAAGTGATTGAAAATACGTTTAATCAATGAATACTTGGTTGATGCATTCATTTCTCAAGATGATACCTGATTAAGTCGGCAATTGAAATAATTTTCAAATTCTCTTGCTTCGCAAACTCACGGAGTTTAGGTAGTCGTGCCATTGAACCATCATCATTATCCACAATCTCACATAGCACAGCCACAGGAGGTAAACCAGCCAGAATAGCAAGATCAACAGACGCTTCTGTATGCCCAGATCGTTTCAAGACACCTCCTTCCCGATACTTCAGGGGGAAGATATGACCAGGGCGGTTAAAATCTTCAGCTTTTGAATTAGGTGATGCAAGAGCCAAAATTGTCTTTGTCCTGTCTCTAGCAGAAACTCCTGTGGTTGTACCTTCCTTTACATCCTGTCGAAGTAGATCATCAGAAAAGACACTAACATTCAGTAAAATAACGATAAAAAGGAAAACAAATAAAAAGCACTTGGACATCGTTCTATTAGAGATACTGATAAATACAATGCTAACACTAAAAATTTCCATTCAACATGAGCTATACTGTCATAAAGACAGAACTAGTTCTGTTCTGAACAGAATAAATATCTGAAAAGGTTGAAAAAATAAAGAGGCCATTGAAACTGCAGATAGCCTTCACAAGAAGCTGCAGAAATGTCAGCCATGCTTAATAATGTAAGTGCACATATTTCTCGAAGAACGAATCCCCATATAACAAGCTGGGAGCAAGCATTTGGATGGTGCATATTCTTCCAATAAAAAATAAAATAATCATAAAAATATTAAGATGTATATTTGACAAATCAATCGGAGACTCATTTTTCTCCAGATAGTCTTTTACAATAAACTTGGCATAAACTCAACAAGCGTGAAAGTTTTCGGATGTATCATACATCCAAAGAAAGTGTCACCAGAGAAGTGGTAAATCATAATTGATATCCTTGCAATGTCTCTAAAGGCCACACGGAAATGCAATCTGCTGGTAGATTTCGTTCAATGTTCAATAAAGGTTACGTGAAAAATGATATGCTCGATTATTTTTTTATGATAAGAATAAAAATGGGCAGAACTTCTGAACAATCAATCCTGGCTAGCAAGCTACACAAAAATCAGTACTTGTGAGGTAACCTTATCCATTCCGCCGATTCTAAGCGATGTTATTGGTTCACAATGATATTTCTCATGATAACCGCGTGGTCTAGGTAACATACCACTGACACTGTGAACGCTGTGCTAAGCTTTTCTTCATTTTCTTTCGTCGAAACCATCAAAGGAAGCTCTAACCTCTCCAAGTCCTCATCCTTCATGCCCACACAAACAATTCCAGTACCATGTCTCACAATAAACGCCATTGCATCCGGTGTCACCAGAGATGCTGCCATTATAAGATCCCCTTCATTTTCCCTGTCTTCATCATCCACAACAATTACATACTGCAAAACATTACACAGAGTTCAGATGGAAGATGATGAAAAAAAAGAAAACGGCAGAGAAGCGCCAAAACCTCCCATAAAAGGACAAATCATTTACTGACCTTGCCCCGGCGGATGTCTTCTACCGCCTCTGGAATAGAGGAGAACCCCTCGGAAGGAAGATCCAGGTCAGCTTCGTCATCGTCTTCCATGAAGAAGCCATCTGCCACAGGAGTCATGTCGGCAGCCATCGTCCCGAGTGCCACTGCATCAGCTTGAAGCTGGGGAACAGCGTCATCAGCGGGAAAACTCTCTGGTCCACAGATAGGTGCGCCTTGCCCGACCATCAAGGCCTTCGTCCGCACAACCCCACATGATGATGGCCTCCACTTCTCAGGTACCAACCTGATAAACCTCCCTGTTGCATATCCTGTAGGAGTAACGGCCTGCCACCCTCTGAATTCCCTAAAGAGCCTACAGCGTCGCCTGAAGCGAGACACAGAAATTTGGAAACGTCAGAGATTCGTAAAAGCAATGGATCTAACTCTCCAACACAAACGAAAGGTGAGGAAATGAGGAGATCCAGGACAGACGCAGAATAAGGCAAAAGCACCAAACCCAAGGAAACAAAGGAGACATACCCCAAAACGTACCGAAAAGAGATTACAGGAACCACAACACCGGGACAAGCAAAAGAAGAATTGCAAAGATCCAACCAGATGAAGAAAAAAAAAGTAGCTCCCGACGAGACACAGCGAGAGGCAGGAGATACAGAGATGATAGATAGATTAGAGGGAGAGAGCCAGAGAGAGAGAGAGAGAGAGAGTCACCGGGATATGGACAGATCGGAGGCGGCCGCACAAGAGATTCCACCGATGAAAGACGTAGATGCCATGCCGTTCCCCTTCCCTATCTTCCCACACCTTCCTCTTCTGCCCCCCTATATACTCCGACGATGACCCTCCTCTGAGACTCCTGTCCTCTCCCCCCAACGACTCTCTCTCTCTTTCTCTATCTCTATCTCTCTGTCTCTCTCTCTCTCTCTCTCATCAGAGTCATCAAACCCATCCCAGGTCGGATAAAAAGGGAGAGGTTGACTGATTTTCCACAGCTCCGGGCACGGTTTCCGTACGCTAACTCAATTGCAGACTCAAAATTCCTTTTCTCCATTGACGAGTCGTACCTGCCGGGAGCAGTACGCAAGCCCATATTTCTTTCCTCTCCTCGTCGTATGCATTCGTGCACATCAAGTGTATACTGTATCGTATAAAAGCGGGTGTAGAAAGTGGACCGGAGACTTTTTCGTCCAGGTGGCGATTCGTCTTACGTGGCATAACATGAGGCGGCGGCTGAAGGATAGCCCTCTGTGGGACCCACAACGCATCGCATCAATTTCCACCGAGCCACGTCAGACAAAAAAAACTACATTTAATTATTATTCACGAATATTTCTGAACTTTTAGGAAAGGGACCGTAATTTGAGAAGGCCCACTGAATGATACTATGACTATAAATAATATTTTTGTATTATATGAGGATCAAATATATTCCTATTTAATAAGAACATTTAGATATAAATTCAGATTATAGCGAATATAATATATTTTTCTCTGAGGTAAGTTCTCCTTCATCATCTATATCAATACATTAGTGCTTACTATATCAAGCATCAGCTGCCACCAGGTTCTTCAAGGCCCTAGTGGTATGAATTTCTTGATCTTGTATCTATTTTTCCTAAAATACCAAGCATAACTTGGTATATTGATTTGACATGATTTTAATCATTTGTTTTATTTGAACAATGACAATTTAACCTTATGGCATTCTCATTAAATGTTAAATTATTTCTTATAAATATTCAAATATGCATTCATTATGTTATGGGTTAACACCCTTGAGTCTCTTAATCTTACAAGTATTTTTCTTAAAATAGAAAGCATAACTTGGTTTTAATCATTTTTTTATTAGAGCAATGATAGTTTAACCTTATATAGTATTTTTATCTTATTTAGTAGTAAAACATTCATTCAATAGGAGCAAACAAGAAGGTTCCCAAATATGATTCTTGGTTCATCAAGTTATCTATCTCTCACCTCAATCCTTTAATAGGATATAAATGGGGAGCAACTTAAATGTGGGACCCCTAATCCCAAATTACAAGCAAAATTGGGACAAAAGTGCTTAAAAAATAGACAAAAAATAGAATTATATTGGGGTCTATAGTCACAAGCCTCATGGGCTTTGATGGATCTAGTTCATAGTCTAATTGACTATGATGAACTATAATTGACTCTAATGTGTGGTGCACCAATAAAGAGTAAGGTTCTCGACATGATATTGTGATTAATACACTATGTAATTACACAATATAAACTTCAAATTTAGTATTCACACTAATGTTTTGGATTATTGGATAAAATATGCTTGATGTATTGAAATAGTGCAGTATATCATGAAAAAGGGTAATATAGAAAAAAAAAAATGCATCAAAATAAATTTTATAATGGTGAAGCATATCAAGCTTCATATTTTAAAATATGAGTAAGTTTGTTGTAAAATAGTGTAATATATCAACTTTCATTTTTTAATTTATGAGAAGCTACATTTAGTAAGTAAATGAAGATACATTGTGGAATAATATACCACATCAAACCTTATGTTTGGGTATACATTGTGATTATCCCATTATTATTATTATTATCTCCATTATGCATAATATACATAAATAATATACATAAATAATATACATAATATTATATCTATATATAATTATATATAGTATATAATAGTCTATATAATGATTATATTATAATAATAATAGTTAAACTATTTAATTATTTACTATTTTATTTTGATTAGTATTATAAATATTATTTTATTTCTATATCTTATTATTATTATTATTTTCATTTTTTATTACTAAATAGTTTACTATATCAGGCCTCATATTATATGATATGAAAGTTGTCATCTTTCATTTGAATAAATGAGAAATCATAAATTTTAAAATAAAATTTAACATTAGTGTTAATACTAATACTAATACTAATACTAACACACATTCTCATCAATGTGTGTTAAATTTTATTTTTTTTAATGAGGTATTTGTCTATACTAGCATCAGAACTTTCGTCATGTCTCAATGAAGTACCAAGTTTAGGAATATTATGCTGATGTGTTAATATATGAAGTTGTATGCCTATATGTATGGTATTTTACACTAAATATACAAGTCTTGAGCCGTAGAGTGACACATTACTAATGTAGTTTATTGATCTCATATATTAGTAAATGACACACATAAAGTTTATTGAACCATTTTTTTGTCAATATTGAGTCATAATGGCCTAAGCATATATGTAGCAATAAACAAAGTTAACCTAAAATTATATGCACATATGTGTGTGACTTCATAATCATGCAAGAAATATCTTTTAGAGAGAGAGAGAGAGGAGAAATAATGGTCAATCTATGTGTATAGATACATAGATAGATATTGTAGATTTATTGGCCATATTGATGGCCCATATATTGAGATTATGATCTTGGTGATGATAATGTCAAAGAAGTGCAATCATGGTAAGGTCTTACTTTTGGGTATAGAGAGAGAGAGAGAGTAAGCATATCTTCTTGCCACATGTCCACCTTTAGACATCTAGATACGGTCTATTTGGTTAACCAAGACCGTCAAGGACGATGGGTGATGCCATCCCACATATTGACTAATTGGTAGCCGAGGTATCTGATTTTATACGTGGCGGCATACTGTTGGACGAAGAGCTGATGCGATGCCGGTCCCACCAAAAGCAACTCCACCAACCGCGCTGCCCCATTATTCCTTTAGAGGGCGCGAACGGGAAGCACGCTCCCCCATGACACAACATGTCCACTATGTTCCGCTCTCTCTCTCTCCCCCTCTCTCTCTTTGTCTCTCTTCTCTCTCTGTCTCGCTCTCTCAAAATCTCCGAGGACTTTTCAAATCTGCTCTTTCTCTCTCTAGCTCTTCAGACCACTGTGCATCTTTCTATATCTGTGGCCTTCAGTTCTCGCATCTCAGCTGTCGGCGCGCAACTGATATTGTCGGTCTTCTGCGCGTCCTGCATTTTTCGCTGGTAATTCTGGTGAAAGCAGAGGTGCTCCCTCGGGGACGAATTCCTTTTTTTCCCTTTATTGCCTGTCGATACTGTGGTACGGTTCCGGGAAAGATCTGTCTTCAGAAACGGGCTCTCGCGCCATTTTTGGGCTTGCAGAACCGATCGGATCGGGCAATGGCGGCAGTGCCGAAGTACACGCTGCTGCCGCTGTCGGACTCTCAGTTGAAGGGTGGGGGAGACGACAGCCTCTTCAAGGGATCTGGCATGACCAAGCGCGGGGCGATCGCCGCTCTCTCCTACATGGCTTGCGCAGGTGGGGAAATCTTCGCCCCCAGCTTCCTCTGTGTGTAGCTTCATGTGGAGGAAGACATGGGTTTTAATATAATGAGGGATAATTCATGCTTTTGATACCCCTCGACATCTTGTTATCAATGACATTGAGAACGTTTGAGTAGAAATAGATGAACTAGGAAACTCACTGAAGGAACCCTAGCGTAAAGACATTAATCAAGAAAATCTCAAGAATGGCTCTACTGTTGTATATCTTGTTGTAAGGGAATCAAATAGTTGAACTTCTTCCTCCGGGATTTCGGGTTTATCACACCAAGATTCCGGAACAAAGTCGACATTGGCAGTTGATTACGTTTTCCGTTGCCATTGTTTTTATCCTTCTTCAATTTCATGAATGGTTTGATCTCACACGTTGCTAAAACGTCAAATAGCTTGCCCAATGCAAAGTTGGGTAAAGTTCTGTTTCTGATTTAACGCTCAGAAAATCGGGACGAGCATGTCATCTTTCTATACTAGAAGTGAACGATTAAAGGTCAGAACAAAATGCTTCGGGGATATTTTTCTTTGAATTTATTCTAAGGTTTGTGTAGCAAAGCCTTTTACCAGTGGGGATTTGTGTTTCAGAATACTGTAGACAGGCGCTTTTGTTCATAAAATTAGTGGTACAAAATCTCGCCTTGCTTTAATCAATGTTGAACTAATTAAAGACATTAGTGACTTCATCAAAATTTTTGTTGTTTATTAGTTTCCTTCTACTTGTAACGATTCCATAAAGCGGGTTCCTGACATCTTCATTGTATTGTTAAAAGTAGATAATGGCCTTCAAGTTGAAAGATGCATGGAAATCAAGACCAGAACATGAAAAAAATCTTGGATGGATCCAAATGGCCAGTCCAGGACATGCTAAATTGTACTAATTAGAGTAATATAAATTATGCTAACCGTCATCTAACTTGTAATGAATAGTGAAATAGATTATACTAACCCTGGTCTTGTCATGCCATGGCTCTAACTTCAGATCATGACTGACATAAAATCCAGGTCTACACTCTCCTGGAACTTCTTTGCCCTTTCTCTATTCTATGTCTTCACTCTAAATTTCGAGACCTATATCGGAAAATTAACTCCTGTTTAGGAAAAAATATACAAATCTGTGCTATTACATTATTATTCTCAAACAAACAGCCACAGGTTTGGCCTGATAGTACGGAATAATTATAGAATCTGGAAAGTCAAGCTTTGTAAATGATTGAATCTTCATCTGTAACGAGTACAATTCACCCTGACGCCTTAGTTAATGCTTCAAACACACAAGACACCTCAGCTTTCAGCATTGGTTCACCTGGCATCTTTCAATTTGCTTTATCTGTTTCTCACCTCATCTGAGAGTTTTTTCCATCATTAGCACACGATCAGCATTGTAGTTTCCAATAATCATCCTGGATCTCAGCTAGATTAGGGTATAATCATGAACTACCGATGGCTGAGTTTGGAGTTGACTTATCGATCTAGGATCCGTGTGTTCAGATTTACTCTTAGAACACTTACTTAGAACTGTCCAATAGCTGAATAGATTAATTGGCCAGTTTTCTTTTATGGTTCCACCCCTGTTCCACCTTAATTTCAGATTTGGTAAAATGCATTATTTTTTGGGATTTGATGGATCATTTATATAGAACATATTGAAACTAATATTCCTTGGTAGTGTATTTTAAGGTTTCAATATATGAAATACTATATATTTCTATCGTAATGTATAATATTCAAACCTTGGCCTTGATTAACATATCCATTGATTTGAATCTGGGTCAAACTTCCTGAGTTTATTCAATATATCCATTGATTTTTTGATTTCGACTTTGCCAAGTTATTCAATTTATGATGTACATTGTTCCTCCAATGCCAAATTTCAAGAAATCAGAAAGACATTCATAAAGGAGTATGTAAAGAGGTCTGAAACTGAAAAGTGTTTTATCGATTGAAGTATGCATATGCACATATTCTGAGAAGTCTGGAGTTAATTCCCTTCTTATCCTGTGTCCTTCATTAGCACTGGTTTTAAGCATGTGATTCTCAATAATAAAGGGAGCATGTGAATTGATTAGCATGAGTATTTTTATTGTATGTTGCTTATAAATAGAAACATAGGTCAACTGAAAAAATCTTCAGGCTTATGATTGACAAGGGAAAACCAGAGAAATGTTTCACTGTAGGCTTTGATTTTCTTTCAGTGTCTCTCTCTTCTCAGCATTGAACGGACTATACTGCTCTGGAAGTTACATATTTAAGTCTGCATGTTTTTCTATCCGTCCCCTTAGAAAACGCCTTATGTTTGTGTTTCTTCCTATGCTCCATTTTGTTTTTCACTGACCTGCGTTTTCGCCTGTGTTTTGTAGTTTTACTGGTGATGTTCAACAAAGCAGCTCTTTCTTCATATAGTTTCCCTTGTGCTAATGTCATTACTCTCTTTCAGGTGAACTTTCTCTCCACTTTGGTTACTTCTTGCAGTTCCTGATATGCCATTGGATTTCTACCTTTGTAAACCTTCTGTACTGTTCTGTGCTTACTATATCGATAATCTATTTAAGAACTTTGGTTTCTGGAAATGCAAATTGCATGTACGTATTATAAACCCACAATTCTTGGATCCCCTTTATGACTTGATTGTTTACAACCATATATGATATTCTTTTTAATATCAATGATTTAGAATATACCCGAAGGCCAAAGAAAATTGATTTCTTTTTGTTGTAATTTGTTTATTTCCCTGATTCGTCTTAGTTTAACTGTTCGTCAGAAGTTGCATCATGGATGGAGTAATTGTCGTCTAGTCAACAATTTTTAAGCTTTATAAACTTTTGAGTCTTTCTAAGACTAATGTGAAGAATTCGTACCTAGAAAATTCAGATACAGCTCCTGCCCATGATGTTATATATTTCTACCTTTAAAACTATATGCCTAATAACTTTAATGGACTGGTCACCTTGCTAGACGAGTGGAATTTAGTTGCCCAATAAATCCTTTCCAAACAGATATGCTCCTTGAATACAAATTGTAGGAATTATTTTCTAGTTTCCAGATTTGCTTTTTTTGTATATTTTAGTTATTTTTTTTAAAATTGTGGGCAGAGATCTAAAATTATACGCCAATTTTTCAATGAATAAGGCCCATTTACTTCTGTTGAATAATGTAATCTCCCATTAAATAATGTAGGGCAATTCTTCAACTCCTGACATTGGCTGTTGTAGTCCTTGACACTGGAAAGCGGATTTATCAATAAGTCGGTGTGCGGGAAATTCCTATTTTAATTAATGGCTCCTGCTCCGTGGATCTCTTGATCTTTTCCCATGCACGCTTTTCTTACCTGATATTTTCAGGTTCTTTTTTTCTTCTTCTGGTTGTCTATAACCGCAATCTACTGAGATCTTTTCAGTAAGGAGTGTGTGATGTTAAAATGATCAGATTCTGAGAGGGATACCTATTTTCTGGGGAACTTTGTAGATGACATGTCCTGCATAATCTGCCATCTAGTAATTGATCATTTCTGAAGACAGTTACCGCTGGATGAACCATTATGTACTTATATTTTGTTTCTCACTTAATCGTCTTGTGTGGGTTGCAGATGGTGTGCTCCTCCTCAATTTTGTACGCAATGAGACGCTGGGGAATCATCACCTTCACTATTGGTGAACCTTGGATGGTGCCTGACAAATCGTCACCAAGTCTTGTACCATTAACGACATTACTACAAACACTTCCGCTTTCATTAACATATCTACTTTACATGGTATGATGTTTTGACGCTTTTTATTTATAAATATAAATATCAACATACTTACTGATCAATGTTTAATTTTTTGTGTCGAAGGTTGCTTCCATGGAATCTGTTCGTGGAGTCAACGTTCCCATGTACACCACCCTTAGGCGGACAACTGTTGTATTTACGATAACAGTGGAATATCTTCTGACTGGTCAGAAATATCCACCCTCAGTTTTTAGCAGGTAAATAGATTTCTTATTTGTCATTGTTATAAAATTGGTGCTCTGAGGATTACGGAAAAGGTAGCTGATATGTAATGGTAGGCTCCTTTCGAGATGAATTTCAATGAATTTTTTTAAGTAATCAATAGTTTCATGTCCTCTTTATGGCAGTTTTATGGTCCTCATATCCATATTCATGGATGGTTTCCGTGCCATACTCGTATCATTTGTTCTCTAAAGTACTAATGGCGTTCCATTTGCCCCTCCCTCTACCTTTCTCATCAGAAATTTAAGGTGATCACTTAGATTGCAACCCACACGTAGTTACTGAATGATGATTTCAATGTCTAGGTTATGGAAAGAAAAGCTTTCATAATTTTTTTCTGAACGGATTATTACATAGCTCGTATCATCCATTTCAGACAGATGGAATAAATGAGTTTAATAAACCTAACTGGAACCTGACAGAGAGAGTGACAGTGAGTGATACTGTAGAGTAGCTGGTTGCCATTGGTTGAAAGTAATGCGTTTGCATGCACGCCCAAAAGAAAATACTGATTGTCATTGCTTATTTTTTTCTTGATTATTATTTGATTTGACTTGAAGAGTATAAAAAATTGTTTCGTTAGCCAGTTTAATACTCTTTCTTTCTATGATTTGCTTTTGAAAATCAAGTGGACGTCTTACCTATATTCTGTTTAGATTTGGTACTAATTATGATGGTAAAGTTTTGCTCGATATTTATTATGGCATGCATCTGCCTTTCTTTTTCATTAGGAAGCATTTTACGTTTCTGATCTCTCTCCCTGGTTAAAAACCAAGGGCATTATCAGTGTGTTTCTGATTGTTTTTGGAGCATTTCTTGCTGGGGCCCGGGATATGTCATATGACTCCTATGGCTATGCCATTGTCTTGGTATCCAACATCTCAACTGCTATATATCTTGCTACAATTGCTCGCCTCGGTAATCTTACATTCCTTATATATATATTATTAGTATTTTCATCTTTTGTATTCTGGAACATAATAAATCTATACTGTGACAGCAGTTCACTCATTACCTATTTTCTTGTTGTTTCCCTTCCAGGGAAATCCAGTGGTCTCAACAGCTTTGGTCTCATGTGGTGTAACGGTAATAAGGCTAAGGATGATTTGACAGCTCTGTCCCTCTAATGATTCAATATTATTGATTCAAATTCAATATATGATTTTAGTATTATTTTGAAAACAAGCTGATTTCTTCTTGCAGGTTTAGTATGTGGACCAGTTTTGCTGGTATGGACTTACTTTCGAGGTGACTTGGAGATAACAATGAATTTTCCTGACCTGTATTCCCCAGGCTTTCAGGTAAGTCCGGTTCTGAAATGAACGATATTTCACCATGTATCCGCACTGGATATTTTAATTATGAAATTTATGCTGATAAATCGTCAAGATCTGATACTTAACTAAAAGATAAAATTAACAATGCTTAATTTATGCTTCTTTGTTGTTGGGTTCTTCACATGGCATGGAATCTTGGCCTTACTTTCCAATAAAGAACGGGTACTAATTTATAAGTTCAGCATATTCTACCTGCTTCTATTCTTTAATTGAGTAGTGCAATGTGCAGGCATTTTGCATTACCAAATCTTGTAAAGAAAAAAGAAAATGGATCAACACTTTCTTCATGGAAATATGCCTTATTTAGTGGTTTGATGGTCTGATTAGGAGGTCAACGCTTAGAAAGGAAATCTTGGTCTTCTTCTGCTTGAAGATTTTACGGCCCAATCATGGAAATATGCTGTCAATGCCCAGCTGTTTCTACCTGCTTCTATTCTTTAATCGAGTAGTACAGTGTGCAGGGATTTTGCATTACCAAGTTTTTTAAAGAAAAAAGAAAATGGATCAACAGTTTCTTCATGGAAATATGCCTTATTTAGTGGGTTTTATGGTCTGATTAGGAGGTCAACGCCAATAAAGGAAATCTTAGTCTTCTTCTGCTTGAAGATTTTACGGTCCAATCGTGGAAATATACTGCCAATGCCCAGCTGTTTCACTCAACTATGCCAACTTTGTGTGCGTTACCCCTGGAGAATGGCGGCAGCCTGATTCATATTCCAGCCCCCTGTTGCCTTCATATTTGATCTTTTGGCGTTTAAAACAAAATAAAAAACACATTTATTTATTCTCGAAAAAGATAAAATTTATTACTATAAAGGGTGATAAAAAAAATAAAATATTAAATAAATCAGGAAAGCCTTTTTTTTCAGTAAGCAGCTCAGAATAAATATATGTATTACCCTCTGAAGGGGTCTTTGACTCCCAAATCATGAGAAAGCTAGTTTCATGAGAAATCTGCCCATTCTTGCTGTTTTCTCCTGGAAGACAGATGGTCGTGTGGGTCAAATGATCATGGGCTTTTTGATTCTGAGATTCAGGTTTTCCGAGAAAAAAAAAACCAATAAACGCTCCCTCAAGCCTCTCCATTTTCTTTCTGGCTTGGAAATGAAGTATTGGAACTTTATAATTAATGTTTTTATTTTTAAATATTTTGTATGTATAATGTGATAATTTGCGAGTTCTCGTTCGAATTAATCTGCATGCATATTTGAAATCAGGTATTATATTAATTTATTTTATTTATTACCTCTACAAATTAATAACACTTGTAATACGTTTAGTATCATTACTGGGGTTAATCCCGACGGTTCTTGTGTGCTAACTTGGGCAACTCTCCTGCTGGATTTGTGGTGTTTCCGGCTACTAAATAAGGCATATTTCCTGTAATCGTTTTCTCCTCTCTGTCTTTCTCTCTCTAGATTTTTTCTTAATTCTTACTTCTCTCTAAGTCAATAACCGTTTGCTGTCCATTTTTTAGGGCGTTATGCTCCTTTCCTGTATTATGGCGTTCTTCTTGAATTACTGCATATTTTTGAACACTACATTAAACTCCGCCCTTACTCAGACCATGTGCGGCAACCTCAAGGTTTTTCAACCCTCTCTCTCTCTCTCTCTCTCTCTCTCTCTCTCTTTCTCTCTCTCTCTGATATGTTCCTCATCATATCTTCTGGGGCTGCAGGATCTTCTGACTGTTGGTCTGGGATGGATGATATTTGGCGGCCTGCCCTTTGACATGGTGAGGAGTTTCTCTCTCTCTCTCTCTCTCTCTCTCTCTCTCTGTCTCACCTTCTCTCTCTATCTGGCGTTAAATATGTCACAGTCTTTCAATGATGAAAAATCTAGTTACATGGGGTCTTCTTATTGTGTTCACTCTCCTCTGTGGTTTCTCTCTCTAGCTCAACGTGGTGGGGCAGTGTCTCGGCTTCCTCGGTTCTGGCTTGTATGCCTACTCCAAACTCAAGGGCAGGTAGTCTAGAAGGAGTTTGAACTGAAAAATTTAAGCCCAGGTGATTGGAACGGCCCTGCTCATGGCGGATTTGATGGGAACAGGATCTGATGCAGACTGTCGCCCAACCTTCTGCATCAGAAACGGAAGCTGGGAGCTCTCTCCCTCTCTCTCTCTCTCTCTCTCTCTCTCTCTGTATATATGTCTATTAAAATAGCTGTCCTGCGTTTGTTAAATGAAGAAGGGAGAGATGAAAGGAAGGCTAGTAGTGGGAGCTCATAAAGTTGTCTTTTTTAGTCGGAGCCCACAAAATGACGTTGCCTCTCTCTCTCCCCCCCCTCTCTCGTATTTGTTCATGTCCAAGCTTGGCAAGGTCAAATCTCAGCCATCTCTCTCTCTCTCTCTATCGATATCTTAGCTGCCCATCTATCTCTCCCTCTCCCCCACCCTCTCTCTCTCTCTAAATATGTATATATATATTTTGATTTATATATTCATGATACTCCCATATGAGAGCCGAGGCCTGGCCCATCTTCAGATCTTCGAAGCTCTCATAAGACCAAACTGGTTAAAGTAATATCAACTATATTTCTGTGATTAAAATAATATATATTTGCCTTTATGAGAGCCTTGATAAATTATATAATGTCTTTATAAGATATGTTGGCCAAGGGGGATGGGCCTGGGCCTGAAGGCTCATAAAACGTGAATCGGGCCTGGCCCATCGCCAGTTAATTAATTAGTAAAAGTATACTTTTTGTAATATTATATTATATTATATTATATTATATATATAAATCATTTCCATGATTAAAATAATAAATATGCCATTTGTATATAATAATATCTTCATCATAAAAGTTGGCCAATGGAGATGGGCCTGGGCCTAGGGCTCATAAGACGCGAAGCGGGCTCAGCCCGTTGCCGGCTAATTTGGTAAAAGTTGACATTTATATAAATATAAATCCAAAATTATAATTTTCTTACAATTTTGAATTAATTTCAGGTGGTTTCACGGGGGTGTTGACTGCCACATCAAGAGATACCCTCCCAAGTTGAAGAGATCTCTTTGTTGACTACCGGAGGTCTATTCCACGGTACCAAAAAAGTCAACGAAGAGATAGACCTTGGATTCATGACGAAAGAGAGAGAAAGTGGGCCCCACCGTGGCCGTGGTGCTCGTAGTGGGTTGGTTGTTTTACGGCGGCTATTTATCCCTGTCAACGTGGGCTCGGGCTTCGCAAGAGTCCGAGCCCTGGGGCTGTCGGACTTCACTGAACCCGGGCCCGCCCGGCCAGTTTGCGCCTCTCTCTTTCTCTCTCCCTCTCTCTATCTAACACTCACACACCAATCGTTTCTCTCTCCTCCGTATGCGCCCACGCTTCCTTTTCCTGTCCAATGGTTTTTAAAACCCTCCTCTCTCTCCCTATCCTTTCTCTCTCTCCTCTCTATTTCTCTCTCTTTATCCCTCTCTCTCTCTAGGGGCGCCGCGGCTTCCGGACGACTTCAAACCCACGCTATCCAGCTGCCAGCACGCGATAAGCACTGTAACGGATGGGATCGTTATCTGATAAGAGAACTTACTTATATCCAGTACTTATATCTACTGTAGTCGCCTTATCGGAGCCCTCTCTCTCTCTCTCTCTCTCTCTCTCTCTATCTCCGTCCTCTTGTCTCTGAAGCGTATTTAAGATGGGGAAAAGGGGGAAGCAAGAAAGGAAACAGCAGGAGAGAGAGGGCGTTCACCACCCGTTCACTGCCCGCGCAATTCTCCCCTCTCTCTCTCTCTCTCTCTCTATCTCTATCTCTGACTCATCTGGAGCTTTTCTCTCTCTCTCTCTAAAAGGCCAAACCCTCTCTGTCCCCCGACAGCTGCATCGATCGATCCATCTGGGGGGGGGAGGGGGGACGATTCTAGATCTCTGGCTTCGCGGCGGCGGTGGGGCGGGTTTGCTGACCGGTCTCCGGCGCTTCAGGGAGTTCTTGGGGCGGCCGAGGCGGCGGCGGTGGACGAGGAGGGCGAGTGAGTGATTCTCCTGGCCGCGGCGCCTTGATCTGTTCTTAGAGGGGTCGGAGGTTTCTTTCTGTGTGAAGTTGGCCAGCTAGGCAGGTGGACGACGGCAGGAAGTCGTCGCCATGTCTAACCTGAGTAGGGAGCTCGTCTTCCTCATACTGCAGTTCCTGGATGAGGAGAAATTTAAGGAGACCGTCCACAAGTTAGCCTCTCCTCCATTGCTTGTCCTTTTCCTACTTTCTTACTTTGGCGAGGATTTGCCGTACAGCGAAGAACATTTGCGTGAGATGAACTGTAGCCGTTTGTTCTCTTTCTGCCTTAATGGGTCTGTTTTGTGTTTTGTATGGGGTTCTGGGGATGAATTGGAAAAGACTGGAGCAAGAGTCGGGGTTCTTCTTCAACACGAAGTACTTTGAGGACTTGGTTTTGGCTGGGGAGTGGGAGGAGGTGGAAAAATACCTATCCGGCTTCACTAAGGTCGATGACAATCGCTACTCCATGAAGATCTTCTTTGAGATCCGGAAGCAGAACTATCTTGAGGCCCTTGACAAGTACGTTGCAGTCTTTCCTTATCCTCTGTACATCTTGTTTCCGTTCCTTATTCGTTTGTCTGAGCGGTTTTTTGGATGTGTTTGGGTTTCGTGTTGAAACGTAATGGCAGGCACGACCGGACGAAGGCTGTGGAGATATTGGTAAAGGACTTAAAGGTTTTTTCTGCTTTCAATGAGGATCTCTTCAAGGAGATTACACAACTTCTCACTCTTGAGAACTTCAGGTATTGCTGACGACAAAAGCTTTTCGTCGCACTCTGGTCACTATGGGAATCCTCTTTTTGCTGTCGGCTACCATTCGCTTTGATGGTTTGGTCTGTTCAATGCTGCGAATTTCCAGGGAGAACGAACAGCTCTCTAAGTATGCAGACACAAAGTCCGCTAGGAGTATAATGCTCACTGAGCTCAAGAAGCTGATTGAAGCAAATCCGCTCTTCCGAGACAAGCTGCAATTTCCATCTTTCAAAAACTCGAGGCTGAGGACCCTTATTAACCAGAGGTGAATATCATCTCTCTGGCTTCTGTGATTTGTCTTCATCAGCTGGTCATTCTTGTATTGATGTCTGTTTCCTGCAGCTTGAATTGGCAGCACCAGCTCTGTAAGAACCCAAGACCAAATCCTGATATCAAGACTCTCTTTGTTGACCATACTTGTGCGCAACAGAATGGTGCTCGTGCACCCTCCCCTGCAGCTAATCCCCTCATGGGGACCATTCCGAAACCAGCACCTTTCCCACAGCTGACTGGTCAAATGGTACGGGAGGAATAGGTCTGATGTTGTGCACAGATATGGATTAGGACACTGATCTATGGACTTTCAATGTTGTTTCAGCCATTTCAGGCAACTCCAGCGCCTCTTCCAGCATCCCTCACTGGTTGGATAGCGAATTCCCCTGCTATGCCTCACCCTGCAGTTTCTGGCGTTCCAATGGGCCTGTCAGCTCCTGCAAATGCAGGTTAGCTCAGTTTTTTAATTAATGTGACGTGTAAAACTACTCTCCTAACAATTCTTAGAGATGCAGAAGATTACTGTTCTGTGTGCACTTCTCACCAAATTGTGCCATATATTTTCTTTATGGGCAACACAGCTGATAGAACCTGAACTCTAATCCCATTATTTTAATGAGAATTTTCTCCGTTTATTCTCTCTAGAGAGAAAGATTTCAGGCTGGATGTTTATTGATTAATTTACTTCCTTTGTTTTTATTCCATTGTATAGAAACTATGGAAGAATATTGCGCCCCCCCCCTTTGAAAATCTTCTGATATGGAAACACTTCCTGTCCACACTCAATGGCAGCAGCTGGTGAGACTTTTTGGAAGATATGAAAATAAATGGAGAAATAGTGGGCGTAGGCTGAGACTACTGTGCTTGTAAAGAACGAAACATAAGTCTGCTGTTACGAGATCTATTTGCTTGATTGCCGAGTAAACTATCTTCGTGTTAAAAACCTCTATTTCATGTTTTTTCAGAGGTCGTCAGCATTGTATAAAAAATGTATGAAAAATGTCAAGCTTGACATAGTGCACAGAGGTAATCTGGCGTCTCAAGTCCGAGTCGATCAGCAGCCCTAAACAATAAATCCAACTCTACTTGCCTCAAAATCCCCTGGTGGGATGAAAAATATTTACTCCCACGGAGTTAGGCATGCGAGTCAGTTTTGTTTCTTCAAGCTGATGTCAAAGACAACCCTGTATAGATGGACTTTGCTGAGCTTGACCATCTTGATATTGGACCGGAATTCAGAAAGTGAAAAACTCGATTTGGATTGTAATCAACTGACATGGTTCCGTTTTTTTTATTAAAATCTTTTAGAAACAATGGGTTCTCAAGAAAACCATTCAGTGAGGATCCTGACATTCGAACCTTGAAAAGCTGCTGTGGATAATGTTTGCCGGTCTAAGTGGGATAATGTTGACAAACCATAACTTTAACCACAGGTTGTGGGATTTCCCTCATGGCTTTAACTACATTGCTGGACATTTATTTGTTAAATTACACCAATGGAATCCATCAATTTTTTGGATTTCTGAGAATCAGAGGAAAAATAATAGGGAGAAACTGGATTCCGGCCCCAAAATTTGTAAGGGAACGGATGAATTCAAATCTGGAAATTTGGTTGCCATGCTACAGGGCCAATGGGTTAGGCCAAGCTCAAAATCCTTAGGCGGTCAACTAAGGATCTTTGTAGCTAATGCATGGAAGATCCTCTGATCCTGAGGTAGTCCGTAGCCAACTCCTCAATATCCTGAGTTCAAAAAATCAATGATTCCATGTTTAATGTTCTGAAAAGTTTGGTCTTGTGTGCTCTACAGATGTACCGTATCTGTACCTTACACGTAGCAGACTGCTCTATTTATTGACATTCCCTCTTCTGAATTATTTAACATGTTAGCTGCAATGTTAAAGCGACCAACATCTGGAAATCCCACCACGGAATATCAATCAGCTGATTCTGAACATGTGCTGAAACGATCGAGGCCTATTGGGATCTCTGATGAGGTAATGTAGTCTGATTTGCTTTCAGTTTCAGTTTTCTCTTGCATGGATTTTCTTCCCCCAGAAAGACAACTCAATTCTTCAGCTGTACATTTTAAAGATTCTAAAATTCTCAGTTTTTGGATGGCGATATTATTTTCTTATTGTAACTGAGTTCGTGTCTTTGTTTCTCTTTATAGGTCAGCCTTCCAGTCAATGCTTTGCCAATTGGATACACTGGCCAGAGCCTTCCTCCAAATATGCATTCTTCGGATGACTTGCCCAGGAATGTGGCTTTGACCTTGTCCCAGGGTTCATCAGTAATGAGCATGGACTTCCATCCCAGCCGGTCAACGTATCTTCTTGGTAAAATTACGTAGAATGGAATAATATTGTTTAATTCTAAAAATCCTTCTCTAAGGTCTGTATGTGTATGATGTTTTTTCCTCTTCGATTTATGCTCAGTTTTGTCCTTCGATTTCAGTTGGAACTAATGTCGGTGACATTGCTGTGTGGGAATTGGCATCCAGAGAGAGACTTGCCCAGAAAATCTTCAAGGTCTGGGACCTTGCAGCATGTTCAGTTACTTCACAGGTATTGCCTTCACTAACCTAAAATTACAGAGTAATAGTCCCTCGATGAATTATTTTGGAACCCACCAGAGTTCTTTCCGTGTAAACAGGCTGCTCTGGTCAATGATCCCTCTATATCTGTCATCAAAGTGATGTGGAGCCCAGATGGAACGTTACTTGGTATTTTCCCAGACACTCATCTCCTTTTCATCTGCTTCAGTTATTTTCTTAGAGTAGTGTGGCCCAATAGCTCTTCTACGTTTGATATGCATATCAATACATTTCGTACGCCCCAATAGCTTAACTAGAGTGGTGGCGTTTCCTTGAGTGGAGAGCATCATCATCCCCAGCAGACGTCAGAAATATGCTGTCGTCGAATGTCTTTTATTCTCTAACAAAAGAAGGAATCTAGAAAAAGGACGAAGGGGGTTTTAAGTTGTCTCCTTAACTGGTCTTGCTTTCTCTTTGGTGTGCACATTCAGGTGTGGCGTACTCCAAACACCTCGTTCACTTATATGCCTACCATGGAAGTGACGATCTGAAGCCACGACTAGAGGTTTGCATGATCGATTAGCCTTATATTCCCACTTTGACCATAAAAAAAAGGAAGAAGAAAAAAATGACATGTTTAGTCTCCATTATGTGAGTGAACTTGGCTTCGGGGCCATACCTCATGGTCTTTTTTCTCATCTGCTGACCGTTTCACGCGCGCCATGCAGATTGATGCTCATGTCGGTGCTGTTAATGATATTGCCTTTTCACTGCCAAATAAGCAATTGTGCATTATAACTTGTGGAGATGATAAAGTGATCAAGGTTTGCACTGTAATTCTCGTGTGTAAAAGTCTGGTGGTATTTAGATCTAGCCTTTTAATCGTCAGTGCTTGCTAGGTATGGGATGCTGCTACTGGTGCCAAGAGGCACACTTTTGAAGGACATGAAGCTCCAGTCTACTGCGTATGCCCCCATTTCAAAGAGAACATTCAGGTATCAGATTGCTTTGATGCTCTCTCTTATCAGATTGCTTATACCTCCGATGAAATATCTTTTCGATTGGCCCATTTTCTTGGTGATTTGATTCTTCTTGATGGGTTCTAAGCTACTCTGCTATTCTCTCTAAGACACTCGATTTCCATGGCCCAGTTCATATTCTCCACATCTCTCGACGGAAAGATCAAAGCATGGCTGTACGACAACATGGGCTCAAGGGTCGATTATGAAGCTCCAGGGCGTTGGTGTACAACGATGGCTTACAGCGCCGATGGGATGAGGTTGATCAGAGCAGAATTTTTTTCCATTTTGCTTGTAGATGACGACGATGACACTCTGTTTTTCACCCCCTGCTCGTGCTCGAACCGCAGGCTGTTTTCTTGCGGAACCAGTAAGGACGGCGAGACTCACATTGTGGAGTGGAACGAGAGCGAAGGTTCCATCAAGCGGACATATGCCGGATTCTGGAAGAGATCCATGGGTGTCGTTCAGTTCGATACAACTAGGAACCGGTTCCTGGCTGCTGGTGACGAGTGCATGATTAAGTTTTGGGACATGGACAGTTCGAACATGCTGACAACCACTGATGCAGGGGGTGGATTATCGGTAACTATATGACATCCATGGTTTTTTTCTGATAAAACCTTTAGATCAAGAATTAACTAGAAAACTATATGATCATCCAATTTTTTTTTAAATTGTTTTGATAAATCCTTTAGATCAAGAATTAACTAGAAAACTATATGATCATCCATGTTTTTTTTTCAATTTTTTTTTGATAAATCCTTTAGATCATGAACTAACTGGAAAAGTATATGATCATCCATGTTTTTTTAATTTTTTTTGATAAATCCTTTAGATCATGAACTAACTGGAAAAGTATATGATCATCCATGTTTTTTTAATTTTTTTTTTTTTAATGGTAAGTCCTTTGATCAAGAAGTAACCAGAAAACTTTTCAAAATGTCGAAGGCCTCCCCTCGGATCCGTTTCTCCAAAGAAGGAGGGCTCCTGGCAGTCTCTACGAATGACAACTGTATAAAAATCTTGGCCAACGCCGAGGGTCTTCGGCTGCTGCATGGCCTTGAGAATCGTCAATATGACATGTCGAGGGCTTCTTCAGATGTAGTCGTGAAGGTCAGTTCTCTCACTAGACCAACAACCAAGAGTTAAAGTATGGTCTATCTCTGTTTATGATTGTGGAGGTAATTGGTAGAACATCTCACAGCCGTCAGGCAGGGTCCTACTGGGATCTGTTAGCTCCAGTGCTGGAACAAGTACTGTGATTTCTGATCGAGGTGCTCCCGCAGTGGAAACGAGTGGACTGGTAATTTCATCCCCAAAATCTTTTTCGTGTCAAATAATTAGATAATATTTTCCGTACTGAGGTTGCTCCTCAGGTATTTCTTTTCCGAAAATGTGCACATTTGACTGGAATTTTTTAAATATATTTTATATATTAATCTAGAATGGAGAAATTCGAGGGTTGGTGGATGTAAAACCCAGAATTACTGATGAGCCCATGGAGAAGGCCAAGATAGTGAAGCAGGCGGAAATAAGCGAACCTTCTCAATGCCGCTCGTTGAGGCTCCCAGATAATTTGGCGACGATGAAGGTATGATTTTTTTTCTTTTTCTTTTACAGATCATCTAGAAGTTGACTTTCTCTGTTGTGTTTACAATATTGAATTTCAGTGTCGAGGTTGACTATTGGTTTGAAACCGAAGATGTTTTTTGACTTTCCTAGCCTTTGTTTCATGAGAAACTATGGGGATTGTCCCGCTCAGAAGAGTTACCCTGCATGCGATTCATGTTAGGACTGTTCAGGGTGCAGAATGATTTCTTTTATAAGAAAAGTCTGTAATTTTTCATAAAGCTGGATAATTGAATCGAATTACTGCATGAAAAATTGCGGGTCCAGTTTATATATCTAGATATGCTTGAATATATTCATATCCAGCGCGTTGACTTTGAATCACCAAATATGGGCACGTTCTTCGTTTTCTTGGACTGATAGCAGTGGATTCACAGGCCTCATTTAAGACGTTCTTTTCCATTGTCAAAGGTCTCGAGATTGATATACACCAACTCCGGACTTGCCATTCTGGCACTGACATCCAACGCGGTTCATAAGCTCTGGAAATGGCCCAAGAACGATCGGAACACCTCTGGGAAGGTATCATCATCGTCATCATCCGCCGAGAGCAGTTCATCTTTGTTCTTTATGACATGGGCCGTCTTCTTCATCATCATCATCTTCTATGTGTTCTCCGTGTTCTTCGCAGGCGAATTCCAGCGTGGCGCCACAGCTGTGGCAGCCGACGAGTGGCATACTGATGACGAACGAGATCGATGACACCAACCCAGAAGAGGCGGTCCATTGCTTTGCCCTGTCGAAGAACGATTCATACGTGATGTCTGCTTCGGGAGGGAAGATCTCCCTCTTCAATATGATGACCTTCAAGGTGGGGGAGGAGTCATTTTTTTTATTTAGCCTAAAGTCTTTATTCCTCAACTTTGCTTTGATAAAAAAATATTTCTCACATCTGCCTGGTTTCCAGACCATGACGACCTTCATGCCGCCGCCACCGGCCGCCACCTTCCTCGCCTTCCACCCGCAGGATAACAACATAATTGCCATCGGGATGGAAGACAGCACCATCCAGATATACAATGTTCGGATCGACGAGGTCTCTCTCTCTGTCTGTCTGTCTGTCTCTCTCTCTCTCTCTCTCTCTTTCTCTCTTTCTCTCTCTGGTTTCTGGGTTAGAGATTGATTGAGCATAGACGGAAGTCCAAATGGATGAGTTGATGCTGGTCTGACACTCTGGGATGACAGGTTAAGACGAAGCTCAGAGGGCATCAGAAGAGGATCACGGGGCTCGCCTTCTCCAACGTTCAGAATGTCCTCGTCTCCTCCGGCGCCGACGCTCAGGTATGCCTGCCGGATACTAATCTAGAGAGAGAGAGAGAGAGAGAGAGAGAGAGAGAGAGAGTCTGAAGTACGCGTGCTAAATTTTTCTTGCGGCATCCTTTGGCAGCTGATCGTGTGGAGCACCGACGGATGGGAGAAGCGGGCCTCCAAATTCCTGCAGATTCCGAGCGGGCGACCGCCGAGCTCCCTTCGGGACACGCGCGTCCAGTTCCATCAGGATCAGACTCAGTTCTTGGCCGTCCACGAGAGTCAGGTCGCCATCTATGAGCCCTCCAAGCTCGATTGCCTCAACCAGGTACTCTCCCTCCCTCCCCCTTCTCCTCGAAATCCCCCTCCATGATCGGGTAATCCGAGCCATTTTTTCATCCAAGTTTTCTTCTGAGTTAGACGACGGAGGAAGAAGAGGAAGAAGAAAACTTCTTCGTCTTCGCCCTCTTCTTCGTCTTTGGGATTCTCAGAGTTGTTGATGTCTTGATCCTTGGCAGTGGACGCCGCGAGAGGTGAGCGTGGTGATTACCCACGCGGCGTACTCCTGTGACAGCGAGCTGGTCTACGCGAGCTTCTCCGACGGCGCCATCGCCGTCTTCTCCGCCCCCTCCCTCCGCCAGCGCTACCGAATCAGCCCCGCCGCCTACCTCCCCCCCAGCCTCAGGTACCCTCTCATCCTTCATTTCTCTCTCTAGAAATCTGTCTCTTCCTCTCTCATTCATTCTGTGTGACGACGGGTTGTGCTTGAAGCTCGAGCGTGTATCCGGTGGTGGTGGCCACGCATCCGTCGGAGCCAAGCCAGTTCGCTGTGGGGCTCACCGACGGGGGGGTGGTCGTCCTCGAGCCGCCGGAGGCCGAGTGGGCCCCCCTCCCGCCGCCAGAGAACGCCGCCGCCTCCAACGCCAGCTCCGCCCCCGACCAAGCGCCACCCAGGTGAGCAGGATTCCATCGCCTCGGCCGCCGCTGCCGGCGGCGGCGACTGACCAATCCCTCCGCCCGCCGGGTGCGGCTTCTCCGCCGTCCTTGAGAAGCTCGCCGGCGGAGGATAGGGGACTGATAGTACTGACCGGCTTTTCCCAAGGCGAAGCCACCGTGGGGGATAGGGGAAGAGGGGATCGGCGCGGCGGCAGAGTGGTGGGGCCGCCTTCCCGCCGGCCGGTGCTGATTCATCTCCTGTTTGGGGGAATAAGGGGTGAAGTGGGAGCGGAGGAAGAATTTCTACTTGTTTCTTCTTTGGACTGCCCTGCCTTTTTAATGTAATTCGCTCTCTCGGGTTTCTCTCTCTCTCTCTCTCTCTCTCTCTGTCTCTGTGCTTCAGCAGGTTGACTCTCGCTCACTCTCTCTCGCTCTCTCTCGCTCTATGCTTCATTAGGCTGATTCTTTCTTTTTCTCTCTTTGCTTCAGCATGTTACTCTCTCTACTCTACTCTTCAGCAGGTTGACTCTTTCTCTCTCTGTATCTCTCATCTATACTCTTGTAGAGGGTCAACTCTGTTTTCACCATTTTCTTCTGGGTCGGGGGAGCTGTGCTTGATTATTCTCTCTGCTCTCGTGCCCCATTCAGAATATTTTAGAGAGAGAGAGAGAGAGGGGGGGTGGGGTTGACGCATCTTCTCCACCCTTCCCTTCCACCACCGCCTGAGCAGCCCATACCACGCCACCGCAAGCACTCGGCCTCTCCTTCACTCCCCCGCCACCGCGGCGGCGCCATCCTCCGTGCTCCGCTCCACGCCACCTCTCCTCCTTACTCCCTTCCTCTACAACGTCCTTATCTGTGCTCACGCCGCCGCCGTGAATCTCTTTGCTGAGATGGTCGGCGGTGGAATCGCTGCAACCACCGAGTTCCCCTTCCCCTCCGTCCTCCTCTCCGCCGCCCTCAGCCTCCCCTCCCTCGGCCGGCAGCTCCACTCCCTCCTCCTCAGGACCCATATCTTCCCCACCGACGCCATCTCCGCCACCGGCCTCGCTCTCTACCGCAAGCACCTGCCGCTCAGCGACGCCCGCTGTTCGACGAAATGCCCCAGAGGAACGCCGCCGCATGTAGCGCGCTCGCCGCCTACGCGCAGCGCCGGCGCTGGCCGGAGGCCGTGGAGATGCTGCTGCAGCATGGCGGCAGCTGGAGCTCCTCCGCCGTCGCCGCCTGCTTGGCCTCCGTTCTTCCCCGCTGCGGCATGGCCGGGCCGGAGATCCAGCCCTCGCCTGCAAACGCAGCCTGCAGTCCCGCACGGCGGTCTGCAACGCGCTCATCGCCTTGTACGCTTGCCGAGGAGAGCTCTCCTCGTCGGAGAAGGTGAGCGGGTTGGCACCCGGGACGTCGTTCACCTGGAACGCGATGGCGGCGTCGCGCGCCATCGCCGGGGACCTCGACGGCGAGTTGGGGCTCTTCTCCGGCATGCAGGCCGGCGGCGTGAACCCCGACGGGTACTCCTTCGGTGCCCTCTTCAATGGCTGCTGCCGCCGGTCGGCGCTCCGGCGAGGGCGGCGCTCCTCGCCGACGCCGCCAAGCGGGGGTCTTGCCCACCAACCGCGTAGCCGGCACCGTGCTGGTGGACATGTAAGGAAAGTGCGGGGCAATGGAGGACGCCGCAAGGTGTTCGAGGACATGCTCGAGAGGGACATCGTTCGTGGAACGCCGTCATCTCGGCGTGCGCCTCAACCCGCGCCCCCGCGAGGCCGCCGCCCTCTTCCAGGCCATGGTGGGAACAGGGCCCGGTCGAACGGGGGCAGCTCCGTGGGGCTCCTCGCGGGTTTTGCCCACGCGGGGCCGCCGGCGAGGGGCCCCGCCTGCTCGCTGCCATGCCAGTGCAGCACGGCGTGGCTGCCGGCGTGGAGCACTACACCTGCGTGGTCGACGGCCTTGCCAGGGCCGGCCGGTTTGAGCAGGCCCTGCCGGTGGCGTCCGATGGTGCCCCGTGGGGCGCGCTGCTCGGCGGCTGCAGGATGCACGGCGCCGTAAAGCTGGCGGAGGTGGAGCCGGGGCACGCCGGCGGGGGTGTTGTTGGCCGGTGTGTACACGGGGGCGTGCCGGTGGGAGGATGCGGCGCGGGCGCGGGGGGCGGTGGGAGGGGGATGAGCTGGGTGGAGGCGGGCGGCGGGGAGATGCACGGAGCGGGGATTGGTCTCACGGGGAGAGAGAGAGAGAGCACGTATAAAATAGAGGCAATACATATTTCCCTTCTAAATAATTCGTTGTAGCAAATAAGTTCAAAACGAAAGAAATTAATAATATGGTACCTAGATGATAGAAGATCTAAGAGTTATGAATCTTTCTGTGAGAGTTCTTAAGTGGCAAAAAATAAGCAGAACGGATTCATACTTAAGAGTATTAAATTTGTCTATATTAGGAAAAAGATATAGATCGACATGTTGGCAATGTCCATATTTCTAGAGTATTCAATATGTTAAAACTAAATCTATGCATCTTTGGATGAGGTTACAATTTTGGGCCTGGCTTCTGTTATTTAGGTCCAATTTTGGGCCTTAAATAAGCAAAGAGTTTTTGGTTTCACTAGCTTAAGCTTACCCCCTTACTTTTCACATTTTTTTTTATTTTCTTTCAATTATAGTGCCAGGCCATGTTTGTCAAACCTTTCAATCCTTTTCTCAAAGGCATTGTTATGCAGATTGAGATGGAAGGTATCTAATAATCAATTCTATTTAATAAAAATCATGTATCATGTTTATGAAGGGGGAAATGGAAAACACGAGGCCTTTGAGATAAAATTATTCAAGAATCTTCATCATTTTTATTATTTTAAGTCAATGTTTTGCATTATTTGTTTAGGTTTCTAATTTTAATGAAGATCTCACTACTTTTTTGATATAATTTAGATGCTTACCTCACCTTGGGATTCTAATGGTAGCTAATAGATTAACACTTAAAATGGAATAATAATAATAATAATAATAATCCAACTAAATAAGAAAATATACAAAGTTCATATTGTAAGACATTATTTCACTTAATGAATTTTAGTGTTTAATGCAAACATATAACAAGAATAATAATAATATGACTAAATGAAAATAGTATTATTATTAAATAATAATACACAATAAGTTTTTATGGAAAGATTGATAGAGGCTTGCATGGATGTAATCAGACATGACTTTGATTTCATTTAAGCTTCCAATGTGAAGCTATTTGCATATAATGACATAAATTTTCTTTTAAAATATAAATAAAATTTAATATTTATTGATAACTGACCATTAGAAGTTTTGGTAAAACTAATTATACATCCACATGATTTTCTTTACTTTGTGTCAGATTCCAATTGACCAAAATTGTATGGTAATTTATGCTTATTTTTTATTGACCATACATACCTTGATGCAAGAGAGATCATCCTAGAAGCTTCTTGCTAGTTGGTGACACATTCATCAACATCATTTGAGGATAGAAGCACATTGAAAGCGCCATCTCACAACAATATTTAGGCCTCACTTGAGTTTCATGCTAAACCCATAAAATCTATGTCTTCTGCTGCTAAGTAAGGCCTTATTCTCATTGAAATGGGCATGCAATCATATTCAATGCATGGAACTAACTAAGGTTTCTATCATGTATTACCCACAATAATTTTTTCAGGGATCCTATTTTATGCATTAAAGATCTCATAGCACATGTGAGAATAAAATCTAGATCCTATATAAACAAATGGATGCAAGGTTAGTAGAGACCCTTGCACCACTTAAGAAGGCACAGACCTTGTAGAAGGACCACAACCATGGGTGAGCAAGAAGAATTTAGAGAGCCCTTCTTACCCAACCAACCCCAACCCTCCAATAGACCACATGATGCTACTCATGTGCCAATCAGAGTCTCTGTCCATGGCACCACCCTTAGAGTGTCCCACCCTCATGTGGACCTCTCGATAGGTTGCATGCTCTACCACTCTCTCCTCATCCTCCTCATAACTCTCTTCTTTCTACTAGCCACATGCTTGGCCCTTTGGCCGTCCCGACCAGAGGTACACATTGTTAGCCTCCAATTGGACCACCTCAACATCTCCCAAAGCACAGACCCACCAGCCCCCTTCAATGCATCCCTAGCACTTACAGTCAAAATCCTCAACAAAGACTTTGTATCTCGTTACTACAATCGGGTCTCAATCTCAATTAAATACAAAGGGAAATGGCTCGGGTTGGCAATGTCAAATGGGACCTTTGTGGATGCACGAAGTGTGTCATATCTCGACATGCAGGTTCAAGTTTGTGGAAATTGGGCCCCAAGTGCTGTGCCCGATCAACATAACAACATCATTGAAGGATCCATTCCCTTTGAAATAGCAGTTGATGTAGGAGCTAGATTCCACCTCTTCACTTATAATGTCCCTTTTGAGGTATGTGATCTATATTTGGAAAATTTATTATATGAAAGATAATCAAATATTTCAAAATAAGATTTTTTCATAGTTTGTGCACTTATCTTGGTCCTAATTGCATTTTTATATTAATATGGGTTTTTAATTTTAGTTTAATTCTTAAACATCGGGAAGTGTTCAAATGATGGAATTTTTATATTAATATGTGACCTATTTTGGAAAATTTATTATATGAAAGATAATCGAATATTGCAAAATAAGAGTTTTTGCATAGTTTATGCACTTATCTTGGCCTAATTGCATTTTTATATTAATATGGGTTTTTCATTTATTTTAATTTTTAAACATAACATAGGGAAATGTTCTAATGTTGGTTATATGACTTTTGCCCAAATAACCAAATAGAGACTTAAAGTTCTATTTATAGGTGTTGGAGGCTCTTAACCCATAGAGTTTCGTAATATGGATCATTTAAAACCTGGCTTTTCATGAATATGGAACCTCTTGAATAGGAGATGCCTGGAGGATTGACTGTACAAGGTCTTCTTGAGGAGAAACATCTAAGCAGTCTACTATGCTTCCGAAAAGGTTTGAGTATCCTAACTGATGGTTTGAAAGGCTCCAAATGCTTTAGTGTATATTCCTTAAAAATCTACTCTTCGCCCCGAAGGTGTGAATCACTATTCTTTCTATGCAAGGATTGAGAACTTCATTACCTGCTCTCGACCATGGTAATGGATTCTCATGTGGGTTTCAAAAGTAAATCTTGGATTTCCAAAGGGAAAGGTTTGTTAGCCAAGGGAGTACTCCCCATAGTATTAAAGGAAAAATATGTACTTTTGGATTGGGTAGCATGCCAACTTGCTTTTAGAAGACCCATAAAAACTTTTTAAGTGGCACTTAGGCTAGACCACATTGTGAAGCTTGGCATGTCACATGGTAGTAGTAAGTTTTGAAAAATACCTATGAGGGACCCATTTCAATAATCTAGAAGGGTGAGCTTTGGGTGGTTGGAAAGTCAACCTAGCATGGCCTTTCCATGGGGTAATTTTACTATTACCTTGACTTGAATACTCTAGTTCCGAGAAATGTAAGTAGTCATTGTTGGTCAACTTTGGTAAAGTCAACCCTCATGAATAGTGAGGATTGAATAGCCTTGCAGGCGGGTTGAATGGACAATTAATCAATATGTTGGTAAAAAATGGTATAAAATTATATGATGAGGTCTTTCATTTAAAATAAGCAAAGCAGCGTAGACACCCAGTCAATCAAAAACCACCTTCACACGTGCATATCCAGACACGAGTTCAGCAAATGAGGAGGCACCATCAAGACGCGGTCATTAATATGGACCGTTGGATCATACCAAATCGTCGGACCCACATCTTTCTTTCCAGCCCTCTCTCTCTCTCCTCTCTGGGGGAAGCCAAGAGCACCTACCGTGGAAGGGAAGGAAGAGGAGGCGACTTCATTGGTCCCGGTCATCGTCTTACCCACGCTCCCTTTTACTACTCTGCCATGGCGAAGCCGGGAGGCGGAGCAGCTGCGGCGGAGGCGGCGACGGCCGCCGGGGAGCCCCTCCTGCTGCCGCAGCAGCACCACCAACCACCCCTGCCTGCCTACTACGGCGTCCCCGTCGGCGGCTACCCGGCGCCGCCGCCGCCCCAGCCATACGTCGTCCTCCTCCCCTTCCGCCGGCGGCGCCACCAGGGACGCTGCTCCTGCTGCAATTCACTCCTCTCCTCGTCCTCTCTCCTCGCCCTCTTCTCCGCCGCGCTCCTCCTCGGCGCGGCGGGGTTCTTCCTCTGGCCCTCCGATCCGGAGGTCCGCCTCTCGCGGCTCAGTCTCCGGTCGATCCACTTCTCCACCGGCAAGCGGGGGACGCTAACCCTAGACGTCGATGTCGACCTGAAGATCCGCGTGGTCAACAGGGACTTCTTCTCCCTCGACTACGACGAGATCCGGGTGGGGATCGGCTACCGCGGCCGATCGTTGGGGTCGGTGAAGGCGGGCGGCGGTCACCTCCGGGCCAGGGGCGTCTCCTATGTCGACGCGCGGCTGCGCCTCGACGGAATTCGCGTGTTCGAGGACGTCTTCTTCCTCATCGAGGATCTGGCTAGGGGGAGCGTTCCCTTCGATACTACCACCGAGTTGCGGAGTGGCCAGCTCCACCTCTTCGGCATCGATGTCCCTCTTGAGGTACTCTCCCTCGCTCTCTTTCTCTCTCTCTCCCGATCGACCGACCGACCGATCGATCGATGAGATTTGCAGTCGGCGGGATTGTCTTAGCTTGAGGCTGAACTATGGCGCTGCTTCCGGAGGATCAAATCCAGGTGGAGTATGGAGCTGTTCCTACCGTCGATTCTAGGTCTCTCTAGGGTTCCACTTTTTTTCTAGTGAGCCAGACAGGATTCGATCAAAATCTGAATCTCAGAGCATCAGTTCTGCTTCAATCGAATGCTTCTTGGGCAGTTTCCGCGCCCCCGCGACCTGAAAATTTGCACCCAATCTGAGAACCGTAGATGTTAAAGTTGACTAGAGGAACTATGAATCTTGATGACAGCCAGAGTGAGTGCTTGGGGATGTCAAAGGGTGGATCGTTGACAATTTCGGGGTCTACGGTAAAAGGGATGAAAACCTTCATCCTCTCTCTAGAAGTATGAACCTGATGATATCACGTTCAATGGCAAGCACAATCGGAAGCACGTCTGTTCAGTTCAATGCTTTATTTCCTGCATTTTCTGAGTTTGTAAATGCTTTTGTACAGTCATATGAACAATCTAACCCATTTTTTGACATAAATATCGTAAATTCATAGTAGAATGTCATGATTTCTGGATAGAAATCGTATTTACATGCATAAAAATCATTCCCTGAAACCAGAATTGATGCACTAGCTAAGAATTGCATGATCTTTGAGCAACTGTTTGTGGCTTGGCATCTTATTTTGGGCACTGATATCTGGATAGAAATCGTGTTTACGCACATGAAAATCGTTCCCCTGAAACCAAAATGATGAATAAGCTTAGAATCGCGTGATCTTTGAGCAACTGTTCGTGGTTGACATCTTATTTTCGGCATTCAATCATAAGAAAGCGAACAGCTGTGTTAGTCTGGATCTCCCTCTCTCTCTCTCTCTCTCTCTCTCTCTCTCTCTCTCTCTCTCTCGCTCTCTCTCTGTATTAGTCTGAATTTCTCTCTCTCTTTCTCTCTCTCTGTGTTAGTCTGAATCTCCCTCTCTCTTTCTCTCTCTCTGTGTTAGTCTGAATCTCCCTCTCTCCCTCTCTCTCTCAGTGTTAGTCTGAATCTCCCTCTCTCCCTCTCTCTCTCAGTGTTAGTCTGAATCTCCCTCTCTCCCTCTCTCTCTCAGTGTTAGTCTGAATCTCCCTCTCTCCCTCTCTCTCTCAGTGTTAGTCTGAATCTCCCTCTCTCCCTCTCTCTCTCAGTGTTAGTCTGAATCTCCCTCTTTCCCTCCCTCTCTCTCTTTCTCGCTAAGTATTAGTCTGAATCTCCCTCTTTCCCTCCCTCTCTCTCTTTCTCGCTAAGTATTAGTCTTAATCTCTCTCTCTCTCTTTCTCTCAGTGTTAGCCTGAATCTCCTCTCTCCCTCTCTCTCAGTGTTAGTCTGAATCTCTCCTCTCTCTCTCAGTGTTAGTCTGAATTTCTCTCTCTCCTCTCTCTCTCAGTGTTAGTCTGACTCTCCCTCTCTCCCTCTCTCTCTCAGTGTTAGTCTGAATCTCCCTCTCTCCCTCTCTCTCTCAGTGTTAGTCTGAATCTCCCTCTCTCCCTCTCTCTCTCAGTGTTAGTCTGAATCTCCCTCTCTCCCTCTCTCTCTCAGTGTTAGTCTGAATCTCCCTCTCTCCCTCTCTCTCTCAGTGTTAGTCTGAATCTCCCTCTCTCCCTCTCTCTCTCAGTGTTAGTCTGAATCTCCCTCTTTCCCTCCCTCTCTCTCTTTCTCGCTAAGTATTAGTCTGAATCTCCCTCTTTCCCTCCCTCTCTCTCTTTCTCGCTAAGTATTAGTCTTAATCTCTCTCTCTCTCTTTCTCTCGTCTTCAGGGAAGGGTCTCCTGCTCGATCAACGTGGATGTGGGGAACCAGAGAATCGCCAGCCAGGACTGCTATGCAGACGTAAGTGTATCATTGGAGAGTATCTCTCTGGGTTTTTGAAGAACATTCTCATCTCATCTCTCTTATTTTCTTGGCCCCTCTCTCTCTCTCTCTCTTCCTGCAGTGACTGGTGTGGAATCCGTCTGAGAGAATTTGGAGGCGGACCTCCCTCCCTCTGTTGTAAAGCCACGGGAAGATGGATCTGAACCTCATGTTTATACTAAATTTGGATGCCAGGCTATGGGCTCCTCTCTCTCTCTCTCTCTCTCTCTCTCTCTCTCTCTCTCTCCCTCGCTCTATATATATATATATATATATCTATCTCTCTCACTGTAAATTGGATTGAAACAGAGTCTTGCTTGGTTAAAAAGTTGGCTGAAAGATGGATCTGAAGCTCATGTTTATACTAAATTTAGAAGCCAGGCTATGGGCTCCTCTTTGTCTTTCTCTGTCTGTGTATCTGTCTGTCTGTCTCTGTCTCTGTCTCTATCTCTCTCTCTCTCCCTCCCTGTAAATTGGAGTGAAAAAGAGGTTTGCTTGGTTAAAGAACTGGTTGAAAGGGGGATGTTTGCAGGCATCAAATGATTAAAGATGGAGGGTATGAGATCAGAAAGTGTGGGTTTTTCTTTTCCTTCTGCAGCAAACCCAGGAATTTTGATTGTGCAGATTAATTTTGCAGTCGGTGGCGCTTGGAGGAGCTGCTCTTCTGCTGATATCCTGAGGAATTCATGACGTCATCTTAGGGTTCATGAAGATTTCGAGCATCAATTGGGAGGGAAAGTTGTATGCTTTGTCAATTAGCCTACATGGTGAAAACAGAGGAGTGTGAGCGAGAGAGAGAGAGAGAGAGAGAGAGAGAGAGATACGCTGCTTTATGCCCAATCCAGCCGCTGCACTAGGCCCAGCACCAACTCCCCTTCTCTTGGGCACCCATAAAAGTCCATCTCTCTACCTCTCAATCCAGCCACTGCATCACACGCCTCTCTCTCTCTCTCTCTTTGTGTGGTTAAACCTCTATTACAACAGAGGGTTGATATTAATTTTAGTTACATATTTTTATAATTATATTTTCTTAAGTTTTCTCTATAATTAGGTATCTTCTCATTGATTGGCACATGATTGAGCATAACACAGCAGATGAAAACGTTAAGTACATAATGTCAGTCACACACATGACATGAGGTCAGCCATCAGTATCTTCACATTATTTTAATAGTTCAATGATCATTAAGCAGCCTTTAATTTTATTGATTTCACATTTGAAAATAGAAAAATACTTGTTATTTGCAAAATATTGAGAATAAAAAAATGTCAAGATTTGACTACAAAAATTAATAAAAAATAAGTTAAAGATAATCTTAGCTTAATCCCATATGAGTTTCAGAGGATTTAGAAGAAAAATGAAGATTATTCATCAAGTTTTGAATTAGTTCTATTTATTATATCAGAACATACATGAAATAGAAATAAATTGTCATAAAATATAAATAAATGATAAAAGTAGGTAAGTAAATATTGAAAGTAGGAAATAAATTAATATCCAAGTTTAGTCTACCTCTTGGGCAATTGAAGACATCGATGTGGCAGCTTGATTTTGTCTAGACATGCCACACCACGTCAAAAGTCGTAGAAGTATCATTCATAAGCGTTGCGTCATTTGCCAAAGAGATCCACCAAAAGGAGGGGTCGACTACACTATCACTAGCATTTAGAGGGAAAAAAGAAGAGTTGACCACTTGTCAAAGGCTTTGAATACAATTGGAGGAGGAAGGAATGAGCTTGCTGATCTCTAGAGGCATTGATCACACAAAAGGAGAGAAGAAGGGATTGCCATATTCACAACTACCATTAAGATTTTAAAGATAATTGATAATATTTATTTTACTAGAAAATAATAAAATATTATTTTTATATTTTTGACAGTGGTATGTGTGAGAACTTAGGTTCCCAATATAGTGGCACTTTGAGAGCCATTAGATCATGTGTTTGATCATGTGACACATTGAGTGACACAGAATCAACCCACCATGAACTGCTCCTGATTAGAAACTTAAGTCCTTGGTACCATGGCACTTCTTTAGCCATTGAATCATCATTTAAAGCCACATGTGTGCTGAGTGGTGTCAAATTCGTGAACCACAGAAGAAATGCTTTACACATTTGGTATCACGGTGGCTCTCACACCACATGATCTATCTTATCTAATGATGTGGCTCATTGAACACCACTAGATGATGCTGCACTCTAGACGGCTACCCTAAAACACATGAGAAACTTTAGTCTCACATCAAAAATACTTCGACAAATGAGCTGAAATTAAATGAAAGCTACGATTTGCCAAGAGTGATCTCATCTCTCAAAATAAAAAAGGCCCAAGACTATCTTCGGAGAAGGTAAAAAGGTAGTCCGCCCTCACGCACACGTGTGTATGACATTCCTTGCTCCACTTGGCCACTAGGATGTGGTAGGGAAGTGATGCACACGTACATGAAATGAGTCCTTTACCACTCGAGCCCAACTTGTGGTTCCCCTAATGTAGGTCTGCTCACTTGATCATAGCACGCCCCTCTAGGTTAGTTGTTGAGTGTCAGCTTGCTAGCTAGTGGTGATATTTTTATATTTTATTCTTTTATTTTTCTAACTAATCAAAGATTATGTTAAATATTTTAACTTTAGACTTCTAAAATTTACAATATATTCTTATATTTATTCATAAAGTTTTAAAAAATTAAATAATATAACTAATTAAAACAATAATATATAGATTTAACAAGAGTAATATAGATTTACTCACTACGTACTCAATTTCTCATCAATGTCGATTAGCATTCTTCTTCATCCTTTATGTTACCCTTGCAAGTGCTCCTTGAGTCTCTTTGATGAGGTCGCTATGATTCTTCAAGAATCAATAGCTCATTAGTAAATACCTTGGACCTCGTTATTTGACAAGTTCTAAAGGTGTTAGAGATTGTTGACCCACAACCAGTTCAAATGGTGAGTGTTATGTGGACACACTATTACATGTTGTGGGTGAATTGAACAACATCAAGTAGCTCGACCTAATTGTCTAGTTGTGTTGTGATGTAGTGTCACATATAATCTTCTAACATCCTACTCACTCACTTTGTCTATCTATCTATTTGTGGATGGAAGGCAATAGAGAAATTAAGTTCAACACCAAGAAGAGTGAAGAGAGCTGACCAGAATTGTCATGTGAAGCGGGGGTCATGATCAGTGACAATATCACATTAGTATTTTCCACAACTTGACAATGTGTGTTAAGAAGAGCCATGTCACCTCTTCTACCTCGCACTTGGACCATGTAGGTAAAAATATTGCATATTTAGAAAACTTGTCAACCATGACTAAACTAGAATGATATCGTGGTTGCCTACTCGTAGGAGGCTTATGATGAAGTTCATGGGCAAGGATTCCCACGATCCCTTTGGGATTGGTAGGGGCTCTAGTGTTCCTACAGCATTCCATTATTCCACTTTGTTTTGTTAAAAAATCAAACATGAGCAGTCATATGTCTCTAGATTGTGCTCCATATTGGGCTTGATGTAGCTATCGGCCAATAAAGCATGTGTCCATTGTTGTCTTGGATCTCCTATATGTTGTGTATCATATGTTTCCTAAAGAAGACATTGTTGTAGTTGACCATTTCGTGGCACATAAGGTCTTCAATGTTCAGTGTATGGGATGCCATCTAATACCCAAAATTGTTAGGTTTCTTCCATCTCCACCTATTAGAAGAGGTCCTTGGCTGCTGAATCTGTAGTATACATTGCCCTTATTTTATCTAATAAGTTACCAGAGCTCACTGAGAGGACAACTATGACCTTAGTGATTCCTCATCAGCTCATAGCATCCACTATTATATTAGTTTGGTTGGGCTTGTACTTGAGTGAGAAGGCATACTTTGCTAAAAAAATTTACCACCGAGCTTGTTTGAGAGATAGATTATCTTAAGAGTTGAAACAAATAATATTGACATTATGAACATAAATGACAAAATATTTGCCTAGTAGATAGTGTCGCCAAGTTTGTAAGCAATGTGCTAAATACCATTACTCTGTCACTCAACTTATTTTCTTCAAATGTTATGAGGTGTCCCTCCTATAGTAAGACAGTTATGATAGTCACTTCTGAGGCATCTGTGTATATCTCAAAATGTCTATTGAAATTTAGAAGTTATAACATAAGTTCTTCTATGGTCGCCCCTCACAAGTTGTCAAACATTTGTTAGCATGTCTCTGTCCATGTTTGTACTTGATCAATCATGGCCACCTTCATTCAATTAATCTGTACTTGACTATCACTTGTCACATGGCCTAAGAATTCGACCTTTGGAATATCAAAGATACATTTTTCTGGGTTCAAGTATACCTAATGATTCTTCAATTTCTCAAGTACCTATTGTAAATGTAACAAATGTTTCTTGCATGATAAAACTATATATCAAAATATCATCTAAATATAGGATGACAAATTTGTCTAGGAAAGATTGAGAAATATGATTCATGAGGACATAAAAAAGGGAACTTTTAATCTAAAAGACATCACAATAATTCATATGACTCATAACGTGTCACACATGTTGTCTTTTATTTGTCCTCTTTAATCTAGACTTGATGGTAGCTGTTCTTAAAGTCTAACTTCGGGAAGATCTTTGCTTCTTGACGTGCTCAAAATTATTGTTAATTTAAGTACTCTAATTTAATATTTATACCTAAAAATCAAAATAAACTTTCTTTACTTATAGAGATTTCAAGTAGATCCTAAAAAAAAGAAAAAAAGTTGAAAGCATCATTTTAAAATTTAAAGTGTAAAAACAATAAGAATAAGATAGTAACTTTTGTAAATTATGAACGCCAAAGGTATCTAACTCTAAAAATTAGGAAAAAATAAATAAAAAGAATAGATAACTAAGTCTAATTTACTATCCTTAAAAACCTCATAATTTAACATGTCACTCTATGACCAAAAAAATTATTAGAGGTTGAGAATTAAAAATCAAGTACATAAAACTAAAAATAGAGAAATAATTATTTTAAAATCTAGAAGCCAGTACTAAACTTATTCTAAAATTGTGAAAAAGTTATAGAAGATAAGAAACTAACTATGCTACACTTTTCCAAAATATATTAGCCTAAATCCATGAGACACTCATAAAATTAGGTTTGATCTAGAAAAATATAGAGAAGAAAGAAAAACCAAAAAAATGATTATTGTAAAATCAATACCTATTCTAAATATTTTCTAAAATTGCAAAAAAGTTATAGATAGGAAACTAATTACATCAATAATTCTCAAGAGATTGTGACCAAAATCAATGTTTTGCTCAGGAAATCAGATTCAATCTAAAGAAAGGTTGAATTAAGAAGCCTAAAAAATGATTTCTAGTGATGGGCATGATGATTCTATTATCAAATCACCAAAACATAATCTTTGGACAAGAAAAAATATTCATTGGATTCTTAAGGAAGTAAGGTATTCAAGAAAAAGTATAAATCTAAAATAAATTGCATGATTGGATACATATCTATTTTACTTATTCCAAAAAATACTTTCAATGATATGTTTGACGATTTTGTCACCAAATTGTCAAAATATGATCTTTCAAAGAGATAAAATATTCTTTGGATTCATAATAAAGTAAGATATTAAAAAAATTATAAATATAAAAGAAACTAAACTAGTTGATGTAGATTTCTTTTCCTTTGTCTTGGTTTCACCTTCAAGACATGAGAAATCGTAGATAGAGAAGAATGACTTACTAAAAACTCAACAAAATGCCATCTACGCAATGATACTTGTCATCTAAAAAATAAGGAGTCTAAAGAGTTATGAAATGAGAGAAAAAGATAGAGAGATCATACTTGGAACTTGAAATCTCAACTATTTGTCACCTAGCCATCACCTCTTATTTGAGCACAAAAAAAATCTCTTTTTATTTGCCCTTTTTAAGTTTATATATTGATAAGTCTTCATTATCATGAGTTGATAATTAATAAATAAAATATTTTATCTTTAACTCATGATAAATAGACTTATATTTATGTTAAATTGTGAAAAGTAATTTTTTGTTGATTAATGTGAATTATTGACTAATTATGTGATTTTATATGATTTTATATTATTTTTATAACTTATTTTTAAGATAAATAAAGAAAAAGAAAATAATAAAATAGAAAAGGAGGGACTCATCAACCAATTGAGCCTACAAGCTGGTCAGAAGTGTAGTAGGGGGAGCCATGAGTAAGGGATCGAATGACTATATACTGATGGGGGCACATGTGTGTCACTCTCCTTCTACGTCATTGGTGGCCAACTAGCTATAAGGTAAGGAGTGGTTGTACATGCGAGAAATGGATTCATTACTTGTAAATTTGATATTACTATAGATTCGTCTAAAGCTTCAACATACAATTAATGTAGGACTAAACTTGCATTATACCTTTCTTAGAATAATTTTATTTATTTTAATATCTAAAATACCTCTTAGTTAT